GGCGCCTTTGTCGAGCAGCATCTTGACTACCTGCTTGTGGCCTCCGTATGAAGCTGCCTGCAGTGCGTTGCCGTAGCGTCTACCCTGCGCGTTGACGTCAGCGCCTTCATTTAGCAGCAGTTTTGTACCCATGCTTAAGCCCAGTAATGCGGCGTAATACAACGGCATAGCTACGCTTTCTAGACCTTTTCCTAGATCCGGTTCTTCCCAGGGATAGTCAGGATCACACAACTGAACCCAGATAAGATATGCCGGATTTTCCATCGACATTAAACTCATCGCTACTCGAGTCACTCCATCCGTCTCGTCTCCCGTATTTTGAAGATGGCTGCTCCAGAACTTTGCTGCGTACCTTGCGAGTGCGGATGCCTCAAGAGTTTCAGTTGACAGTGGTTGCTGGAAGTGGGTCAGGTATCTCAAACAACCTGATGTTATCGCGCTATGGCATTCGGCCTCTTGCATGCTGTACTGCTTTGCCTGTCCATGCTTGATCCGGTCTGACACAAGATACTCCTGGACAGAATAGTGTGCTAGAGCGATGATTCGCTGTGCAGGCCTCCATCCTCCCTCTGCTTCGTTCGTTGTAATGGTGACCAGACTCGAGCAGATATTCAGCGCTTCTAGCGGGTCCTCTAGCACCTCATCGTGGTCGAACGCTGGGTCGCGCGCCACATCAATGGCAACGACTTCGGCAATCTCTTCGGCCGAAAGCGGCCGTGTTGAGAACGTCAGCCACTGCAAGATGCGTATCGCGTACTCGCGGTCTTCTTCGCTTATAGCAGTGAGGATGCGGTCGTATGTCTGATCTAACGTTTGCGGCAAAGTGGCCAGCGACTTGCGCAGCATCGCTCGGTTGCGACACTTTGCTAACGTGTCAAGCTGACATACGGCCCATCGAAACCTAAGCTGTCGTTAGCTTCGGCTCTGTGGAGGGGTTGATAGAACACGTACATCCCGCGGGCTCCGTGCATTAGAGCAGCCTCAATCTCTTGCCTGATGGCAGGGTCCTTGTTCCATTTTGTCAAAGTCTTATCGTCAGACAGCCGTTGTTGAACATATCGTTGTATATCCTTGTCCACTACGTCCCTCTGAAGACAGATAGTGTCCTCTTCTTTGACATAACTCTCCAAAGAGCTCTCGATATCCCGCTCTTTCCGGCTGGTCATCAGCAGATGCATGTTGTCAAGCTGCCACCCAGCCACCGTCTCGAGCACGTCCATTAATTCCTGGCGCTGTGCACATTCGTCGAGCGCATCGAGAACGAGGTAGACCTGCGTAAACTGTTGCATTACCTGTGGTGTTATCTCTAGAAGCGTATGCAGCGAAGGCTGCCGTTGTCCGTTCCCGCAAGCTAAGAACAATGCATCAACGCCCTTTGGTGTTGCAGCCGAACGCCGCAGGAGCTGGCAGAGCAACGAGCGGAGCATCAACTCTGGATTCTGTTTCTGAGTGTCGTTGAAGTCGAAGTAAAAGTATGCCGTCACCATCCTCGTGTCATTATTGCAGTGCTGCAGCAGATGCTCAATGATGGTAGAGCTCAGGATGGTCTTTCCACACCCTGGGATCCCATACAGCCATAGTCGCGATGCTGTACTCTTTTTCCATTCCGCGAACTTTGCGCCATCTAGCAGCCAGAGGCCGGTCTCAGCCTGCCGCTGCTTGTGCGCTTTGTAGTAGTTTGTGGACGGATCTGGCGCCGAAAGCCAGTTGCAGATCTTGGCAAGTGTTTCTTCTTGGCTTTGATTGCGAGTACCGGTGTCATTCACACGAGCCCTTGCTATGTCTCCGGAAGCCTCCTGTATCTTTTTCTGCAGCCGTTTGGTTGCATTATCTTTGCCTTCGCCATATATCAGCGACATGTAGATGCCAAATATGCCTAACAGACAGTAAACTTCATCCTCTTCACGTGTAGTCTGGCGATTTTCGGTCCAGGAGAAACGCTCAGCTACGCTGAACTCGGACAATTGTCTCCCCAGCAAAGCGTCAATAGGTATTCCTGTGACCTCGTGAATTGTGTGCTTAAGCGACTCCTTGTTCCCTAGCCGCGCTCCTTCTTTAGAGAAGAACTCAACCAATTTAGGAGCAAGAAGCTCCTGGAGTGTCCAGCCTCGCGCAAACCATCTGCTCTTCTCGAAAGCTGGCTCCCATCTCTGAGATGACGCGTCATCTCCCTCCAAAGTGTCGTTCGCGACATCTGAAAGGTAGACGTAACATTTCTCCGCGTTCTGATACCATCGATACATGGAGTTGATCGCTTCTGAAAGCTCGGTGTTGTTTGACTTGTCGATGCAGCAGGTGTCGACCCAAAAGTAGCCCAGACCGTCCTGCTTAGCTTGTTGCGCACAGAAGCGAATCTTGTGATGTCCCTCACTGCTTTGCGCGTCACTGTCTTCGACATTGTCGATGTTCTTCAGATCATCAAAGGTCACCTCTTGTCCCTCCTTCCAGGTGTGCGACAAGATCGCATAAGGAGGGATCTTGTCGCCAATCAAGTCCTTAGTCCATCTGAGCTTCCCATCGCTTGTGGTGTATAACAATCGCATCGGGTCGTACAAATGTCTGTATGCGCGAGCGGTAGAAGGGAGTCTCAGAGCCTCGAAGCAGGCTGAGGAAATCGATAGCGCACGGCGACTTGCTCGCGGAGAAGCGTCCAGGTCCTAGCAGTCGGGTTTGTCGTGAAGGCTAAGTGGCAGCTTGCTACGTTAAGGGTGGAGGAAGACGGAGCTCCTGAATGCTGCAGTGTGATCGTCGGGGTAAGCTGCGTCTCGAACATCGAGAGCGGGAGGCGAGCCTGATCGGGGCGGGACTGACAACACATGATCGCACGATAGCCACAACTGCAAGCAGAGAGGCAGTTCTCGCCTGAGGGTGAGATGCGACAGTACAAAAAGTGCGGGTCATAGGCCTTCGTTGAAGATCACGCCAGGATGTCCGTGTAGCATACTGATCGCGCGAGGACACTGTCGCTGTCCCGCTGCGGGCCGAAACGCAGCGCAGCGATGACAGCTGTCACCACCGCCACAGTTCGTCTCAAGCGACGCGTTCATCAGACGCCAACGTATGCATTCGACGCGGGCAACAAGATGATATCGACGCGCAGCATTCTGTAGATCATGGTCACGCACTCTTAACACACATAACGTCTAAAGACCATCGGCACGCGCCACATCTATTTCAGGGGATGTGCAGAGTAGGAATAGCGTCAAATTTATTACACTATGATACAGCAGTCTATGGCCGCGCTAATGCAGGTCGATGCATGCTAAAACGCACGGATGGATCCCGCCAGTTCGGATCCACTTCTAGACATTTTCCTTTCCGCACTACGGGGCTTCCGGCATGCTCGTTCTAACACTAGAATGATCTCTTGAGCCTGAGGAAATAATCTTTCTTTATTTTGCTCTCTCCTCAACGCTCCGAGCGCTTGGGGGCTCCTCGAAATCGCCGATGGACAGGGGGGCATTGATGAGGAGTCGATTAACGACGTTGACGAAACGAACGATAGCACGGCCAACACAGCGGCGATGTATATCGGATGCCGGTGTTCTTGAGGAGCAATGGCTGCATGATTACGACAGATCAACGGCAGCTTCACAGACGCGCAGATGCGAGGCGCCGAAGGTCCGAACTGCCAACCTGTCTCGTGACATGGTGTGTCTCTTGACGTAGGGACGCACCTTAGGGAGATTCGGTGATTATCTTGCCGGGGATGTGCAAATTGAGATTTCTTACTTCAACTTTGCGAGCTTGCAGAACAGCCTTAGTAGGCACTGCAGCAGAGCATGCATTTAGTGATGGTGTGTCTATGGTGATGGTGCTGCGGCACAGCGCCTGCTGGGCTTCAGCCTAGCGGCCAGTCAGCCTGCAGCCTAGCGACCTCAGTCAGCCAAGCATGCATGCATGCATCTTATCACCGGCAGCCTGCTCGCCCCGCCAACTTCGTAATGGCCTGCATTTGACATGTAGTTGCACCGCAACGACCGACTGTCATTACATACAAGAATTTAAAACATAAACTGCTATCGCTTAGTCACTAGTAGCTACAACCTAATACCTCAACGTCGTCCAAACTGGATGTTGCCGTTGATGGTTCCGGCCTGGATGCTGTCTCTGCTGTTGCCAAAGGTAATGTTCTGTGTGCTTGCGGTTTGCTGAATTGGAGCCTGTTCTGGAGACTGCGCGCTCCTCGTAGCGTCTACCGCGGGGATCTTAGACAGCAGCCCTTTAGCGTACGCTGCCGCCGTAGCTGCCGCGTAGTTCTGCCAGCCCTTGTTCTTGTGCGAGTCTGCATAGTCGCAGATGCCTCGAACGACTACACACGGATACTCTTCCATCACTCCTGCTGCTTCCATCTCGAAGCAGATAGCGCCGTGCTCTCGTTGTATTCTGTTTCGTTCGATAGCGGATATCTGCAGCTGGTTGCTTGATGCAATGTTACCGAAGTGGACGAACGGCTCGTCAAGCAACCGAGTAGCTCCGTCCCCTCGATCAGAACGTGACATGGTGTAGTCCGCGTCGCAGCACGCTTTGCAATCATCCAGCTCAGTGCCTTGATGCTCATAAGTGTCTTCGAAGAGCCTGTCGCGGCCAGGGCCCGGATCGTTGTACTGGTGCTTCCGCTCCTCGTCAAGCTTGAGACGCATCTGCTTCAGGACCCCTGCGATGTTCGTATTGGACCAGCCTTCCGCGCGGAAGTTGTTGACTGCGGCCATCAGATCGCCAGGAACGCCGTTGGTGTGCCCTCGAAAGTTCAGTCGCCCTTGGCCCTCCCACGCGCCCTTGTCGTACTGTAGCACCCCGCCATGGTTGCCTCGTGGAGAGCTGACGACCACGTCTCCAAGTACAATCTCCGAGGCGGCACCGGCTGGACCGTAGTGAGGCACGCCGCCAGCGATGCCGACCAAAAGAAAGTATCTTATGTTGGGAAACCCAGCGCGCATCTTCTCGGCAAGGATTGCTGCCTGGCTAAGTCCTATCCTTCGCTGCACGCCGATGACGACCTTGTGTTGTCCGATCCGACCGCCTAAGTAGTATGCGTTCTGGTACTGCACCTCATCTTGCGGGTACTCTTCATCCAGCACCAGTCTTGCAGCCTCTTTTTCTAGCGGGAGAGGGCAGATCCATCCTATGGTGAACTGGTGGTTCCCGGCCATTGTGGTGAGCAGGTGCTTCCTGCGACAGCTTTGGGGAGACAGAAAGCAATCAGGGTGGGTAAGTGGGCGGCAGTGGGCAGTAGCTAGCCGTGGGGGGTGCAAGCGGTGGGGAAAAAGCTCAGCCAGCAGCACGTGGCTACGTTTCAGCCTTGTCGCAATTGCCGGTCAGCCTTGCCAAAGTATAGAGGCACTCTATTCTTCAAGCTTTCCCTATCAAAGCAACAATACATTACTTTGCGTATATCTATATCCTATTCTTATGGCGCAATGTGTTTGGCGCGAAGGACCTTAGCTCTCGACCCTGAGAGCCTTAGATGCTCGGCCCACCTGCTCCACCAGAACCACAGCACAAGCGTTACAACAGTCAGCGGAACAGAAAGTGCCCAGTATATCCAGAACTGACGGGACACAGCAAATGACGATTGTCCAGCGTCTCTGTCCGGCTCGAACGAGAAGAAATTGGTGCCAAAGATCGTCTGTCCAAGAGGTCGTATTAGTCACACATGAACGTATGATGGTCAGTACAACGGTCCGGAATACTCACAGAAACAAAGGTAGCTGGCAAGAAGGTCATCGTGACCACAGCGATTGCCTTCATCGCTGACGCTTCTCTTTTTGCTTCCTCTCCTATCTGCAGCTGGACCTTGCTGTCTCTCTGTGCGGCAGCATTGAAAGCCTGGTATGGTAAGCTGGGGAGGCCACTGCATATCTTCCATCGTAGACTAGACTTACAAGGGTGATCTCGTTCTGGATGCGGGCGTTGTTCGCCTCAGACCGTTCAACTAAGCCCTGGAGAAACTGGAGCTGGAACTCGAAGCGACTGCCGACTTTGTCCCAGCGTCTGCGGCCATGCTTGTTGCGGCCGGAGTCGCTGTTTGCACGGAACCTCTCATGATGATGCTGCATGGTGTCGAGGGACCGTATGGCCACGCTGAGAGTCTCGCTGACGTGCACCCCGTGTCTCGCAATCTCGTGCAAAAGGAAGTAGTCGGTCTCTTGTGACCTCCTCTGCTGCTGGTGAGCTTCTTGACCGCTGACCAGTAAACACGGTGAGCGACACTTACGGCTTCCCACAGGCTGATGTGGTTTCTGACCGCCCAGACCGAGTCATCATACAGCCGAAGCAGCGCATCCGAGACAATCGAGAACACAGCGTACGGACAGGAACGAGAGACGTCCTGCGAACAGAACATCGACTGGATATCCTTTTGCGACTTCGCAGGCACATCAAAGCACAGCAGCGTGACCGGCCCCGACCGCGTCCAGCATGCGAAGAACCCCATTTCGTACCATTCCCATCCGTGGCGCGCACTCTGCGGCCCATGTATTACAACGTCCGCACTCCACTCGCCAGGGCTAGAGTGGTGGTTGGAGACGTGCGGAGTGAACGTCCTCTTGGGCTGGAGCTTGTCGTACGTCTGCTTGACGGTGAAGCGGGACCAGTACGCTGGGGCGTGATGAGCAACACTCTGACGGTGCTCTGGACTCTGCCAGGGCTGCTACTGTACATACTGTAGAGCTCCACTTCCTCGTTATTGTCTAGCCAGACGTCATAGCCGCAAAAGCCGCTGGACTGAAGGTACATTCTGTCAAAGAAGAACGAAGGGATCTTCAGCTTGCCTTTGAGATTTTTCTGGAATTCTGGTGCAGTACGCAAGAACGACTTGGCAGACGCGAATCTCTTTTGTGTCAAAACCCAAACAAAGCTGCTCTATCGGCGACTTACACGACTTGGACGTGCGCAGCGTGGACGTCCTATAGCGAAGTCAGTCACTTACTTGCAGATCCTTTGCTTCACTTGCCTGTAGCAGTTCGTGCCATGTTGTTTCTTGAGACTCGCGTGAATGGGATGCAGTGAGGTCTGGTCGTTCAAGTTAAGACTCTGTCTCGCGTTCGTGACGAAGGGTACATGCCGAGCCGAATGACTTTGTCCGTGTCCATCGCGATGCACAGATTCGCTTGGTAGAGCTATGTAATCACAGTCTGTCGGGTACGCTACGAACCATGGGCGAGTTTGGCAGAGCGAGCAGGCTGACGATCAGGCGCACCATGCATGCATGCATGCATGCATCCCTGGCCCCAGCCGTGGACCTCGCGAGCGACTGACTGAGATCGCTAGACTGCAGACTGACTGGCCGCAGCACCATCACCATAGACACACCATCGCGAATGCATGCTCTGCTGCAGCGATGCCATGGCCTCTGCAGTGCCTACAGTAACCTTTGGCGACGCATACTCGAGCCTCCAAGCCAACACCATCAACGGCTCTGTCCACATAGGTACGTTGCGGGACCGCCCGAGGGCCGTTTGGGCTCTTAAGTAGAAGCGGGACGCTAAGCCGACCCCTCCATCAGGACTCGACAACAGCCTCGGTCGTCTCCCGCAGGCTGCCGACGCGCCCTTTAACGCCTACGCGAAGCAGCATGAGCCTGCCTGCCTCCCCGACACGCGCGTCGCGCTCCTGCGCGAGATACACAGCTGGGTGGACGGCCAAGACGAGCGGCGCATCTTCTGGCTGAGCGGGCTGGCGGGCACGGGCAAGTCGACAGTCGCCCGGACGGTGGCGCGCAGGTACCACGACAGGCAGCGTCTGGCAGCGAGCTTCTTCTTCTCGCGCGGCGGCGGCGACGTCGGCCATGCAGGCAAGTTCGTGACGAGCATCGCAGTGCAGCTCGCGCACAACGTGCCAGCGTTGCAGCAACACATCAGCGACGCGGTCAAAGCGCGCAGCGACATTGTCAGCCAGTCCCTGCGCGACCAGTGGCAGCACCTCGTCTGCGGCCCGCTGTCAAGGCTGCGCCAGCCGCAGCCAGGTCCAGGTCCAGTGCCAGAGACATACATGGTAGTCGTCGATGCGCTCGACGAGTGCGACAATGAGTACGACATCCGCATTGTCGTGCAGCTCCTGGCTGAGATGCGGTCGTCGCTGACAGGAGTCCGGCTGCGGGTGTTCCTGACGAGCAGGCCAGAAGTGCCGATCCGGCACGGGTTCGGGCAGATGGCGGATGCGGAGCACAAAGACGTTGTGCTACACAACATATCCCCGTCGATTGTCGACCACGACATAGCCACTTTCCTCGAGCACCACCTCAGGATCATCGCAAAGGAATGCTATCAGGCGGACGACTGGCCGGGCGCAGAAGCGATCAGGCGGTTAGTGCAGAGTGCAAGCGGTCTGTTCATCTGGGCTGCTACTGCCTGTCGCTTCATCCAAGAGGGCGGACAGTTCGTAGCTGACCGCCTGCGCGCTATTCTAAAGGACAAGCACTCGGCAGATGACTCAACAATCGACAGCTCGTCTAGCGACGATTCTTGCATAGGCCGTCACTTCGAGGTTCCACCTGAAAAGCGGTTAGATAGCATATACCTTACAGTACTCAAGAGCCCTGCTCGCAGATACAGAAAGCACGAAAGGAAAATATGGTACAAGCTGATAAAAGAGGCACTAGGTGCGATCGTGCTCCTGCAATCGCCGCTTGCTGCGTCTTCCTTAGCCCGGCTACTCCGCGCACCTGAGGAGGATGTTCATCGAACACTGTATGAACTGCACTCTATCCTAGACGTCCCACACGATCCGACCCGGGTAGTGCGTCTGCACCACCCTTCGTTCCGCGACTTCCTGCTCGACAGAAACAGATGCGGCGACGACAACTTCTGGGTGGATGAGAGCAGCACACACGAGAAGCTAGCGTCCTGCTGTCTTCAGCTCATGTCTGCGCCCAACAGCCTTCGGCAGGACATGTGCAGTCTTTTGAGCCCTGGAACACTAAGAAGAAAGATAGAAGAGGAGACAGTGGCTACCAGCCTGCCGCCGGAGCTGCAGTATGCGTGCCGCTACTGGGTCGAGCATCTCGAGCGCAGCCAGCACAGCATTACAGACGGAGATGCAGTGCACGTCTTCCTCCAGACGCATCTTCTGCACTGGCTCGAAGCGATGAGTCTGATAGGAGAGACAGATCAGTGCGCGCGCTTGCTGGTGAGACTGCAGGTGCTGGCAACGGTAAGAGTCACTGTGTGATGGACACCACAATGTACTGACTTGCAGCACAGTCACCTACAAGCGCGTGTGCAGACTTCCTCCGCGATGCGAATCGATTTGTGCTGCGATTCTGTTCGATACTTGCAGAGGCGCCCTTGCAGGTGTACTCGTCAGCGCTTGTCTTCGCACCGGAGGCAAGCATTGTCCGGAAGACGTTCTTTGGTCAGGTTCCACAGGAAGTGGAGATGCTGTCAGATAGAGATGCAGACTGGGACGCGTGTCGCAGTGTGCTGGAGGGCCACTTAGGCGATGTGACAGTGGTAGTGTTTTCGCCAGACGGACAGCTGGTCGCCTCAGCATCCCGCGACGAGACAGTGCGAGTGTGGGAGACGACGACGGGCACATGTCGCAGCGTGCTGGAGGGCCACTCAGACGAGGTCACGGCAGTGGCGTTCTCGCCAGACGGACAGCTAGTCGCCTCAGCATCTGACGACCAGACAGTGCGAGTGTGGGAGACGGCGACAGGCACGTGTCGGTACGAGCTGGAGGGCCACACAGGCAGTGTCAGGGCGGTTGTGTTCTCGCCAGATGGACAGCTAGTCGCCTCAGCATCCTGGGACGAGACAGTGCGAGTGTGGGAGACGGCGACGGGCACGTGTCGGTACGAGCTGGAGGGCCATACAGGCTGGGTCAGGGCGGTTGCGTTCTCGCCAGACGGACAGCTAGTCGCCTCAGCATCTGATGACATGACAGTGCAAGTGTGGGGGACGGCGACGGGCACGTGTCGCAGCGTGCTGGAGGGCCACTCAGACGCTGTCACGGTAGTAGTGTTCTCGCCAGACGGACAGTTTCTCGCCTCAGCATCCCGCGACGAGACAGTGCGAGTGTGGGAGACGGCGACGGGCACGTGTCGGTACGAGCTGGAGGGTCATATAGGCAGTGTCAGGGCGGTTGTGTTCTCGCCAGACGGACAGCTAGTCGCCTCAGCATCTGACGACGAGACAGTGCGAGTGTGGGAGGCAGCGACAGGCACCTGTCGCAGCGAGCTGACGGGCCACTCAGGCGGTGTTAATGCGGTGGTGTTCTCGCCAGACGGACGGCTGGTCGCCTCAGCATCTGACGACGAGACAGTGGGAGTGTGGGAGGCAGCTACAGGCACGTGTCACAGCGTGCTGGAGGGCCATACACGCTGGGTCAGGGCGGTTGTGTTCTCGCCAGACGGGCAGCTGGTCGCCTCAGCATCTCGCGACAGGACAGTGCGAGTGTGGGAGACGGCGTTGGGCAAGTGTCGTAGCGAGCTGGAGAACCACTCAGACGCTGTCACGGCAGTGGTGTTCTCGCCAGACGGACAGCTGGTTGCCTTAGCATCTGATGACAGGACAGTGCGAGTGTCGGACACTGCGACGGGCAGGAGTCGCAGCAAGCTGACGGGCCACTTAGGTGGTGTTAATGCGGTGGTGTTCTCGCCAGACGGACAGCTAGTCGTCTCAGCATCTGACGACATGACAGTGCGAGTGTGGGAGACGGCGACGGGCACGTGTCGGTACGAGCTGGAGGGCCATACAGGCAGTGTCAGGGCGGTTGCGTTCTCGCCAGACGGACGGCTGGTCGGCTCAGCATCTGACGACATGACAGTGCGAGTGTGGGAGGCAGCGACAGGCACGTGTCGCAGCGTGCTGAAGGGCCATTCAGGCTATGTCAATGCGGTGGTGTTCTCGCCAGACGGGCAGCTGGTCGCCTCAGCATCCGACGACATGACAGTGCGAGTGTGGGAGACGGCGACGGGCACGTGTCGGTACGAGCTGAAAGGCCATTCAGGCTATGTCAATGCGGTGGTGTTCTCGCCAGACGGACAGCTGGTCGCCTCAGCATCTGACGACATGACAGTGCGAGTGTGGGAGGCAGCGACAGGTACGTGTCGCAGCGTGCTGGAGGGCCATTCAGCCGACGTCAGTGCGGTGGTGTTCTCGCCAGACGGACAGCTAGTCGCCTCAGCATCCTGGGACGAGACAGTGCGAGTGTGGGAGGCAGCGACAGGCACCTGTCGCAGCGAGCTGACGGGCCACTCAGGCGGTGTTAATGCGGTGGTGTTCTCGCCAGACGGACAGCTGGTCGCCTCAGCATCTGACGACATGACAGTGCGAGTGTGGGAGACGGCGACGGGCAGCAGTCGGTACGATCTCGAGGGCCATACAGAGAGTGTCAGGGCGGTGGTGTTCTCGCCAGACGGACAGCTGGTTGCCTCAGCATCTGACGACGAGACAGTGGGAAGGTGGGAGACGGCGACGGGCACGTGTCGCAGCGTGCTGGAGGGCCACTCAGACGAGGTCACGGCAGTGGCGTTCTCGCCAGACGGACAGCTGGTCGCCTCAGCATCCCGCGACGAGACAGTGGGAGTGTGGGAAACGGCGACAGGCACGTGTCGCAGCGTGCTGGAGGGCCACTCAGACGAGGTCACGGCAGTGGCGTTTTCGCCAGACGGGCAGCTGGTCGCCTCAGCATCCCGCGACGAGACAGTGCGAGTGTGGGAGGCAGCGACAGGCACGTGTCGCAACGTGCTGAAGGGCCATACAGAGAGTGTCAATGCGGTGGTGTTCTCGCCAGACGGACAGCTAGTCGCCTCAGCATCTGACGATGAGACAGTGCGAGTGTGGCAGACGGCGACGGGCACGTGTCGCAGCGTGCTTGGGGGCCACGGTGACTGGGTCAAAGTGGTAGTGTTTTCGCCAGATGGACGGCTTCTCGCCTCAGCATCCGACGAAGGGACAGTGCGAGTGTGGGAGACGGCGACAGGGACGTGTTGCAGTGAGCTGGAAGGTCCGTCTCCGTACGTTGACCAACTCGCTTTCTCGTTGGATGGTCAGGTTCTACACACCAACGAAGGAGACATACCGCTGCCTCCAGAACTCAACCCGACGTCGCCTCCTGAGCAGGAAGAGCATCATTCGCAGCTCTTAGTAGAGGACCAGTGGGTGTTGCGCAACACGAAACGCTTGTTGTGGCTGCCGTTCGAGTATCGATCAGATAGCACGGCAACGTACGAAGACAAAGTCTGTGTTGGGTGTCCATCAGGACGCGTGGCGCTGCTAAGGCTGCGACAGACGTGTGCGCAGGAGCATCGTAATTAGTCGCTTGCAGCGATTTGCTTACGGACACATCGGATTCAACATCAACACAGCAGTATCTACAATCCAAACGACAACCGCGTGAACAGGTGTGGCGATGAAGCATGCAAGGAGTTCATATATAGTGTTTGCAGTGACTAGCTACCAACGCTCCAAGCATGTACGCGATCCACGCACAACATCTGCAACGCTACTTAGCGATTTTCCCAGTACTGCAGCCAAGCAACAAGCCTACATGCTGGTCAACTGCTTGTTACGCTGTGCCAACATCGGTGCGTAAAGACCATGTACAGCCACAGTTGTACGCGATGGAGATGCTAAGCCTCGCTCCTGCAACGTGGCCTCGTTTCTGGTACCGACCTGCGCTGCCTGGAGATGCCTCAGCGCGCTCTCCGCTGTGCTCTTCACGCAATCGGTGTTATGGATAAGGAGAGTCAAATTCTGGCACAGGGACTTCCACCTGGTGTGCCCACCTCTCATCGCGCTCTGGCAGATCATGGCAATGCCTCTCGCTCTACCCTCTATGCTTGTGCTCATGGTTGACCGTCTATGAAAGAGAAGGCCCAAAGCCAACAATAATGTCTATCCAAGCAAGCCGGGACGCACGGTGTAATGGGACGGGTTCGCATTTTGGAGCCTCGCCATCTTTTGTTCGTTATTGCATAGACCTGTGGTTGATGTATTATTATTCTGTAGTCACTTCTCTACCAAGTCACCAGCATCCGGCAAGGACTGCAGCGATGCTGCGTATCTGTCGTGCAGCTAGGGGTAGAAAGTGCTTTGTTGGAAAGAGCAAGAACACTGCACCATAACACGTGGCACACATGACCTCCTTACTCTATAAACCGTCACATAACATCGCCATAGTGAACACCTTCGTTGGAACCGCGATGGGACGAAGGCTCTGTCACTTCCCTGTTCAAAGACCCCATACAGAGATGAAACAGAACGAGAATTGTACCATCATACGTGGAATGCGCAAACGTCCGTTCACAGCAGGTCCACAGATAGAACTGTATCTTGTCCGCATCAGGGACATAGGCCACAGACTTGGCCTTCATAGCGGTCGAGGCACCTGCCATCTTTGGTAGGTTTCTGATGAACTGTACGAAAAGTCAATTGCTGCCAGCTCCAGTGCTTGTTTGTTTTTGAAGAATACATTTTTAATGACTGCCGTCTCTTGAGGGTGCCAAACGGAGTCCTTAGCCAAGCGCATAGTGCGCTGAATCTATTGAAACTTCTTCAGAAGTGTTGCAACAGTGATTTTGGCACCAATCCTGCCTTTCCCCGTCTTCACTCTCCACGCCATGTATGCTTGAATCCACGGAATCTTGATCTCAGACTGGAAGGGCGCAGTGACTTTGATCTCTCTAGATGGAGATGGAAGACTGATAGCAAATCTGGATGCGTTAGCTGCCATGCGCGGACTATTGCACAAGGGTCTTGCCTGTTCCACAGCCCAAGCAGCCGCTTCACGCCCTCCCTTTTGTACGCTTCAACGCCTTCTTCAATGGACACAGGTTTACTTTCGCCGCAAGCCAAGGCCACTATGTCGTTGAATTGATCCATGTTGGCGTTACTTTGTCCTTAGGATCTTGATAGATAGCAAAGGAAGTGAAGACAGAATGGGCTGGCTTCAGAACAACGCATAGGACCTCAGGAGTGGTTCATCGATCGAGCCACACTCTCCTGCCATTGCCACCCATCAGCTCACAGGCGGCAACATGTTGGGCACGCGTAGTTCTGTGATTCGCTCTTGGTTTTCCAAAAATGAGTTCTCGTGGTCCGTCTTTGTTTTGCCAAGCCATTGTCCGGGAGCGCCACCAAAACTCCCTATATATGGCAGGGCAATGGTAGTTCCACTAAACCACCGATGCAATGGGGGCTTTACTTGGAAATTATTTCAGATTTTTGAATATATTACTCAAAGACTCATTTTTTACTTGTTATCCCCATCTAATATATCACAAATGCTACTTTCCTCGCTTAGCATTAGGAAAGCGGAAGCGTGCCATGTCTCTACCCTTGAGCGCCCCCATAACTAGTTCGCACCGCAGCGAAAGTCCCAGAGCAAAGCGCGTCGCAAGTGGGAAGCGAGACGTTAGCTTTGAACAACAAGACTACCTTCACACCTCCTGCTAGTCGTGACCCTTCTAGTCTAAAGCGATCTTCTAGTCCGACAAGAGAGACACCCATTGTGCTGAGGAGTGCGTGACCGCCAGTATTGCCGACTACATCGGAGGGCCGCGGTGCCTAGTGGTGGTGAAGATCCTAATTATGTCACCTCTTAGTGAGGGCTTACGTCATCTTAACCAGCCAATAGAGCTTCCCGTCCTGATTTACAGCGAATCCGAATTGCAGAGCCCTATTACGAAGGGCAATTACATAGATGGGAATTTAGCTTACGAGAACCAAAACCTGAAACATGAAAATGTTGAGACACCACATGTTTTTGCGCCGCCCTAGGTACGTCTTGTCGCTCTCATTCTCTACACAGATCATGTTATCAAGTGCTTACGAAAATATTCTAGATCGCACGAAGATCCGTCTTTTGAGTTGCTCAACGTGTTGTTCCACACAGGCCGGTGCTCTGCATGCTGCTACTCAGATATCCAATTAAAGTTGGTTTGTCCCCGCAATGCCCGCCTAAGCTAATTATAACTTCGGGGCTGGCATATATATACTCCTGGCATAAGAGGTGCTTGGCCTCGCCTGCATTCATTACCTTATAATCACACTCGCTCCGCGGAATGACCGCTAGAGATCGTGATGATTTCTCAGTTGCATCACGCCACGGAATCGAACCAGCTGCTGTCTACCGTCTCTTCGGAAGAACAAAATGATGATCGTGGAAAGAGGGTCTCAGGAGTGTCTGTAGTCGCGGATCATGCACGTCTCTCGCCTACAGCGCAAGGTACATTGGAGCCAATAACCATGACTGGCCCGGACGCTGACGTTTCAGATACCCGATTTGCATCATGGGTACCTTTTGCTCTGCGCTGGTACTTTGTCGTGATCCCGACTGCACTTGCTTTCAGCTTGAGCGTCGCTGTCACGATGTTAAGTTGGTTGTCTAAGGGCAATACTGGCCTCAGCTCCGAAAGCTCAGCAATATTTGGCTGGAAATATATACCGACTCTACTAGCTGTGGTATACACGCAGCTTACGGTCATGCTTTTAAACGCCATAAAGACGACAGAACCATTCGCTCGACTAGCAAGGCCAATCGCGCAAGTTCCTGTGGCTCGATACACCATACTTGAAAAGTCAAGGCCTTGGTGGACGACACTCTTTCATGGCTTCCGGAAACAGAACAATGGAGGTGTACGGAGCTGGGTCATCATTCTGAGTTGTACGCTCTTTATCATAGCTGCGCTCGGTATCTCGCCTGGCTCCGCGGCTCTGCTCAGTACACGTGAGACACAGGTCTCGAGTCCAGTAGAGTTATCTCAGCTCATCTTCAGTCCGACCTCGGCGGTAAAGCCCCGAGCTCAACGCGACACCTATCTCCGCACTACCGGCGCACTTCTACAGAATTACAGCACATCACCATGGGTGACTAACGATTACTTTGTTCTGCCTTTTTGGCCTTCTGAAACAGCGACTTCTTCTTGGAATTATCGCACTCCAATCCCGCAGGTGTGGGAAGCCGAGACCACTGTGTTTCGAAGTGATCTCAATTGCAACAATCTAGCAATGAAAAGCAAGGAATTCTACGTAAGACATGCCGTTGATGATATTGAAGCGAAGATAAACAAACAACCCTTCCTGGCATCAGTACTGATGGAATCGGAAAACGGCTGCCAGTACAATCTCACTTACAACGCCACAACGCGCCACGGAACAGGGGACGAGAGCTTTGCATCTTGGGGTGACATTAGACATATCGCCAAGGACAACGTATATGATTCCGATGCCCGTGTAATCTTGAACAAAGAATGCATGAGTACCGAGACGATTCTGATGAGTACGCCTTGGTTTCCTCCGAGTCGCGACAGGTTTGCAGAGAATATGACGATAGTGGCATACATCTGTTCCTCCAACCATACTATGGCAACGCTTACGGTGCGTGCGTCCTCGTCATCGGGCGGTTTGTCGGTTACTTTTGACCAAGACGCCTTCCATCGGACAGCTCAGGACGTTCCCTCAACGATGTTAGACTTGTTGGAGATGCACAACATATATACAGATCCAGACTGGTATTCCTTCATTCCTCAGCCAGCGCAATTCAAACAGTCCGCTCCGGTACTCGGGGGAGTAGCAGCTTTGTTGGGCACAGAGCACGCATACAACATATCAGAGATGATAAATGATTCTGCACTTCCAGAGACTGCCGCTAAGATGAGACGTCGCTTCTTTGCCGAGGTCCTTCAGACCTCTCTAAGCATTTCGGGCAACTACGAAAACGTGGTAATACCCGGTGTACGGGTAGCTATGGAGCGCCGGATTTTCGTCAGTACAGAGGTTGCTGCGTTGCTTTGCGGGCTCTTCTCCGTTTCTTTCTGCATGTTTTTGGTCATTTTGTGGCTATCGCGGCCCAAAAACAGGCCCTTAAATATCAGCCGCGATCCAAGTACCGTACTAGGCCTCAGTGCCTTGATCATTTCAGACACCTCGGTCTTACCTACGTTCGCCGCATTAGACCTTTCCAATAGGCAAGGGCTGAAATCTGCGCTTGCGGGAGAGACCTTTTTCACAACACCCAATGTCCTACAGAAAGCAAAATCGGAGCCTAGATCCTACTCAGACGGTGCGTACACTCGGGCATTATCAATCGTCATACTTATCTCTAGCAGATGTATCGACCTCTTCGGACACTGGAATACTACCATCGTTACGAGTTCGAAACTTGTTAAGTCTACTGGCCTATATTACCGCGCTTTTAGTGGCGATCGCGGTTCTCTTCAGTCTTTCACATCGGTCGAACCTGCATCAGGCTTTATTCACGTATCGTACCAACGTCAAAATCCTCAACCACACAGGTTCCTTCTCACCATTCGCCATTGTGCCGACTTTACTTGCGGTTATCGTCCGAATCTGGTGGGAGACCATTGATGACACCTGTAGGACGCTGCAACCATTCCTATCAATGTCTCGTGCAACGAAGCCACTATCCTCAGGAGTTGGGTTGTCTTACACAACTTCTTTTTGGCTTTGGGCTTCTGTCAAGGCTGCCTTAAATCACGACTGGATGCTTTCGCTCATCACATTGACGACTCTGCTGCTTCAAGCTCGTAAGTCACACGATCTGGCATTCAACATTCAAGAACTAACCAACGGCGAAGTAACAATCTCCATGGCTGCTCTCTTTGATCAGAGCAGCGGCATTCTCGAACAGTCTATAAGTTCCAATCGCACTCTTGAACTTCGACGCGACCCCCTCTTTCGCAACAACAATATGACCTACGATCCTCATCCACCTAATTCATGGCATATCAGCTTCAGATCGAGCCCATACATCGGTCCTATCTTAGAAGATACCTTCGCTACTAGCGACACTGATTGGATGTATACTGCTCTACTACAGACGGCATTAAACGGACCGGAACCCCCGTGGAGTCGAGATGGATGGAGCTTTATACCTTTGGACCTTGATCAGCTTTCGAAACAGACCTCAATGACTGAGAATACAGATGTTCTATCGGCAGGAGCTGCAGAACTAGGACCTGTGGCGAACTTCACAGTCCGTACCCCAGCAGTTCGTGCTCGCCTTGAGTGCAGTGTCTTCAACGATGCGCAGAATGCAAGCCATTGGCTCAGTTTCCAGAACGCCACGATATATGATATCTCCTCTTACAAATCGGTGTATGTACCAGACACGTTGATGTTTGGAAACAATACATCGACTTGGGTCACGGCTCAAGCTATTGATGTACAGTGCTGTTTCAACTCCACTAGATCGCCGGACTTGAGCGAACAAGAGACCACTGTGACGCTTGGATATTGGACCGAAACCTTCGATATTGGCGATTCAGAACAGAAGGGGACAAATGGCAATCTCACCATCAAGTGGATTCATGGCACCGCTGGATTTGCCCATTTGGTCACCGAAGAACCATCAATGTTCTTCCCAGAGCCGCCGAATATACAGGCGTTGATGTGTGTACCCCGCATTGAAACAGCCAAAGCTGAGGTGACGGTGGATTCGCGCAACGGGAACGTGCAGGGGTTCCAGATCCTTGAGCCTCCCAATTCAGATGATGTTGCAGCATGGTCGGATGAGTTCCAGCTGCGCAACTGCTCCGAGTTCCAAGACAAATTAAAGACTAATCAAGTATTGTGCAGTGATGTGACTACGAGGTAAGATCTTCAGTTCATTTATCCAAATGTGTACTGATGTCTCACCTAGCTACGGAAACCTGTTCGCGAAATCATTGCTACGTGCGGCATGTCTCGGAAACGTCGCCCTGGTCACGCCGAACCTGAATGCCGCGAGACCCCCTGATCATCTCACTGATAAAGTCTTCAACATGCGAGACAACACAACGGGGCTTAACGTCGACTTCATGTCTTACGCATTATATGCACGGGTGGGATTTGACCCAATTCCACTTCTGGATCCCGAGGTCCTGCTTCGAGAGAGTCAGGAAGTATTCACCACCTTTTTCCAACACTTCGCAAGCCGCAACGTGTCTGCTCACACTGGCGGCTGGGTCTATCAGCCGATCGGATCCCAGCTCCAAGTTACGTCGCCTGTTCCGGATGATTGGGCGCCTCTGTACATGTCCAACAAAAACAATACACCGAAGTTTCAAGACGTTCCTCTACGGAATACCGAACGAACAGCGAACGCAGTTCTGAGCACTCGCGTCGAAGTACTGCGAGTGAATACAACTGCTTTTTGGATCTCCACAAGCATTATAGTGTGGCTCTTCATTACTACAGTTATCTTTGCAGCAGTGCAGAGAAGGTATCTTGGTGGTATGATGCGTAACGTTGAGTGTATCGCGGATGTCCTGGTTTTGATAGCTGGAAGTGAGCGGCTATTGAACCTTGTCAAGGAGAAGGACATTGACACGTTGATTCAAGAGAACAACTTACAAACGCGTTTCAGATGGGTTAAAGACTCTAGTGGAATGATGAGGTGGCGTATTGAGCTTGTTGAAGAACAGGTGGAGATGCGGCCTATATCTCTCGGAACAGCATATGCACGTCTGCCGGTAGACGACGAAAGGGATGCGGAAAGTGTTACGTGTACTACTAGTGTTGTGCCGCTGGAGTCAACACAAGATTGAAGTTCATGTGTCACTCGCTGTCATGGGCGGGACGGGTCGTAGGTTCAGTTGTCAGTCGTCTCCAATTGGCGTTTCAACACTCGAGGTGTGTAGCGGTGATGGAACACCGCGCCTTTTCCATGCTTGTGCACCAGGACGACGTCTTTCCGTAGCGATTGCACGGTACGAGCAGCTGCTATATGGAAAGCCTGTTGGATGTCATCCGATAGTCGACGTCCTGAAGTTCAATCGTCGAGTCACGCCATCACAGCTGGACAATATGACTTTGTTGTTACAACGCAACTCCAACAGCGTTGGGCCGAGTAGCTCAGCAAATGTTCATCCTGGTACAAGGCGCGGCTGCGATGGCGGTCAAAGCCGCGAGCCTACGGTTGGCCTCTGAAACGTAGCTCGCATCAGCCCGATTGGAGAGCCTGTTTCTTGCTGCTAGCCAGGTGTGCAGGAGCCCATCGCGTGGTCAGCTGTCATTCGTCGTCACACCTGGCGACCCTCCGCACTAAATCTTCCGCTGCTGCGCCACCTCTCCGCCAACGGCTCAGGGTGCCATCTCTTCCAGTTCTCCAGGGTCCGTTGTCATGCCGAACGCACTGCTTGGGTTATACCAGTTCGGGAAGAAAGAGGTGACATCGATTTATAGTGGCGAGGACCCTGCACACGCCATACGCTCGTCCGCATTTTGTGGACTTTCCATTGGGCGGATTTGCTACGGTACGAGCTAACGGAACCAAACAAAATAGAACCCAATCTCCCTTCGAGATGTTGAAAGCCGGAATATGGCTGGGTCAGGTGACCCCAAGCCACCTCATATATACTACTTCTACCGGCTACATAGTCCATCACATAATCAATCCTTATGCCTCATTGCTTTGCTTAACACGAGATACCATCGCATTCATCAACATTCGACAATGCTCGACTTTCTCGTTGAGATGAAGCAATTTTATCTCGAGCTCATCAATACGCTTCTGCCGGGATCGGCAAGCCTCAGCTATTTCATTCCCCTCCTTCATCTGCCGCTCGGCGTTCTTATGCCACCATGGAAACTGAGCCATGGCCAGCTATGCGCAACGATCCACCCCCTAAGCATTGTGGCTACGGTACGTGCATGGTTTGCCTTAGGTGGAAACGATTTTATTTCTACAGATTGTCTTTACTTGACACTATTTCTGTACTTCAAAGATCCGCGGCGGAACTTCAGACGCGTCTATTGAGAAGGAGCTATTCTCTGGGTATCCATTACCGTTTAGGTACTAGCGTTATCCTGTGTAATTGGTAGCGTTCGCCACCACTCAATAACACTTATATCACATTCTACTTTTTACAGAATCGTCAGAAATGACCTGAGCGACCTTCCGCAAGGGTCAAACAAACCACAGCCAAATGAAAGTGACAAAGATAAAGAGCCCGCAGATTCAAAGTCGATTGCTCTGGAAGCTTACCCGGAGACGTTCACAGGCCGCCTTACCTGGGCGATGATGCTCCCATAAAGTCGACCTCTATATGACTGGACGATCGGTAATGCTGGGCATGACTTAGTGTTCTTCGCCTTTTCAACATCCTACCCGATTTGTGTTTGCGATGGACATCTTCTCGCGTCTTTCGCCCGCTCTGTCTATTTTCTTGCTATTGTTGAGGCAGCTGGCCAGACACGACCCCTATTTCAGTGACCCTACGTGGTCGGTCTTGGGTCCAAGCGGATCCGAACGCAGCGGCGAAGCAAGGTAACAGATCTGCTGAGGGCGGCGCTGCCACTGTTCATGCTCAGACCTCGAACACCGTAGCGTGTAATGGCGGAGAAGGGTCCAAAATACGGACGCCATGTATGTGGAGATCATTCGTCTGGGATAAGACGTATTGCATTAAGGAGCACAAGAAAGAGCATCGGCGGTAGGTATAAGATCATAAGTAGGGAATAGGCATACATGTCCATGATCAAGGGTTCCATCAGCAGATGCGGCATATCGTGTCTGAGCCGGGACATTGGTTTGCAGCAAAGCTGGAGTTAGCAGATTATTGTTGGCAGATGACCTTCAAATACATGTTGATATGTGTATCTGCGTTCATCTTGAGTGGCATCACACACTCGGGTCTGGTGCCGCCAAAGCCAAGATTTGCGACAGTGGGGGCGAATGAACTTCGCTTGAAGTTGGCGAGCTTCTTTTGGGTACAACCAATTGGCATCGCAATCGAGTTGTTTGCGTTAGAGCCCGCCCTGTGCAGCCTTCCTTCTTCGATGCGAGAATTGCAGGGGCTGTTGAGAATCGTGTGGACGGTGGTCTTCATGTGCTTCCCATGCACTTTCTTGGTCCTGCCATTTGCCCAGTTGGGATACTGGAACATCATTCCTTCTGAGTATCTTTCGCACCTGCTGTAAGAGCCATGGGCAACATGACGATGAACGGAACATTGGAAGACCAAAGGGTGTTGCCTTGCTTATGTCAGCTGCTGTTGCCTTTTCGGGAAACATGTGCATGCCGCAGCAGAGCCCCTCCTATCCACTTTGTCTTCTTGTTCGCTCAACGCTATAATCCGTTCAAAGCTTCCTCACATTGTGCACCATGTGTTGAAGTGAGTGGATTGTGTTGATTGATCTCACGAGCTATTGGCTAGAATCGATCGAGACTATATAGTAGAAGGGGATAGCAGTGAAGGGTTGGGGAAGCAAACCGAGCTAACCGAATGAGCTGGACAATCAGTGCAGTGGACCGTTAGCAAACACTGCAACGGACCGTTAGCAAACAGATAGCGATCGGTGGATATCTTCACTCCCTCCGACACCATGGGTGTCGAATGCATACGCTTTCCTGGATCTGTTTCGTACTATAACCCAATGAGGAAGACTCGACGATGGCAGAAGGCTATTGTCATAGCCATCACGTGGTAGTACTGGTAGCTTCTATATGTAAGCTTCTCTCACCCACCAAATACTACAAAAGGACCACACACTTTGCCTATTGACAGCTATGGGCTCTTCCATTAGCCTTGCCAGCGATGCACTCTCTCATACTCGCCAGAAGACGATCTATGTTCCACTTGTCAATATCTACTGTTGAGACATTTAGTGACTTGTGTGTCTGTGGAGACCCATCGGCGAATCTTGTTCCATCTTTGGCAAGGTCAAGCGGAAGATGGCGCAACAGTGAGCTTCCGCTTATGCCACCTGGTTCAGCACATAATCTCGCATGCTTTTGGGGAGAATCCAATATCAGACATGATGCCGAACGACTGGTCTATATCGCTATTCCTTGGTTCTGATCGCGAGATACCATACAGTACTGCAGCAGATATCTACCTGCATTTCAGAGTCGAAGAAGATGGTATGTCGAATATGCGGGTTGGAGATATTCACATAAGCGACTTGGAGAAACTGGTGGTGTAAATGCTATGTGTCAGTGCGATAGTTTATTGACCAAGATTGCAAAGTGCGATCAAGAGTGTGCTGAGGAGCACGTCAGCTGTCGCGCAAATTACAGAGCAGCGCTTCTATATGGATTTCGACTTATTAATACTGTATGACGGTGCACTGTCGAGACGAGTGAGGTCCCTGTTGTAGCTTTGAGCTATGTTTGGGGTAAAGATATGCGACCGTCACTTTTTGACCGTAACTAAGAATACCATTGCAGCGCTGGGTAAAGAGGGTGGCTTGTCGGTGGTGGACATGCCCCGGGCAATTGACGATACCATGAGTATCTACACAGAGCTCGGTGTCAAAAACCTAGGGCCAGACCGACATTGCACCATTTAGGACGATTCTGACAAGGTGCATCAAATAATGGCCACGAATGACATCTACGACCTGGTCTCTGCTTATACTTCGGGATCGATGGCATCAGTCGACCCCGGCGAATTATTCAACGTAACGAAGAGGTTCCAGGCCTTAGAATTACCAATCTCGTCCATGACAGACGCGAGGCTGGCATACCAAGAAGCTGACTGCGCGAAGCGATTGCTTCAATTCACGAACACGCGAGCTTACTTCGAATGTTGGGCCTCGACATGTTATGAGGACATGTACAACATCGACACTGAAGTCAATGAGTTCAATGCCTTTGGTATCCGTTTGATGGATGAGGATTTGGTTTTTGAGGCCTTTGGGCGGCATCTTGCGAACTACAAATCGCGGCAACTATTCTTCTTGTTAGACGTTTACAACGCCTTCATCGGTATTGCCAACTTGTTTTATGGATCAAGCTATACTGAGTCATTCTTTTGTGGCCTGCCAAAGGTGGGATTCGATCGTGCGCTGCGGTGGTATATCTGGGATGGCGAGAAAGCTGTCAGCAGACTGGAGACATCAGACCATATCTGCCCCAGCTGGTCTTGGGCATCTGCCATGATTCAAGGATGTAACTGCGTGAGCAGTGTTGGTTGGAGGCTGTGATAATCGATTGTGTTGCTATCTGTGTTGTTGTTCGATGATGTTGTTGTTGTTCAGGAGCTCTCAGCTCAGAGGTAAGTGCACTTGCCCTCAGGCAGTGCCTACCACAATAGGATATTATGCGACTTAAGCCACGTGGTTACATCTTCTATACATGTGTACTTGAGCTCATCAACAAGAGGGCCATAGAAAGTGTTCCGAAGAAATGTAACGATAACGCGCCTGAGTTCGAATCATAGGATTCGGAAGCCAAATATGTGGTCTTGACAATTCGCGTGGTGCTCTGTCCCTTCCTTGTACTGGCTGCTATCGGTTTCTGGGTCTGGTGGCAGTCTACACACCATGATGATCTGCAGAACGCTGCAGTTTCAGTCATGTTCTTCAGTACACTGATTTCCATTCTTTGGATGATTGTGACGCAGATGGGTAGAAGCAATCCCTGAGTATGTGATATAATGAGAATAATACAATGCCTTTGTTTCCGATAAGTTACCAGTACGCTCTCACAAAACTCGGCTCGTGTATACGAGTTGACGGTACACAGACTACCCAGAGACGGACTTGAAAAGATGAAGTGGGGCCTGGCCATGATTGTTAGACTTCTTATATAGCGCAAGATGCCGAAACAATAGCTTCATCACTCTTGAGTTCCTCGAGTATGGCTCCAAGTTCGTTGACGAGGGTGCCAGAGCCAATTCTCATCGGGCTGCTTCGATCAGTTACTATCCCAGCCGGGCGTACTTGCGCGGCTGATGTAGTTTGAGCGTCCCTTCGGACTATCATTTTGTCCTCGATGAGACTAAGTAACTTTTGGAAAGGTGTGCTGCACCATTCCGCAGAGCGAAGGTCCGCTATCAACTATAGACTATACATCAGCATTCTCGGTACGGTTGCGTTCTGACCAGAAGACTTACCTCGGTGACACAAGGTTTTACTTGCACCCTCATTGCTCCCGTATCTGGATCTTTCCCAGTTTTCTCAAAAAAAGCATCGCTTAGATCGTCCTCTTTGCGGTTGTGCGCAAACATTTCGACGTGGTCGTATCCGCGTAGGAACCATAGCACAAACTCAAGATACACACAACCGAGAGCCCATATATCGCATAAAGTGCTTATGTTTTTCTTTAAAAGACACTCGGGCGATTGATATGTGGGCGTGTAAGGCACACGTTCGTTGTCGTGAAAGGAGAGCCGTCTATCATCCGTACTGAACCGTGTGATTCCGAAATCTGTGATTTTTAGAACGCCCCCAACAGTAGAACCACTATCGGGGAAAAAGAGGATGTTGTTTGGTTTGATGTCTCCATGTCGGCCGAATAAGAGTTGTGGTGAGCCGATGTTCAATGCAACATCAGAAGTTCCCCTAGTGTGTGAGGCTTTCCAAAGACTGGATGTTTTCGGAATTGTACGATAACGGTGGATTTCGTAAAGTCCTTGGGCAATTCCAAGACACTGTTCGAGCAGCCACCTCGCCATTCTTGGATCACTACCGTATGGCCCACGGTTATCTTTCCAGTGTCTCTCAAGATCTGCATGAGCCCAGGGGAATATGAGACAAAATTCCCCACGATATTCGTAAGTGGCCAGGAGGGAGATGACATGTGGGTGTGCGTGTGGTCTTTTGCTCATACTTCTTAGTATAACAGCTTCTCGTTGGGCGGCTTTACTGTCCGTCGCTGACAGATGTTTGACTGCTACCACACAACGGGTCTCCTGCGGTTGATACACTCGTCAGCACCTCTGAGGGCTGCAAATATTGAGGCAACTAACCTTCATGTCTTTGAAGGCGTGGTGACCTGAGTGTATCTCGGTCTCAAACACCTTGCCATATCCACCTTTCCGTGCTTTGGCACACTTGGTGAAGGGAAGGATGTGATCGACCTGTAGTTGTTGGTGTGAGTCGTCACTATCGATTGATTTATCAAAAGATGCCGCCAAAAACATCCACTGGCGGTCTTCAAACTCCGAGACACCTGCGAAGGTCCATTTCTTGAAACATTTAAGTGGCGTCGTCGGATCTTTGGCTCGACGCAATTCGTAACGAGGTTGCGTACCTCTGGAGGAATGCTCCTTCACAAGTGGGAGATCGTCGTCGCAGACCCCATCTTCGACAAATGACCATATCAGAGACGGTCGGTGAAGTTCTAATAGGATAGCAAAAATCTTCCGATACGTCTTACCACTGCCAAGGGAATCAGTACTTTTGGCTTCGATTGGTACATCTGTCGGCCTCCTGAGGGCGTGTCGGATCTTGCGCGGAAGGTATTCCCACCTTGCAAGCTCGTTATCAACAGACTTCTGGGTGATAATGTCGCACAGATGATTCTGGGGAACAAACTGCTTGTTACATACGCTGGAACGTATAGCAGCACCCTTCAGCTGGTCCTTCAGACGACTCGATCTACGATCGATATGGATCGGTCGTGTTTTTGAGAGATTCTCGATCTGTTCGGGCGAGGCTGACTTCGCATTATCTTCCTTTTCCGTTATTCCTCTTTCCAAGAAAATCTGTGAGCGGCGGACTGCTGAAAACATGTCATGCACGCTCTCAACGATGTATGATCTTCGATGCGCGTTGGCATCGCTGAGCTTTCGTTTACGCAAAGGTGATAAGACATATTCAGACTGGGACTTCTTGTGACGTCTGTGAAGTTGTTCGTTGGTGCGTAGCCGTATGTTCGTAGGTTTAGATTTGGGGAGATCTTCGATCGGTTCTTGTTCTGCTTCAGCATGGCTGGTATCCACCTGGTTTGTCAAAGTAACTCCATCAACCTCACAAGAAGGGTTTCGTGAAGCAACCGGTGCTACAAGGCATTAGCATAGAAACGTTTGCAAAGGACACGGGGTGAAGTTTACTCAACGCAGCGGATAGCCTGTTGTGATCCATGTTACGCTTCACTTGATTGTTCTCACCGGAGCTCAAGTCTGATAAGTCTGTGTGTTTTCCTGAGAGGACAAAAAAGCTCGGCAGCTGCTCTAGGGACATGGTCAGTAGTAGGTGACAGCGATGTAAGCTTCTGTGTGCGGCAACCAGGCGGACAGCGAGCTTACGGCGAACAGGTGGATCGCTTCCATTCCCGGAGTCCTCTGATCCAGCACATTATGTATACCTCAAACAGCAACAGGGCATCATCAGCTCGGCTGTGGGCACGTCAGTCGAGAACATCTACCAGGTGACATAATTAGGAAGCTCGAAACTTACTGGCACCTTCAAATAGCCCCCAAAGATGTGTGCATACAGCTGGGATTGGTGGACTAGTATAGCGTCTGGCGCCACCAAATAAAGCGCTTGTTGCCTTGTTTCCAAGATGCAAGGCTGAGCTGACTATGAGCTCGGGAGACCTCTCAAGCGCGCTAGCATTCCTGCGTATTCGAATGTCCACACTCAGTGCCATTGGGTATGGGTCAATCTGCAACTCGCACTGTCAATCAACTACAACCTAAGCAAAACAAGACCAGAAACGATCAAATAGACCACAATGATCGGGCACTCGAAAAATTCATCGTTCGTGATTATGTCTAACATCAGCCTCGATGTTTCTTGAGCGTCGTAGTCAACTTGGCTCTGACAGAAGGGATCGCAAGTTCTGGATGTGGTAACACATCATGCAGGGTGCTGAGTAGGCTTGCGTCACAAGGTGTGGTCAAGGCTGCCCTATCTTGCCTGATGCTGAATGAGTATGGAGCGGGCAACCGGGTTGGGGGCGGTTTGCATATAGGAGGCCGGAAGCCATGCATGATTGAGAGCATTTTCGACGTGCCTCTACGTCTAGCGTCCTTACGCTTGCTCGGATGCACCTCTTCAGCACTGCGTAGTCGGGGTCGACCCTCGAAGGACGAAGCTACCGAAGCCGCTGGGACGGCACATGTCCAGAAGCGGGGATCAGGGACGGGACGCTGGTGTTTCCGCGGCCCGGCGCGTACACGTGAGAAGCCGTGGTCTTGATCAAGACTCTCATGGATTTGCATATTCACCGTATAATGCGTGGCAAGCATGATAGGAGGTTCCAGTACTAGCACCTTGATTGATGCTTGTAGGTCCGTTTAGTGTTGCACAGCGTGAACTGTTGATCGAACTCCGGCCCCCAAAGTTTCCATCCTGCTGCCAAGACAGGACCCTGCACCTGCACCGTGCAGCTCAATCTCGGCTTGCCAATCTTCACCACCGCGCAACTTGCCGCTCAACACCTGTCCGCGACGGATTCGAGGCTGATTGGCTTATCTTTGCTTTTGCGCAATTCAGTGCACCATCGTGATGGCCCTAGTCATCATTGGAGAAGCAGAGCCGCATCACGCGGCCAAAGTGAAGCTCTTCGCTTCTTTTGTACGCGTGTCTTGATTCGGTGCATGACATTGCAGTAGACTCTACAGTGCAAGTGTTAACACTTGACGCGCGCGCCAGGTGGCACCAATCCAGACGCATATATGCTGAAGCGCGCAAGTCTGTTGGCTTACGCGCGCGACGAGTAACTAAATGACCACAGCACTTCTCCTGACCACGATCCACTATCATTCCTGTTTTCTCTATCTTCCGCCTAATGTAGCGACACAGTCCCAACATCCAGCTGCCTCGGCCCATCTTTCTCAAAAGTTGCCTCATTCAGAGCGTTCGTACCGAACAAAATGCCCAGAGTCCCGCCGCATACAGAGGAGGAGTTGTCCACAATTCTCCGAGAGCACAGTGTCAAGAGCCAATTTGGCAAGCGCTCGGATCATTTTCTACCACGAGGCGAGCTCGACCGATTGATCACGAGAGACTCCATACTCGCGGAACTAGAAATTAAGGAGGAAAATGCTGACGAAGCCGAAGACTTGATCGATTTCATCTTACAGAAGGCTAGGAGACTCTTTGCAATAGTTGTGTACATTCGGTTACCGAGAGTGGAAGATGCTATGCTTTTGTTCCAAGCGAATGATTTCCACGATGCACGACTACCAATCGAAGAATGGACCAGAGACGTCTTTGAAGCAAAGCTCCGGGAGAACATTGAGCATCCATTCATTGTCATGCAGGGAGTCTTGAGGCGGAGAAGGGACTACATCTGGTCGAGAAGCTACATATATGACTTCCAAAAGCGTCAATGGGAGTTTCTGGCACCAATCATCTCCACTGAGGAAACGAACGACTGTCACAATAGCAATGCGATCTTACCTTTCATTACGCAATACACCAATCTTGCCGAGGGCTCGTTTGGTGTTGTTTCGAAATACGCAATACATCCGGACCATATTTACATTGGGAAGGGCTGTGCAGCCGTTGTAAGTATGCTAAAATGAGAGCGACTTTATCAGCTGACCACCTCCAGAGCTCCAATATCTTTGCAATCAAGGAGATAAAAGTTGATATCGAAGAAGATCGCCACAAGGTAGCCGAGCACTGGAGCAGCGAAGTCCGAACACTTTTGGAGATGAACAAACTAAAGCAAGAGCACATTGTTCGATTCATTACAGCGTTTCGTTACGGAAAGCTGGATGACCCAGACCATTTCCTTGTCTTTGAGTGGGCGGACGGTGGAAACCTCTCCGACCTCTGGAAAGAGAAACCTCATCCGGTGCGGACATCTTCATTGACAAAAACCGTCATTGGAGAGCTCCTTGGACTTGCCAAAGCACTAAATGCAGTTCACAATATGTCGGCCGACAAAAACTACCGCCATGGGGATTTGAAGCCTGCAAATATCCTCTGGTTCCGTACAGATGACGAGTTTGGTACCTTGAAGATTGGAGACTGGGGAGAAGCGAAGGTTCACTTCGTTAACACGGAAGCACGACTCAGTAATACTTCTTCCAAATTTGGGACCCGTCGATACGAACCTCCGGAGAATGATACAGGCCTCACATTCGGAGACTCGCTGCAGGCCGAGACAGTGGGCCAGAAGCGGCGCTCTCGTCTATATGATATATGGGCAATTGGGTGCATTGCGCTTGAGGTTGTGATATGGCTCCTTTACGGCAACGAAGAGTTGGAAAGGTTCAATTTGGAAGTTCAAGGAGACCATAAAGTCAACTCGCCATTCTATCAGGTGAAGAAGGTCGGGGCTTTGAAGACTGCTGAGGTCCACAGAATCGTCACACATTGGATTCAACACATGCTGCAAGACATTGCATGTCGACCTGGTACTACGGCACTAGGCGATGTTCTTGAAATCATCCAGACGGGTCTTCTTGTTGTCAAGCTGCCCCAAGCTGGCGGCAGATCCATGAGTGGGGGTCAAAGTCTTCGCAAACCGCTTCATTTCGCTGCACAGACAATCAAGTTGGACAGTGGCGATAGCATCAAGATTTCAGTGTCTCCGGAACAGTCTGTTGCTGTGGAAGAGTCAGTATCTCATGTTCCATCGATTGAGGTCACTCCCGCCGCGCCAACTGAGCTCGTAGTACAGCCAGACCCAATGCCACACCGTGAGACTGCTGGGGCGGCAAGAATACTTGCCGAGGATCTTCTAGAGAAGTTACATCATGTTGTTTTGACGGATGAGGAAAGTTACTGGTATACCGAGGAGCGTTTCCACTGTGGGCCTACCAAGCTTGAAGATGGGCCCCCACTTTCTATGACCGTGCGTTCGAAGTCTGGCGATACGACAATGGGAGCTCTCGAGGTCAAAATACCTGCCGAAGTGGACTACGCTCACCCGCCCCTTGATCCCGTAAACTGGGTTTACGAAATCGACAACGTGTTCGCTTGCACGCTCTTCAAACACTTGAGAACGAGGGATTCACTCAAAACACTCACACCCTCCGTTGTTCCTCCCCTTTGCGAGAAATGTAACGAGTTACGGGATTCTTTGTGGCAGTCTAGGCCATCCATTGGCTACTCCCCGGGCGAACTCAAAGACAGCGTAACGGGAAGCCACTGCAGATTGTGCAGCATGCTGTGGGGGATCTGTGAAAGCGATGGAGATATTCTACCAGCTGAAATACACTTTCGTAAGGATGGGTCCAGGTTGATGCGAACTGACAAGAAACAGCGAACGCTCTCGTTATATCGCGGACCTGGTAAGTGGTGAAATTGATTGCGCAACGCAGAATAACTTTGGCGCGACTAACTGTGCACAGACGCGGAAACTTCGCCAGCTACAGAGATACAGATTGGTCTACCCCAGCTCCCGGAGGCTGGCAGTCGCACACATCTTGATATTGTTCAAGAATGGCTTCACGACTGTGATAGACACCGCGATTGTGCTCGTCAGCAGGGCAGGATGCGCGATGCGCGGAGATCTGCAGGTGTACCAACACGACTCATTGATGTGGGCATTGTGGGCGATCAGTCTGTCCATCTGCAAGAGGAAAATATCGAAGCCAACGCTGAATGGGTCGCATTATCTCACCAATGGGGCCCTCCCCCATACTACTTCACGGAAACGAGCAATGTCGACAGTCGCAAGTCTGGCATAAAACTAGCGGACCTGCCTAAAACGTTCAGAGACGCGGTTGCAGTCACGCGTGCACTGAAACGCCGATACCTCTGGATTGATTCTATCTGCATAATCCAGGGACACGGTGGAGACTTTCATTCGGAGTCCAAACGCATGGAGGACGTCTACAGTGGCGCATATTGCGTTCTTGCTGCGAGCTGTGCAACTGGGCATGATTCAGGGTTCCTACAACCAAGAAGGGCACGAGACTACGTCACGGTGAGCCCAAAAGGAAGCAACACACTGGTCTACATCTGCGAATCTATCGACAACTTCAAAGACCATGTACTGAATGGTGCTCTCAACCGCCGCGGCTGGGTACTACAGGAGCATGCACTCGCGCGACGAACCATCTTCTTCACCGAATACCAGACCTACTTTGAGTGTGGCCGAGGTGTACGATGCGAGACTATGACCAAGATGAGCAAGTAAGTCGTCTCGCGATGTGACGTCAGAACGCTCATTGATGGTACGTACAGCAAATCGGCTGAGCTTCTCGGTGACCCAAATTTTCCTCGCATCCTCGTCAAGGCGCCGCAAGGCGAGAGGATACTCCGATATCAGGAACTGTATCAACAATACTCTAGACTTGGCTTGTCCCAAGACTATGATCGGCCCACTGCTATCGATGGACTGCAGCAGAAGCTTCTGCGGACGATGGATGTTGAGGGTGGATTCGGTGTCCTTGAAGACAGGAATATCAAAGGCACCCTTCGCCGCAGCCTATTATGGCACCGAGGAACAGACACACACAACCTGGAACGCATTGTCTTTCCGAACGATCGTGCTGGTGTCCCGTCATGGTCATGGATGGCATACGCTGGCGGCAAAGACAACTCTGGTGGCATCGACTACTTCAATCTGGATTTCGACGGATTCGATTGGCAAGCCATCACATCTCCCTGGTCTCGCGCAGACAGTGAAGATGAAACGAATGCCCTTATTGCCGAGAGCAGAGAATATGACGCGCTGCTCAAGAAGGGCAATAATGAGAACGATTTTAGGATCATTCTGGACGCACCCGCAGAAGAAGGACAGTATACGACCAGATGCATTGTTCTGGGCATTGAGAAGGGCGGCATCAGTCTTATGGACAAATCACACTATGTCCTCGTCATCAAGCCTACGGACTACACGAATGAGTATGAGAGGGTTGGCGCAGGTTGGATGCCAGGCAGGTGCCTGAGGGGTGAGGTCGAAGAGGTCCACGTGGTCTAAGTATTAAAGAGGCGACATTGCTCTTCAAGATAAGCGTCAAGATGTCCTGGTTATCAAAGCTGGCATCTCTGGAAGGATTGGCGCTGGCTATGAGCCTGTAAGATGTCTTGTGGGAGGACTCAAGGAATTACAGGTTGCATGAGAGGTTGAACGGTCATTAGTGTAATTACACGCACCTGGTTGTAGAAAAGAGCCACTGTGCAACACTTGTCAGGTGCGCTTACTAGGGGTAATATGATGAACAGTTGAAGTGACACCTAAAGTCGTGGTGTGTGGTCGAGGAGTGAGCACAGCTGTCTTCACGAGACCTACCCCAGATGTAAAGGTAGTCGAGGTTGTTTATAGTTGATCTTGCGGAATTGTTTGTGTGGCGTTTCGTTCTTTCTTCGTGTCATAGTCGACAACACTAGCTGGTCGTTGACAAGGTGATCGGATCTGATGCGCAGACGTATGAGAGAAAGGGCAGAATCTCCGTTACGAGTGTGAATGACGACATCCTTGATCCTGCTATAGTAGTGTTTGGAAAAAACGTAGTATTGGAATAGTGATGCTTTCTGAGCTTGCAAGTGCCGGCGGAAAGATTGCGCATTTATACCACATCTCTTTATTGAGGGACGACGCACGTAGCGCGGTGTGTTTAGCAACGAGAGGCTGGCTGAAGAGAAATTTCGATATGCTTATCAGCGTGTTAGAAGTCTGCAATGAAGGAATGGTGTTACGGATATAACTTCTGGTTGGGAAATGACCTGCCTGCTTGGCTGGGCGTTCTTGAGGCTGCTGACAACTTCAGAAAAAATGTCAAAGTCAGGTATATCAGTCACATATGAGCATGATGCTTCCTCTCTGTGTAGTCAAGAGTCACTTGCCCTTCCTTAGCATCAAATGTCTAGGCAAAAGCTTTTTGCACCGTGCTACTAGCAAATTACGATGAACTGGTACTAGAGGTAAAGCAAGGGCGAACGACTAGGTCCAATGCACCGAGCTCAGAGAACCGCTCGAGCATCAGGTGAGTCAGATGGAAGGATGTTGCTCAGCACAATACTTCACCGAGTGACAATGCAACCTTTAGAACCTGTAAGATTGAATGAGACATCACTCCGCCACACACACAGTGGCTATCAAGGCCAAACTAAGACATTCCACGTTATGCCAACATCAAAAACACCCATTGGGCGCTAGACCCTTCCAATGTCTCACGCCTTGAACACACAATGACCCATCCGTATATATTCAACCTCCCCACCTCGGGCGAATGCATACCGTACAAAGTATCCAACAAAAACGACTGAATCAAACTTGAATATTCAACATGTGCACCCACACAGCCACCGTCTTCTCTTGCACACACCCAGCTAACTTCATCTTCCTCTCCCAACCTTGCGGGCGTGTAGAGGCAGGACGACCCTGCTGTGATTTCAGGCTGCATTCTTCTTACTTGAAGTACTGAAATGCAAACACTGTGAGAAACTTGAGGTGCGAGAAGCTCAATCGGCGAAGATCTCGACTCTGGGAAGCTCAAGTAAGTGGTGATAGGATGAAGTAGAGGTCGTGAGCTGAGTAATGGAAGTAAGAGACCTGAACGCTGCCCTTAAGGGGACATCGCTGTGAAGTCTCAGGGTTTTGATATTAGGTATGATGAATATACTAAGCTAAAGCGCACGGTGCGCGTAAGCTTCTAATGCTTTTAGACTGGCTTGAACGCTGCAAGGAATCGGGAACGAAATGAGTGACAATATGGATAGGCCTTATAAGAGTGGATATCGTATGAAAATGCGCCGGTAATGATGCTGATGCTGAGAGAAAGTGGACACCGAACGGGAAAAGGAAGTGTTGTATTTGGATCACGATGCTCGTTCCGGTGTCCAGTTCTTGTACAAACACGAACACAGGCTGCCTGCATCTTGCGCCTTGATCCCGGAGGTGACCTTCTCGCCGGATGACTTTGTGCACGAAGGAACGTTCTCGCCACCGCCCACTGCTTGCTCGACGCGTACGGCTATAAATGTGTTAGTGTATGCATCTGGAGGGAGATTTGTATTATTGTTGCTTACCATATGGCCAGACAGTGTTTGGTGTATTTGACACACTGATCGTATCGTCAGGGTACGTCCTTTGCATCTTCGTGTAGAGGTACGCCTGCAGGTTTGTCGCACCGTAGTCGCACTCAAAGTTGCCGTTCGTGTCACCAATGGTCCCGGTCATGTTCACTGTCTTCGTTCGACTGATCTGGAAACGGTACCGTTCTGTACTCTTGCCCTGATCTAGCAAATCTAGCGGGGCATTCTGGAAAGTCATGTATAAGTCGGAGGTGTCCTTCGATGAGATCTTGTATGACCCTGCGGAGCCAGTGATCTCCCAATTGATGACCGCGAGAGCTTTCTGAGGGTCCGAGTAGTAGTCGGTGTACGGCGCACATGTCCATGTTGCGTTGTTGCTCGTGCAACCCGTCGCTACCGTGTCGAGGAAGGTGACGAGCGAGTAAGCGCCGAGGGGGAAGTTCGATGGGACGGCGGACGGCGTATCGGTCTCTGTGCTTGTACTTGTCCCTGTGCTTGTGCTTGTCCCTGTGCCCGCGGATTGGGAATCGCCGCCTGTGGTTGGTGTTGAAGACGAGCTGCTGCATCATGTGTTAGCTTGTCTGTTGTAAGTTCTCAAAGGTAGTTGATACTTACCCACTCAGGGACTTCTTCTTCAACCCCACAGCCAGACCTACTGCCAATGCTATGATGAGCGCAATCACCATAGCACCTATCACAGCCAACTTCTTCCAACCCCATCGCCTGCCGTTGCCTCCAGCCTTGAATTGCTTGAACTTCTCGCTCCTCGGTGTATGTGGGTCACTCCATACACTGACACTAAGATTACTTCCATTGTGACTCTGATCCTCCATGCTATCTCTTGGTGTGTCACCCAGCCTCCCGCCTGTGATCACCGACAGGAAGCCAGGCTTTCGAGGTTCGTGGACATGTAATGTAGGTCCAATGTGTTGATGCGTTGGATCATTGCAGTACGTGCTAGTCGTGGTGACTTCGATCTTCGACTTCGGCTCTGGCTTCGTGGGTTTACTCCGTATATGCGTGGACTCGAGGACTATGGAGAGGCGCTGGCCAGCAGGCGTAGAGATACGTTTGGCAGGGCGTTCATCTTGGATAGGCTGATGAGCGTTTGACCGCTTGGTACGGAAGTAATCCATGATGATGATAATGGCGTCGATGGCTGGAAGTGTCTTGCCTCAGGCGTTGAGGGATGGATAGCACCTATACGTAGCTTGTGTCTGAGCTTCTTTCTGCACCCAAGTATCGTTCGATGTTCGACCCTGCAATGGACGGTACGCTAAATAGTCATGTTATGGTTTAGTGATGTTTGACTCGAGCGAACGCGGGCAAGGGAAACAATTGGAACAGCTCCGCTGCTTGAAGAGAACACCAGGAGACAGGAAGAGGGACCTCGAGAGCTCCCTAAACGGACTGTACGGCGTCGAGCTCCACTGCCGGAACCTTATGAGGTATGAGCACATGGCATGAGCTCCTAATCACGCGCTAATGGCCTATTACGGCCTCGCATTCGCCTGTTACAGCTAGCCGCTTGATCCTGTCACGCTCGCGGACAACTCTGTGGCGCCCTGCTCACGCTATTGAGGCCTGGTCCACCGGACGATACTGGTTCGGGGCGGGAGTAGCCAGGGCTGGCGATCCGGCGCAGGGCAAATTCTCTTTGAGGTGTAAGTGTTGGCAGGCCCAGGAGCTCTATTGCGCGATGCGGACTCTGATTCGAGAGTCACCATCTCAACGTTCCAAATCCTCGTCAATTTGGAAGGCGGATGGGAGAGAAGTGACCGTTGAACGCTCCGTGAGTGGTTTCTTTTGCTGTTGTGGAACGAACACGGGGGCAAGCGCGAGCCTTGACTCGCGAAGGATGTTTGTTCCTGCATTTGACAGGGATGCTGTGTCAAATTAGCGCACGTGATATCGGACATTGTCAAACGCCGACAGGCATCGAACTTTCCACCACTTCTGGAACGCGTCGTCTCCACGCGTGGTAAGAGTGAACACCAACGTCGAGGCGTAACGGTCTTCAGCGAAATCAGGCCAAATGTACGATTACGCAAGAACACAAACGCGTGCACATCACCACACGCACGCTGACCGCGTTCTTCCTCAGCACATCACATCTCGCCAACAAACGCACCTTCCCTCACAACATTGAACTGACTCCTCCTTGCCTCTTCTCATAACGTCAAGGAACTCGAACCCTTTCTCATTTTCTCATTTGTATTTCAACGTGTACTGGCAGCCCTAAAACTGGGCCGCTCGGTCTCGTGCGAGTATCACCTTGGTGACACCACGTGTTGTACTTCCTCGACAAGGCAGCACATTCTGCAACCCAGAGACTGCGGATCTACCCTCAACTCACATCGTAATCATGTCATCGCCACGTCGAGTGGTCGTGCGGCTGCGGCCAGGTACTGATGGCAATGCATCCCATGTGCCTAAACCCGGCACACATACACAGCTAAACCCACCTACACTCTATCTCGAGAAGATCGGTGATCAGTGGATGAAAGCTCGAGGCGAGGCTCAGCCTGGTGTGAAGTACATCCTGGAGAGTTTACCTGTGGGTTATACATTATGGCAGCGTCCTCGTCCGAAAGAACCGAAGCACTCGGACAGGTACTTGTACGGGCATCCTGACGGCAAACCCTTCGACTCACCAAACCGCTTCTACCCCCACTTCCAACATCTGATGGACAATGCCGGAGACCGTATGGGATGCCCTTGCACAGTCTGCAACAGCAGCTCTGGTGTGCTTCCCAAGAGCTCTTCAAGCAGTATCAAGGCGGCCCCATCCGCGCAGTACAAAGGACGGCCCAAACTGCTTGGTGTCGGGATGGACACCACTCGAGTAGACGAAGAAGGAACCCCAGACGTCTATCGCAACCTCATCAACAAGCTCCGCCGCCAGGGGGAGATCGATGAAACTATTCAAGAGCCTATGAGCCTAGACTGGCGAGCTGAGCAAGAGACTTTGCCTGGACTACTCCGAAAGCTCAAAGACAGTCCGCAATGGGTCCCACGCGTCGGAGACATCGTACTCTATGTGCGAGAACTTCCCGAACACTTTCACATCATTCGTCACCCGATCACAGGTGATTACAAGATGTATGACGAGAAGACAAAGCTGTGGCTTGATCACCCCACCTGGGAAGCTGGGCTGGTTGGGCAGACGCCAGCTGAGTCGATATCCATCGAAGACATCTGCGATAACGGCGACAAGGAGAGCAATGTCACATACTCTGGTGTGCGTGTCGAGCCCCTGCCAGATGTCAACAGCTTAGATAAGTCATTGTCGAAGCGGCACAAATACATACCCGTTCGGCACACCCGTCCTTTCATCCTGTGGAAGCAACTCCTTCATCAGGTTCCTAAGTGGCATCCAACCATCTTGAACGCTCAAGCGGTGACATCGACGTTGTCACTTACCGGCAAATACCATTTCAAGGGCGCGTGGCCTGAAGCTTCTATCTACTGCCGTGGCATGTACATCGGACACGAGATGCTCGCAGTTGGCGACGCAGTTCGACTTTTACCAAATATCAACCATGGCCAGAGGACCAGTACCGATATCCTCGTCATAAAGTCGATTCGTCTCAAGTGGTCTAACATCGACAATGCATCCGATAACGACTGGGATGAAGGGACACCTTACAACTCTGCCGTATGGATCTACGGCGCAGCTTACACGAGCGACCCAGCCCGGATGAACAAAGAGTGGCTCTCAGACGCCCACCCACCCAAGGCAGCCGATGACTATGGAGAGTGGTATCCGCTTCACCAGCCCTCGAAAGAGCTTGCCATTCCATATTCTCGCATACTTGGCCGGTTATACGAGCGTGACGCAATGGCGCTTTGGTTGAACACCAAGTCTAACGACCTTCCTTTGCTCGACACTGGACGAGAAGGCTTGGTCGAATCGCGTATCTTTTCTAGACAGCATGACAATCGCATCGCACGTGAGCTGGACGCGACTTGGTACTGGGGCGATAGCCGCGCCCAAGCTCTCGACCTCCACATCATCAATGGATTAGACGTTGCGGCCCACGATCGATTGCGCGACCCCAAAGAGTGGCGCAAGAAGATCAAAGTAATGGAAGGAATGACCCTGAATAAAGGTGTCCCCGCTGCAAGGCCTACTGGCGGTCCTGGCCTAGCTGGACAGAACCTACGCGGGTTTATGGCGCCTGCGTTATCCAATCTACCCGTCCGCTCACAACTGTCTAGAACTACTGACGCTGCAAGCACGAGTGGCAGCGTAACGGGCTCCTTGACTACCGGACAGAGCTCAGCCACCGGAGCGTCGAGGAAGCGATCGCACATTATCAACCTCAGCAGCGACGAAGAGGACGATAAAGACGATGAAGTCAACGAAGAAATCAAGCAGACCATGCGAGTTGTCGAAGACAGTAGCCAGGTGCAGGCAAAGAAAGCTCGCGTCACTGTTGTCATCGTCTGAAAACATCAGGAGCAAACTCCAGGATGTGATTGGCTCTCGAGACGGAAAAGACGAGATCGTGCACCACAACCGCGCGATGGGAGCGTGGGACTGCACGCACGTAGGGAAGACGAAGGAGCATGTTAGGGCATGTATGTTATACCGACAGCTATACGATTGGCTGTGCTATACAATGGTACTATGAGCGACGGATGACGTGTTGATACCTCTAGTTCGACTGACAGGATATCATGTGTGTCAAGCTGAAGTCGACAATGCCACACCAGGGATGTGATTGCAAGAATAGACAAAACCACACCATCAACAAATCGAACCATGATCATTCGCTGTGACACCTTATATAGTTATCTGCACTCTACTGCCACACCTTGATATCTAAGTATAGGGAAAAAATTGAGAACGCCGTGGCCGGATGCTGATGCGCCCGGGCTGATGAAAGAGTGAAGATGCGACGCCGGTAACCTTGTGCTGCACCGTCGCTATGCAAACAATCTAAAATGGAATGAAACCCAAACACGCAAGAACGCCATCTCCCTCACCCCGTACAGTCTCGACCTAATACGATTTGTATTTCTGCATCACATTAGCAATCACTCCTTCAAAGCAAGAACGGTATGCACTTACATCCTCAATCTTCCTTCGACTCGTCTCATCCAACGCATTCCCCACGCCCAACAACGCATTACTCAATGCCTTCGTCGCGCCCACCGCCGGCCTGAGAATAACAGTCGGCGCATGCCTCGCCAGCGCGCGCGCAACCCCAACACCGCTCCCTTGCTCCATGACCTCCGCAGGTATCGCAATAACCGCATCGCGCGCGGTAAGCAAGTCGCGCTCAAGATGTCTCGCCGCGCTGCGCAGACCGGCGCGCACACCGATGGGTTGGTTCGCGTAGTGGCTGACGGCGCGTGGTTCTTCGTCGGGCGACGGTGGGTCCGAGCCTGTCCAGTCTAAGTGCTGGGAGCGCGGTGAGCGGCGCGGAGAGGTGGGCTGGTTGGGGTTGAGAAAGGCTTCTGCGCCTTCGAGTAAATTCTGTGTGCCGATTGCGACTTTGGCGCCGAGGCGGGCGACTTCGCTGGTTGTGTTTTTTGCGAACGCGTACACGCCTTTCTGCAGGCTGCGCACGATGCGGCCATCTTTTTGATACTCGCGCATAGGGACGACGACCAGGTCGCGTACGCCGGAGCCAACGTTGACGAGGGGTCGGACGGCAGCGAGGCCGGAGAGGACGCCGGGGAGTTGGTTGCGTTTTACGTCGGGCATCCAGACGTCGTTGAGGGTTTTGTGGAGCTTGTCGAAGGAGGTGATGCCATAGACGATGGCATGGCGGAGAGTGATGTCTGAGCCGTCTAGAATCAGAAAGTTCATGAATTCAGTGGTGTGGCCGGAGCGGATGCCGCCATAGTCTACTCGCTTGGGCTTGTAGTCCAGTTTCAGTTGGACGGCTTGGACTTCAAGACGTTGAATGAAGGGCTGTTCAGAAGGTGCGGTGGGCCTCTCGACCGAGTCGTCCTTGAATTCGAAGAAGCGTGTGATGAAGTCAAGAGCATCCTGGTCGACATGAAGGCGCAGTGGGAGAACAGCGACCTGATCGTCATCAGTATGTCTCAGACGAAAGGTTCAGATTGTACTTACCCTTATGACCAGTTCAGAAGCTGCAAGGTCGGTAACGGGTTTAACGGTAAGGAGATTCAGATTGATCATTGGCCTGTCCAGTTCTCGTTGGGCAGGTGGGATGACGCAGGTAACGAACTTCTTCCATGTCGAGGTAGGAACATGATCGAAGATTTCGAAGTCTTGTACGCGAACATCGATCGAGTTCAGCGTCTCGCCAGAATCAGGTGGGAACACAACCAAGTCGACCGCAACGCCCATCAGCGAGAATGCGATCTTCTTGTGCTTGCTGCGCTCAAGCTTCAGACGACGCCCAGGCTTTATCGCACTGCGTGGGCGGGCAGTCGCTCCGGTTGATCGAGTAGCAGTCGAGGTAGCGTAACTTCCTGTCTCACTAGCTAGGTCGTCAATGTCGTGATTGATACGACGTGCGAGTGCACCCTTCTCTTCCTTGATTGGGACACCGATCCATACAGAGTTGAACAGAAAGTCCTCCTCAACGAAATCGTCATCTTCGTCTTCATCTCTGGGTTTCCGTCGTCGCTCGTCGGCACGAGCTTCGACATCATCCACAGCTTGTGAGATGATGGCCCGGGTCCTTGGCCAGTCATACCCATCGAAAAGATTCCAGATGATATTGACGTCGCGGACGCTGACCTTGAGCGGAGCATCCGGAGTCTTGAACTCGTTCGTGAGGTGGTATTGATTCTGTGTGGAGTCCCACTTGCGAGCTTTGCCCTTGCGGTCCGAGTCCGACTCATGGAAGTAATCCGTACTGAAGTCAAAGCTGTCCTCACTCTTGTTTACCTCATACAGCTCCTGGAAGCTCTCTAGGAGGCCTCGATCGCCTCGCTCTCTTACGACAGGCGTAGTTGCTAGCGCTCCAAGGTCGTCCTGATCCAGCATACTGTCGCCCATCTCCTCATTGGTTGGTAGATCTTGACTGTAGATGCTTCCCACAAACTCGAGGTTCGTGGGTACTTCGTCTTCCACGAGGTCGGCGTTACTCATGAAGTCATCGTCCTCAGCTTCGTCTTGGGCAGGTATCGCGTCACCAGTAAATGACTCCATCATCTCCTGTAGTGGGACTACTGTGCGATACCGTTCAGCTGTAGAAGGAGGAGTCGGCGGCTGCAAGCCGTTCAAGACATCGATGAGAGTCTGAGTAGAGTCGGCGCAAGACTCAAGCACGAGAAGCTCGTTCTTAAACTCAACATTCACGAGTTGCGGTGCATCTTTGCCATCTCCTGCAATATTGACAAGAACTTTAGCGGCGGAGATCGAGCTGAGCGAGACGAAACCCAGCCGGCTCAGCTCCTGCAGGTGACGGCTTGCAGCCGTTGTGCTACGAAGCGCTGCCTCCTCATGCTCCTCTTCCAAGCGTGCAACATCATCGATGGCGTGTATGGAAGCTTTTCGAAGGTCCAATTGGACGGAGTAATCGTCCTTTGTGTGCTTGCCTGCCAAGTGAGCTTCAGTGAAGACGAATAAGCCCTTGGACGGTACATTGCGAGGGTTCAAACCGATCGCGCAGCTTCTGAGCAGCAGATCGATCTGCAGTGGCTTAATAGCTTGACCTGAAGGCGAGCCGGCATGAGATGACTGCCGACTAATTGGTTGCGGTGATTTGGACCGTTTGATGGTTGCCACGCTCGATGCGATGCCTACAGCAATGTCTTCGACTGTACCATCCTCGCCGATGCCTAGCGCGGCCATCACGGTCGAGACTCTATACTCAACACAGAGATTGAATAGCTTTGCCTTCACCACAGGTTCCAGCTCATCTCCAACCATCCTGACCATAATCATGGGCAGCTGATCCTGCGGTCGTAGCTTAACCACCTCGTGCACTAGAAGCTCTTCCTTTCGTCTCAACGAGGCAGTACCCACTTCCATCGCAAACAGAGCCGGGAAGCCCACGTGTGCGATGGAAGCATTTTGCACAGCGACTGTGACATCCCCGAGCTTTTCGTTGATTGCAACTCCGACATCCAATTGCTGCACCGATGCCAGGGTGAGTAGTCCTGGACGATCGTCCTCCGGCAGGTATTTGGCGACTTTGGATAAGCGAGCGAGCTCTGCTCCAAGAGCTTCAAAAGCACGCATCTCCTCCAAATCGGACACTCGAACACCTACGCTACTGACTTCGACCCTTAGAACAGAGCCTTTGCGTCGTTGTCGAAGGAAAGTGTCGATCAATATGTCTTCATTGTTTTCGTAGGGGTCTTTCGATGGGGTGATTATGGAGATCAACCTTGCGAGGTCTGCTTCTTCAGGTGCGTAGAGAAAGTTCACAGTCGTTCCCCGGGCGTCCACTAGTGAGGGTGCGTCTTTTTGCGCTGCGTCCAAGTAAGGCCCCGAAAGCTGCACTTCAGACACCTTGAGGCGAACATTGCTCTGCCGAACTGCAATGCGCACTGTCGTTGTTTGAAGCTGTACAGCGCAATTGCGACCCTTAAGTAAGAACGCCACTTCGCCCAACTGTATCTGAATCTTTGGCATATTGGACGTCGGGGCGGGAGACGTAGAAACTGCCGGTGAGTCGCCGAAATGTACACCCCGTGGCTTGGGTCGTGCTGGAGTCAAGACCGAACTATTCAAAGCATGGTTCGAGCTGATCGAGTTGCCGAGCTCGAGGACACCACTAAAACCACCAAAAGAGCTCAGAGCATCATCAAGTTGTTGGATGTCAAATGTGACCTTGACTGGCCGAGTAACAATCGTGACCCGTTTGTCCGTACCTTGCTCATAGTCGATCTCGACATCATGACTGAGTTGCTCCGACAGATTGCTGACTGAGCGTCTGGACCGAGGTCGCGTACTGTGAAAGGATATGATGTCAGTACCCAGAGACGAGATGGCGAGCTTCTCAATCTGCAGCTTCGTGCGCATTGTTTCAATGCTGCTTCGGCTTGTCAAGCGGAGTGCAGAAAGGTTAATTCGTAGGAGGGCATCGTTTGGCTTCAGGTCAAGCATGCGACTCGTTGTGAAGCCACTCGCTATCGACTCAGCTAAAACACTCTCTAGCCATGCCACACCGACATGTTTGACTGCAATCTCAACGGTACTCGCAGCGTTGTCGAGTGTAGCCTCGGGCGATAGGGTTGGCTTTCCTTGCTGGGGCTCGTTTGCCAAGGCGCTGAGTACTCGGCTCAGCATACCAAACATGATGCGGCCAGTAGACAGGTCAACGTGGCCTACCACTGAACCGACATCGACAATGATATTCGGCGAGGGTGCCGCTTTCGCTGGTCGCTGGGCCGATTGACTAGCTGTAGCCTTGGATTGGGGAGGTTTTCGTAATGATTCTGCCATTGAACCTGTACGGCGCGTTGATGTTGAGTGCGCGTAGTTCGAGAACGACCCTGGCATTTCAGCAAAGATCGAATCTTCGCCCAGTCTTGATGGTGCAAAACCTATGGTCGATGCATCGGCCGCTGATTCAGCACTTGAATCAAATTCCGAAGTTCGTCCTTGATCCAGTCCCAACGGAAACCAAACAGTGACTTCATCGATAGTAAAGAAGACCTTCGCTTGCTTCTGAGCTGTATTCGTATTGCCAGCCGAAGAATGAATCTCAGTAAAGTGCGGTGTAGTCGCGGCTGCACTCTGGCGACTGCCCGGTCGTGGCGTGTCGCAGCCGTCCTCGATATAGGGGAGCGGATGCAGGATACTGCCTGATATCATTTCTTCAGGTACGGATCCCGACCGATCTGATGCAGTGCCGCGGCTTGAGGTTGAAAAGGAGTCCCAGGCTCCTGGGAAGTGTCGCTGGGATGACAAAACTGGTGCGGCACTTATGGCGCTCATGTACATGCTTTCAGACGTATCAGAAGAAGATAAAGCTGACCCTGTCATATCGTGCACAGCTTCCACATTGGGCGCTGACGATTGTACATTGCTGGCGGGCCCCCTTTGCTCTTCCGTGAACGACTGACTAGGTAATTCGCCTGCATCGGTTGGATCCTGAAGCGAACTATGGCCTACAGAATGTGATGGTGAGGTTGTCGTTTGCGGTTGTGCAAAGGACACTCCTAGGCCCGATACGGTCGGTAAAGCGGACGTGGAAGCCTCGCTTGCTGGGGACGAAAGTTCAGCTTCTATGTCCGGAACTGATCCATGAAGGTTTTCTAGGCGCCGTTCCTCAGTACGCATATCGTCCTCCAGGCCATCGTCGAATCTCGAATCAAGCATATCGTGTTGCAGAGCATAGTCGAGAATTCCCTCATCATCGTACAGAATGCTGCTCCCGCTCAGCCCTGGAGCAGCAGGAAGAGTGTGCCCGCACGGACTTGGCTCGCCTTGGTGCCTGCTTTGCTCCAATCCATCATCAGATGAGGCATCGGCGAATCTGTCGTCGTCAACAGTCGCCACGGACGCTGCAAGAGGAGGCTCTTTGTGGAAAGACGTCGCCAAAGGAGATTCTTCCTGGAAAGACGCCGCTACTGGTGTGTTGGCTTCGCTTCCCAGCTTTTCGATTGACTTGTTTGCTAGAGAGGTAGTAGATTCTGCAAGGAGGACGGGCAGCGTATCTTCCCTACGAGGTGGCGGTGCTTCGGGCTCCGTGGGTGATAGCACTGCGCTCGTAGGCCGCTCATGATTCGATCTGTGGCCGGTGGAGGCCTCCGAGCGCGTGGTCTCTGGTGATAACGGCCGCGAGTTTTGAGACATCGAGATAAAGCTCTCAGCATCAGACACAAGCCTGGCGCATATATGCTCGATCCGCAACCGCCGCTTTCCAACTCTCGAAGTATCACTCTGTGGCTTTGAAGCTGAGCTGACGTCGATGTTTGGTTCTTCTGAAGTCACAGAGTCAATGCCGATGCGCTCTATGTGGAAGTTGAGAGAGACCGGAGATGATTCGCCAGGCTTCGATGAGCTCGATATTTCGATTTCCGTGTGATCCTCCACTTCCACGTCGATGTTGTTGACCACGATACTGAGTCGATCGAGTGCGGTGTTGAGTATGGTCCGCAAGTAGGCCGGAAGTCCAAGGGGCGCGCCTACGCCTGCCGAACCCTCCTCTTCACCGTCATCGCTCGAAGCTATAGACTCCTGCATATAGCTCGGTTGGGATTTCAGCTCTTGTGCAAGCTCCCGTATCTCCTCGGCGGGTTCCTCTCGTATGAAAGACTTCGCAAGGTCATCGACAGTGGGCACGTGCTCCTCCACGTCTGACGCTATGTCTCCCAGGCTGTCTCGAGGGGAAGACGACCGGGCTCGATGCGGCGAGGGCTTGTTATCCTGTCCAGTCGTGGCGTCTTCGGCTTCCTCGACCAGACTGGCCTTCACTTGTATCCCATCCACCTCTATCGATATCTGTGGAACGCCGAAGTCGAGGACAAAGGTGACTCGGAGGAGCGATGCCTTGGCTGACGAGAGGTGGACCTCGGCTGGTAACTTGAGATGTAGCAGGGCTACAAGTTTCTAGTCATGCAGTGTCAGTCTAGGTGCAGCTGTGTGATCCATTACCTTATACACACCTTGACATGCAGTCCAACATCCCTGACCTCGAGCGTAGTCCTCTTGCCGACATCGACGCTTACGAACTCGGCGGGGTCCTTGTCGAGAATATCGATGTGCCGTAGCCCATACAGCAGGAGCTTCTTGCCTATCGAGCTCGACACTGCCGAAAAGAAGGCCATGGCGACTGTTTCGGTAGTCGACGCGCCTGTTCACGGACTACAGGCAGGTCGTGCGCCTACCGCCGTGTCGGAAATATCTCCATATGAGTTCACGTGTTTGGTGGACTGCTGCGTGTTCCCGTAGTTTTGGCGAACCGCGGTATAGACTGAACCCTGCTTCTCGGTGTTTGGCTGGAGTAATGTGGGGGCCGGGGTATCGTTCGTGGAGACGCGGCGTAAGGTGAACGGAGAATCGTGAAGTGCAAAGGCGTTTGCAGGATGAAGGTAAAGGCGCGTGGCGTGCAGCGAGCCGTTGACGTGCGTGTGTCACGGGAGGATAATAATGCAGGGCGGAGGGCCTAGGTGGATGTGCATCATGCGGCTGTCCAGGCAGATGATGTCCTCCGCCGCACGAGTTACAAGGGTCGGGTGCTTCCCCACCAACCTTATCGATATACCGAGCTGGACCATGACTCATGCATCTGATAGGTGATGGGCAGCAGTCACGAGTCAACAGTTGCCTCGGAGGCAGCTGGTAGAGTAGGAGAACGAGAGGCTCCTTGTCTGCATGAAGACTGTAGAAAAAGGCGCACAATGGGATGAGGCTCTTGCCCGCATGGAGCTCCGCTGCTGCATTTGGTGGGAGCAATTACGTCAGCGCGAACTTATCTCGAAGTGGAAGGAAGTCTCGGGCGCCGCCGAACACTCACGGCTGCCTAGACTATCTCTGACTTCTATCCTGCACTTCCAACGATCTTTTTCAAATTTTCAAGATGGCGTCAAATGAAGTTGCAAATGATGGTGACTGGGAGAAGGCTGAGGGTGTACCGAGTCTAAGCGAGCCCTTCATTCAAAAGTACTTGTCTGGAAGAGATGCTTTAGTGCAGCAGGAGAAGAAGCAGCGAAGTGGTTGGTAGCCCAAATGAGGATATCTCGCTCAACGATCCATGGTCTGACAGCCTTCAGACTACCTCTTCCGCCAAAACCTCTCACCTATGGCCCAGGAGGCAGCTGCGATAGTTTCACAGATACGGTTTGAAGAACAGCAGACTCTATGGACCAGGGATTACGAGGATAGTCTCCTCACCCAACATGTCGATGTCTATCCTGGCATGATGTTCTCTCTTGCCAAGGAACGCATGGAGAAGAGCAAGCTTTGGCAGATCGTCAAGAAGATGCCGAAGGGAACCCTGCTTCACTGTCACATCGAAGCGATGGTCGACCTTGATTGGGCATTGGAGGAGGGCTTCAACACCGAAGGTATTGCTGTTGTTGCAGATGGACCTATGACGGACGAGCGCACCCTTCGGAAGACTGGGTTCTCTTTCGTGTACTCGAAGAACGCTAAGGAAGGTGCATCGCTCTGGTCTTCAGACTACACTGCGAAAACGCCCGTTCCTATCAACGTGGCTGCCGACAGCTTCCAAGGTGGTGGTAAGAAGGGCTTTGTGGAATGGATACGGTCTCGAGTCACAATTACCCCGTCAGAACATCTCTCGCACCACGAAGGACCCAACGAGGTCTGGCGAAAGTTCATGTCATGCTTCCCTATCCTTGGTTCCCTCATCTACTACGAGCCTATCTACCGCAAGTTCCTCCGCAAAATGTTCAAGACCCTCCTCGACGATGGTGTCTACTGGGTCGACATGCGCTCGGCCTTCTTCACGCCGTACCGAAGCACTGGGCAAGAGGACTGGGATCCTGACTTCTTCAATATGTTGGACCACCTGACCGACGAACTTGAGATGTTCAAGAAGAGTGAGGAGGGCAAGGGATTCTGGGGAGCGCGGATGATTTGGACTACCATCCGCCAGTTTGACAAGAAGTCTGTCATTGAGAGTACGTTCTTCCTCAATCAAGCTTGATCAGGACATGTACTGACGGAAGATAGGCATGAAAGCGTGCATTGAAATGAAACTCGAATTCCCCGAGATCATTGCTGGGTACGACCTTGTTGGGCAAGAAGACCTCGGACGGCCACTCGCCGATCTCACACCTGAACTCTTCTGGTTCCGCAAACGGTGTACGGAGGAAGGTGTCGACATACCATTTTACTTCCACGCTGGCGAGACCCTTGGCGATGGTGACAGCACGGATGAGAACCTGTTCGACGCTGTCATTCTCGGCACAAGAAGGATTGGGCACGGGTTCAGTTTGTACAAACACCCTCTACTGATCGACATGGTGAAGGAGAAGAGGATATTGGTGGAGAGCTGTCCAGTCTCCAACGAAGTTCTGCGCCTGTGCGGCTCGATCATGTCCCACCCGCTACCTGCGCTGCTGGCTCGCGGCGTGCCCTGCTCGCTTTGCAACGACGACCCTACGATCCTCGGACAAGGTGTGTCTGGTATGTCGCACGACTTCTGGCAGGCATTGCAAGGCTGGGAGAATCTTGGGCTTGAAGGTCTGGGCAGTCTCGCAGAGAACAGTGTGCGATGGGCAAGTTTCGACGATGTCAGCGCCAAGGAGTGGACGCAGGACATCAAGGATGGCATGATGGGCAAGGGCGAGCGCGCAAAAAGACTGAAAGAGTGGACGCAGAGGTGGGAGAGGTTCTGCGCATGGATTGTGGAAGAGCACGGTGTCGATGTTGACATCGATCCGGAGGAGTGAAGAGAGGAAACTGCATGAAGCATAAATGAGTAGGATTCAACTCCAACGAGGTCAGGTATTCTCACCCGTAATAAAGACAAAACATTCAACCGACTTAATTTCGAGCACGCGCCTTTTAACGGCACAATTACGTGTTGTGGACGGTGAGGTGAAGGTGACGCTAGCTCTTTCCTTCGCGCAGCTTCCGTTTGTCTACCCCCAGCTTTAGCTCACCCTCACCACATTCCTTTCTTTCGCCACTACGTTCACGCCTCATCCTTCGCACTACCACCACCATCACCGTAGCCCCTCGCTGATAGGAAGGAGATTTTCTAATAAGCTTCATGCTCCCGACTTTCGGGACGCTGGTGATCAAGATGCCAACGCTGTATGGATGAACAACGTTCTGCGCGCGATATGCCAGGAGGACCAGCTGGTAGTTCGAAAGTACGGGCGCTTCAAGCGCTTCTTGAAATGTATCAATGTCGAGCACGACCCTGAGCTCAGTGATGACCAGGACTTTACATTTCGAAGTCCATACCCGACTTCCAGGCCATGGAAAAGCCTCACTAGCTTTCCTTCCAGTTTCACGATCAGCGGCACAGGCAGCACTGTCACGTGTGATTCCAAGTCGCCCTTGTCGCTCACAAGGTTACCTTACAGGGTCTACGATGCCATCCTCGATCACGTCTTAATGTCCGATCATGGAGTCCTATTCGACCTGCAGAGTCGTACCATTCGTGGGCTAGACTGTGGCCTCTTACAAGCTTGAGAAAGGGCTCGTACCAATACCAGGCAACATGTAAGGAAGGTGAACAGGGTCACGCTGGTATTGGAGACAAGTGAAGCTCGTACAAGCTTCCTCGGTTTCAAGAGCTATCGAGAGTGGCTAGCCGGGACATATCGCCCACTTCTTGTGTCATACGACCCCTACTCTTATAGGGAGACGGCTCTACCGGAGTACATACAGCTTAATGCATAGGTTATCAACCCTGCATCCGTTACTATTCGGAGCCATCATACAATTCTACTATAACATCACCATCAATCCACCAACTCAAGTTTCTTCAAGCCACAGAATGAAGAATATTCACCATGGACGTATACATCATTGGGGATGCCGACTGTATCTTTGAAAGAACAGGGGTGTTTCCATGGCTACAATTGCCGTCAAAGCATGGCGAATGAAAACTCGATAGCATGTGAGCGCGAGGAAATGCCGACAGGGGATGGGACTGTGAAGTACTCCAAGAAAATAATAAGCCGGTTTCTCACTATTTACTTGTGTGCGATGTGAAGTACTCGCAACTCAACTCCTAGGTCGTTGACTGGACGTCCGCGACTCTTTCGGAGCCGCCATACCACAACATGATACCGCCGCCAAGCCCCCTACTCAAGTTTTCTCCAAGCGTCATCCTCGACTTGCGTAGCAACACAGCAGCATTCTAACCCGCTACTCCAAGCCTGACCCAACGTCGTAGCAAGGCAGACTCCGACACATGGTTCCACTATGTTGAGCGACGCCTCTCGGTTACCTAGCGGCACAGGGCTGAGATCTGGAGGCGGTGCACTGTACCAGGATCCTCCTTGCATCACATTGGCGATTTACCGTTCGCTTGGGCGGCGTGCGTATGTATGTTTGGTACGCCTACGTCATCCTATGCGTGCCGTTGTTTTGGAGTCAGTCAGTGAGGTGGGAGGGACGATGATGGCAGTGAAGAGTGTGTTGTTGGCTTCAGTGAATGGAGATGGGGTGGATGTGGTGTGTTGGTGGGGTTTGGTGGCGCCAGTGAGTGAGGTGGGATGTGCATGGTATGTTGGTGAGAATTGTTGGCTGCAGTGCGTGAAAACAGATTTTGTGTACTGTGTTGGTGATGCGAGTTGGCTACAAGCCATGCAAGGCTTCGTGGCCTACTAGTGTCGGCGAGGCTGAATGAGGGAGGATGGTATACATAGAGTTAATCGTGATCTGCTTGTGCTCATGATGGCGGCATCTATGTCGTGTGCGTGGGGATCCTGAGGCTGAGAGCACATCTGCCTCAATGACTGTTGTGAATACAAGTGTGTGCTGATGCTTGACTCCACAATGCACTGCCATGTGGTAATCGCAAGTTGGCGTCGTACACGCATGCGAGCAGAAAGTCCGATGGCGTTGAAGATACTTTGAGGTTGCGGCACAGTGCAGGAGGAGTGCATCTGCAGCGGCGTTATAGCTTATTTGTTGTTGTCGGCGAGAAGATTTGGTGGAGAGTTGGTGGATCGTATGCCATTGAGGTTTCATCTGTAAGCGCCCACGGACGTCTGAGGACGCCTAAAAGGACAACTACACGCTAGAAACGGGACTGAGCCGCAGCGTCCGGCGCACTGTCAAGAAGTGTCAAGATAGCGTGGGCAGGAATTGAGCATTGGGTTGTGCTCGTCGAAAAACCTGAAGTCTTGCGACCTGTGTTCGTCAACGCAGCTGAGCTTGGATCAGTAGTTCGCGTTGTGAGAGGTAAGGCTGATACACCTCTGATTGGATACCAAAGAGCTGTGTGCACACGCACCAGCACGTTGGGTGCTGTTATTGGGCAGCTACTCACGAGGGTTTCGTCGTGTTTTCAAAGCTGAGGACCCGGATCGACGACCCACAGCTCATCACAGGATCGATGGCCATGGATCCAGGGTTCAGTAAATGGTCTGGTCCTGTGCGACATGGCGCCAATTGACACGCCTCAGGGCGCGGCTAACTTCAGACGCGGAAGCGGCATGGGTGACACGAAGAATAGGGCCTCTTGCCGTTTTGGAGTAGCGGTGGAGGAATTGATGTGAACCCTCTGATAGCAACTCCCTCCGCCGCGACTCGTGGCGGGAGCAGAGAGGCCGGAGGCTGGTGGCAGCCGCCAGGCATCCAGAGCTATGGTAGCTGGTGCTGACAAGCCTGACAGCGCGGAAGCGAGTAGTTGACGAGCGTTGACGTGCTGATTGCGCTGACAGTCCCTGTTCTTGCACGCTTGACTTTCTCCCAGCAAACCACAGCTGGTGTACTCCACTCAGGTCCACTCTGTTTGTCTCTCTGCTGGCCACGTCAACACGAGGACTCGACATTCAAAAGTCGAGGCCTTGTCACCGGTGAGACGGCCGGATAACCCCAACCTCTGCCGCAGAGATGCATCTGTCTTCCGCGCGTGCACATGGCTGTTGGTGCCGCTCATTGGAGACTCTCTGGGCGGAAGGGTGTGCATTAGCGCGTTAGGCTACAGGCATGTCGCGGACTGCCTGAGCCCTTGGCCCCCAGCACAGGACAGTGCACCGTTCACTGCGAGCTGCAGAGCGCCCGCTGAGCGGACGGGCTGAGTACGAGGGAGAGGCGAGAGGACGCCGCAGGGGCTGACGGCTGGCTTGGAGCTCGAACGAGTGAACCACGACATCGTGCTGAACCTCTATCTTGACCACTGAACCCTGAGTCAGGCAAAGACAGCCATCTCGCCGTTCGAACCAGCGCCGTGCTGCTGGATGTGACGAAGAGCGATCCCGCATCCATCGTGAGCGTTTTGGGACTAGGGTCGAAGCTGTTAAGCGCCGGGCTCCACCTGCTGCTGCCGAGCAGACCAATCAGCTGCAGAGGGATAGACAAGGGTGTGTGGGCTGCCCTTCGCTCTGTGGAGCAGACAGCTGTATGCGTGGGCAGTCCATCTCATCGCCCTTGGGGCCAAGCGCGGGCGACCGTCTTGCGCTCTCTCTGCCAGACGCGCCGCATAATCCACGCCCACCCGCAGCAGCTGGTCTGCTATAGCACCCGCCGTCCGCGTCTCATATACCCAGCGCCTCAAACGCTCAAACGCTCACCCACCCGTCGACGCTACCAACGCTCTTCGCGCCGCGCATCCTCTCCCCCCCCCCCCCCCCATCCGCCGACCCGTCCGCCCGTCCACCGCGGAGAGACACGACAGGCACAACAGGCGCCGCACTGCGTCGACACACAGCCTCGCACCGCAGACGTCGCGGGTGCCAGACGGACAGGCAGTGAGCTGGGAGGCCCCCAAGCTCTCACACAGCTCCCAGCGCGGCGCAGGTCGGGCGCAAGTGAGGCAGCCTTGAGGCATGGCGATGCTGATGCCTTCTCCAACGGGTCCGGGCCTCAATTCTGCCTTCAGCCCCTACACAGACTCGCCCAGCTCTCCGGCGAACTTCAACCAGGTCTTCTCAAATAGGTGCGACCTCGCTGCACCAAGCTCGCCGCCTAGCACCTACTGATGTATTCTCGAAGGTCCTCTGGAGCCCACTCCGACCACCTTGTCCCTCCTCCAAGCCCGTACCCTGCGACTGTCGACCCTTCGCCAGTCGACAGCAATGGCACGAGTGCCACCGACCACACCGAGGTAACTCGAACTGCGAGCAGCGACATGTGAAGAACAGGCGGGGCTGACACTATCCCAGATTGAGGATGATGCACAGGACGGCCTGAATGATATCAGATCGCCAAACACAGAGGACATTGTGAGTCCGGCGAGTCAGACCAGTCAGTCCAGGGTACGGCGACGATTGCGGCGGCCTGCATGCAGTAGCAACCTCTGACCGTGACTCAGCCCTTCAAGCTCGACACCTCACTACCTGCGCGAAAACGTTCAGACTCAGACGAGGCGCCGCCATCGGTCATACATGTATCGGCAGACTTCAAGCAGTTTGTACGCAACGCGTTCACTATGGTTGCACTGCCTAGGCGCTGACTCCTCGTGTAGAACCGCGGAAGCGTGTCAGCGGCTTCTCCAAGCGCAAACACGTCGGAGAACACGGCTGTAGTGTCTCCATCCACACCTGAGGCAAACATGGTCTTCGAAGCTGACGACAAGGTGCGTCTTGCCCACCTCGCTCTGGCACAGGCTGTGATGACTGAAGCTCAACAGCACAACTACACAACGCCAATCGACACGTCTGTGCCCCGCGGTGCTCTAGATCGCAGCACGCCCCACGCGCAGACGCGTTATGACTACGAGGATGACCTGAAGCGGCGCAGTGCGCGGATGAGCGTCAATCTTGCTGGTAGGTCATCGCTGAGCAGTGCAGCTTGTGTCGCTGACCTGTACAGACATAGCAGAGTACGACGACAACAATCCCACAGATTCCTCAGCAAGCTCTGTCATCGATCAGGACGACGACCAGTCCTCTCAATCGCAAGGAAACAAGTCTGCGTCTTCCAGCACCCAGACCATGGGCCAGGCGTTGCACGGCATAAACGAGACGGAGAAAGAAGTCGCTGCGCTGAAGAGTGCATTGGATGAGTGCTGGACGCTATGCAACTCACTTGCGAAACTCAGCCAGAACCATCGCCGGCGGATGTTCAGCTACTCTGGTGGGAGCGCTGACGAGCAAGAGCATGCTTGGCGGACGTGTTGGCGACTGTGCCAGAAACTGTACGAGAGCCGGGACGAGAACCCCTCGACCCAGGTCATGCCAACCCTGGAGCTCTGCCGAGACTTCTGCCAGGCCTTGTTCGATGTACGGCAACGAGGAGAGGATTCAGCCGATTCTGTGTTGAGAGTCAGCTTCGAGCTAAACAACCACCTCTACAACGCTCACGACCGCGCGTTGCCCGAAGCGTTCCGGGAACGCACGCTAGACTTCTACCTGACGCTGTGTCACCGGTTGATGAAGCAACGAACATCTCTGCCGGAGGAGACAGATTCACTCCTCCATGCTTGCTGGTCGCTGGCAGAGACGCTTTTTAGCCTCCGTCAAAACAGCCGTGATGGCAAGCCTGCGGATGAGGAGCTCTTGGGTTCTGGCATACAAGCTTGCTGGGAGCTGTGCGATCTGTTCCGTGAAGGCTGGACCCAGGTGCGACCTGACCGCGGCACCCCACGTCCGACCCAGTACGAGTTCAATTTGGGATCCAGTTCCGGCTCTGTGACACGTTCGCAACGGTCTTACTCCGAAAGGTCTGGACGCTCGTCGTCTAGCGTCAATGATTCGTACCACTCCGCCATCTCTTCTCGAAGACAGACACCAGCAGTACCAGATACACCTACGACCATCTTTGACGATCGTGAAGAGTTCTCGCCTGCCGAAGAAAACAACGTACCGAACATCTTGGTACTAGGACCAGAAGCTGGTCTGACACGAACGCACGACCGCTGGTCTTCTGCATCTTCGAACCTTTCCACATATTCCGATGCTTCTATACACAGCTCGTCGACGGCCACTGCAGGCCGGACAGACCCAAATCTTGTCCGGCTGAAAGGCCTGATCGTCAAAGCCGCCATCAATGCTGGCTACAGTCGCCAAATACCGTTACCCGACTTCATTCGCGCTTTGCCCTCAAACAGCTTTGGCACGCTTCCGTGGCAGAGCCAGCTTTTCGAGAGCTACAGGAAGCTCGTCCTTGCAGACCCTACACTACGAACAGCGCATACCGAACCACCTCGAAGACTCACCGCCGTGGAAATCGGTCGGTCAGTACAATGGATGGCGCGCAGTGAGCAGTTCAAATGGCTGCGTGACCTCTATCGATTTGTTTTTGGCAACAATCCTGAGGATAGCAGTCAACGCAACCTCATCATCAACGCATAACGACTTGTCGCATCCGCACGCATGCATCTTGTTTGGCTAGGCTTTCTGCTCTTCTTTCCGCTCTATACCCCAACGCTCCTTTCGGTTCACCACGACGCTATCTGATCAACGATCATCTACGAAGCAAAGTTTGGACCGAGACATTTGTTCAATTCGATGTATATATTCTTACCTGATCATCCTTCGAGCTATCTATCTATCACCTCTTCGTCAGATTGTTTGCAGCCTTTGTATGCTAATGGGAACTGACTCAGTCCTCCCGTTCCCACTTTACCTTCTAGCTGTCAACTGTCATCTCGACAGCACACCCGCACACTCGGAGTCGCAGGTATGCCAAGGACGTTTGAAATCCTTCTCCATGAGTCGTGGAGCCAGCGAAGGGTATGCGAAGGTTCAGCCAATGGCTGAATAATCTCAACCGTCCGGCCCAATTCCTGTCCATCAAAACTCAAGCCGACGGTCTCTTCAGTTCGATGCTTGATTTACTCAGACTCCAATCAGAGATTCACAACGATTTTCCAGCTTGTCTTCGCGACTCTTGCAACCATCAAGATAGCACAACCCAGCCGCATAAATCCGCCAGTGCACAGTTGTAACAGCAGGAACGCTTCGCTACCACCATCAAACAACCCTCCTCCAGCATTGATCAACTGATCAACTCTCCACCCACAGGAGCACCCGCAGGAGCACCCACTCAACTCGCAGTTCCAGCAACTCCAAATACGATACCAATGTTTCGCCATCTGAAGAGTGGAATGAACTTCATCCTAGGATGGCTCCAGACAGTAGCAGGGGAGCTCACGAGATGCGCGCAGCATAGCACTGTTTATACCGTCCTCCACCCCGTCGACGATAAGACCTGCTTATCACACGCAAACGCTTATCAAGTCCCGCACAGACTCATGCATACCGTACCATACTATTCTGCTGTCGCCTTAAGCCATGTCCATCAGCCGCCCAAGGCCCTCAAACCCCCAGACCGCAAAGAGCTCCGTGTGCGAAGGCACATCCTGGCGGGCCACAAGGCCTGCGCACCGTATGCATATGTCTCTGGTCCTCATAGACTCATGTGCACCACAAAATACGCACTGACCTGCCGCCTCGGACTAGTCTTCCCAGCAACCAGGGATTTCTCGATCGATGAAGCGGACAGAGTGTAGTCGGCGTTATATTGAGTGAAGTCAGACTATGGCTTTTGACGTCCGAAATCGATTATCGGTGCCTTGCAAAATGTACGAACCCCTAAGGCTGGTCGATAGGATGGGTGACAGTCAGGGTGACAGGGCGCAGGGCAGAACGTGGGGTACTTTAGTGCACCAAGACAATTAACCACTCACGTATGTGCCCTGCATGCTATACTGTGGTACATGCAGTCACTGTGCCAAAATTCAGGAGGGTCCGTACATTTCGCAAACGATTGTATCGGTGCTTGCCAGAACGTATGCACCCACCTATCTTAGTACACAATTGGAGAGCTTAGATCTGATTGGCTGGCGCGTTTGCGGCTACATTAACAGTATACGTACCCTGAATATGTGGGGCAGCGATGTAGTTCATGACGTCGAGCACATCTGCAGCTGCCGTGAGAGGCTGTAAGCACCTGGGTCAGGGTCTGACACCTGGTACCAGGTAATGCTTCACGGTACCTGTTGTAGAGTAGCCAATAAGATACAGGCGCATTAATCGGAAACATCCATCTCGTCGCTCCCTTTGGAACATGCTGGCCCTTCAAACTAATCTGGATAGGCGCCCAATTCTTAGCGTACGCGGCCAGAGCACGCGTGTCGAGATTCTCAGTCTTGAGCGTCTGTGTTGCCGTGTCGTTGAGCTGAGCCAGGTACGCTTCGCTCCGCACTCCATTGTCGTGCGCAGGGAGCAAACCGCCGGTTGCTTGGAGTTTCTGGCCATCGGCTACGGGGTTGAAGACACCGTTCAGAGAGGGAAAAATGAGATTGACGCGTCCGACACAAGCCGAACAGACTGTAAGATCTTCGATGAGAGACCCGATTGTTGGGTCAGAAAGGAAGTGCCATGTCCGTGTTGCGGTTGGCTTGCTTCCGCTTTGGGCTTCGGGGTCCTGCGGATTGAGGTTGGGACATGCACCGTCTTCGTCGGGAGGTAGTTCGGCTACGCTGCCCAGGAGGGTGAGATCTGACGCGCCTTGTGAAAAGAGCCACAATGTCGCAGCATGGTTCCAGCGATCAGAAGAGTCACATCTTGTTGCCACGTCCTTGGGCTTGGGAGAAGCTCGGAGATGCATCTTGCGTATGGTGTGTCGCGGAATGTTGCATTGTAACAGCTTGATCAGATGTCAACGTCCGGAAAAGTCTTCGGCGTAGTGATTTAAAACCAGTTGGTGTGTCATGTCTCGTAATTGTATCGAGGTCAAGGCGCGAATATTGGCGGCTGCCGTTGCTGCTGGTTAACGAATGCCGAAGGCCTGGGTGGTAAGCTGGCTTCACAAGGGGCATTGTGGGAAGTGTTTTTGGATGAATTGAAAGCTCGCCAAATTGCTTGGTGGTGAACAGCTTGCTAGGAACCTCCAGGGCTTCCCGCTGTGCGCGGGTCGTACGCGGAGTCACCCGCACAGCCTCACCTACCTTTGTGAGGCTGAACAAACCGAGGTGATGAATACGAGGACCGGTGAGAACGTTATTCCACCATGCACGAGAAGGAAGATACGGAGATGCCACGCATATGCAGCATTAACAAACGCGGTTGTCGCGACATCAAGTAACCAGTTGCATGTTTCTTTTGAGAGTTCAGATCAGCAAGTTGTCCGCAATTTAGCTTGCCTGTTCTGAGCTGAGCTGGTCGTAAGCTCGAAAATATGGTTCGTAGTGACTATCAGCGATAATCTGGCTCAACACATTGGTGGCTGACGGTAATGTGAAAGTGAGGTGGAGTGGAGAAAGAAGAATGGAAGGTACCCGGGAGCTTCTGGCGCAGGGTCGCTGCAGGGCACCCACCTCATCGCGGAGCCGAGCTGTACCTCTAACTCCCCGCAACTTCTCACGTACAGACATCTACAATCGACTCGGTCAGTATTGTCTTGGGGGCATACATTGATCCTGCGTTGATGCACACTTCCTATACAAATCGATAAGGTAATAACGATGGGGCCCAAAACCAAAGATACCGAAAGAATGATCGCGCAACACGCGTCGCTCAGCACCACTGCCACATCTTAACCGACTTGACAGTCATGCCGCGGTCATTCCCCTCACCCCACGTTGGTAACCACTGCTCCTTCGCGTTCCAGAAATCCCTTGCAGCAGATGCGCTGCCATCAACCCATGGCTTGTTGTACTTTCCGTTACTTCAAGATCGTTAGCATTCGATTCTTCGATGTTCGAGATCTGTAGAGGGACTCACTAGAACCAACCGTTTTGAGCGCCGACTGCGACTTTGAGACTCAAGTAGAATTTCTGATCGAAGGGTGCAATAGGGTTGCCAGCCTCGAGCCAAGGATTGGTATAGAGTTGGCCATTGCTATTGGACGTGCCCTGGAATTTGCCCTTCTCCCAGAATGGCTCCTTCCCCTTGAACCTGAGGTCGAACACACGGTATAATCTGTTGTCAACATACATGAAAATGTAGTCTGTGGTCCACTCCAAGCCGAATGTGAAAAACCTGTCGGTGAAGTCGAGGCGATTAGATTTGAAGAAAAAGGTATCGTACGTGGTCATGTAGCCGTCATGCTGAGGATCGGGTCCCCAGTGAAGGGCCGAGGTGATTACGTTGCGGCCGCGAGGATATGTGTAGTTGTTTCCGCGCGTTTCTGCGATATCGATCTCGCCGGATGCGGGCCACACGCCGTAAACTGAATCTTCGGGCATCATCCCTAGGAAACGTAAGAATTGAAGTAGTAGTTGGGAGGTCAAAACATACAGATAGCAGGCCACAACCAATCGCCCCTGGGCATCTTAGCAACGACCTCGACTCGTCCGTATCTGATGCTCTTTTTGCCTTTGGTGGTAATACGTGCGGATCGTGCTGGCGGGAGGATATGGCCGAGTGTAACGTTGGATTTGATTGAGCACATCTTCACGTCTGTAGATGTGCAGGTCCCGTCGCTGCCTGCAGTTGTAAGGTTCAGAGTGTAACCGTCGAGCAGCTGTGCCTCGGTGATATCCGTAGAGTCGGTGGTCAAGGTCGGTACAATGTGTAAGCCTTCAGCATCAACAAACACATTTTGTGAGTCGTCTGTCGTCCAGCTGAACTCTCCATTGCCGAATCTACCGGTCTGTGCCCATGTTAATAGTGCTTGCCGCTGCGTCGATAGGCCCGTACCTGAATTTCGTAGCTCCAGTTATCACGGCCAATGGCATCGAACTGATCATCCATGATCAGGCAGTACTGCTAGGCGTTAGCGAGTCCGCAAACACACTGGGTAGGATTGTGTACCTCGCCTATAGGGGTAGCAACCCAATACCCGTCCCACAAATAGAAGAAAATCAGAACCAAGCCAATTATGAAGCCTGTGAGCATGATGGCGCTGTTGATCCGCTTGGGTCGCGTCCAGCGCGGGTCCTCAAGCCATGGCTTTTCATATCTAGAACACTTTAGCATTGATTTCAAACACAATCGCGTATTGCACATCATACTCTCCGATCAGCAAGGAGCTTTTGAACTTGTATGGCGGCTTGCCGGCTTTCCCTGCCGTGGGAGCGTTGGCCGCAGATTTTGACTGCTCTTGGCGATGGTTGATCTTCTGTGCTGCGGTTGCGGTACTGATCGCCTCGGTTAAGGGGAACTTGAAGTTGGGATCTGTAAAACCCATGTTGCTGATGAAGGAAATTTGACAGCTCGCTTAAGAATTGTCCGTACTCAATGACGATGAGAGTCTCGAGGCTCGCTCAAGTAATGATTGAACAAGGTACCGCACAGGTACCATGCACTGCTCAGTTATGGACTGATGTTTGAGGCTGTCCGCCGGCTGTTAGTGAGTTGTTATCGTGAGATAGTGTGGCAAGTCTTGTCGTGGAGGGAAACGTCACATCTCAGATGACCGCTAACCCGGGTAGCTACGTTGTACCTGCCGCCAAAACAACATGATCGCAGTTCCCTTAAAGATTCAAGCAAGCGAGCGCGTCTGCATGTTCTGCAAGCTATCGGTAGTCTTATACGTATGACAGAATGCAGGCCCGCGCGTGTATCATACCAAACCACGGCGCAGAAATGGGCCGTATACCTCGGCGGACTATTGCTGACCGAGCGATTCGGGCGCCATGGGTCGTTGGTGTGGTGAAGTGAGAGTGTGCCGTCCGTGGCTCGATTTCCTTTCTGGCGTATGAAGCAGGCACGTTGGCGCCAGAGGTTTACAGGCTTGTCAGATTGACGACACTGATGGTGCCTACCGTTTGAATCGGCCACTGACATATGTCGCACACTGCGTTTCCATCCTTCTCGAGCTTTGCATTCCCACGTTCATCTGGCAACTCGCGCCCATCATTCTTTTGTACCGATCACCACCGCATTCTTACTGTGTTTGCAGGTTCTCGAGGACTCTCAGGCCTTCATTTATGATGTCGTCCGAGCCAGGATACTATGACTCTGGGTCTCCGGCCTCTCCACAATCAGACTCGGGATATGCTACATTAAATTCAAGCTATAACTCGAGCACCGTCAATTCGAGTTATGCATCGCCCACCTTTTCCAATGAGCCTGAAGGCCCATTTGGCTCCGACAGGAGGAGTGAAGCAGGTTTACAACATGGAGTCACCACTCCTAGCCGTGCCGGAAGTATCAGGGGTGTCGCCAGTCGTCCTGCTTCTGCCGATAGGGTAAAGGTGGACGAGGAAACCAGATATCGCGCGGTAAGTTTTCGTGCTCTGTGTCCGCCAGAGAACCATATAAGAACGAGGGCATAGTGGCTAATACCTTGGCAGCTCGGCAGGCATCTCTATACCAAGGCATGCTCGATGCGTTGGATGGAGCCCGGTGTCCCACAATCACTTGCAAGATCCGGCGTCTTGATCAGGAGAACGAACGGTGATTACGTAGTCGAGCCCAGGAATATCGATCAAAGGCTCCTTGCTGCGGTGCAGAGGATCAATCCAGGAGTTGCTTTGACCATATCCACCGACGGCATCGATGCGGTATTCGACATGTTAGGGGAGGCCGAGCGCTTCACATTCAGCAACGGCTCGCATATACAGACCGTCGAGTCCTTGGATGCAATCGCTCACTCGGTATCTGTCAAAAAGTTCCAGTATGCAGCGCTCGTGCGTCAGGAACGGATGGTGTTGGTCTGGCATGACGATCTTGGTGCGATTCTATCGCAGGCCATTGACATTGAGGCCAGGATCTCTGGACTTACATCGGGCTCAGCAGAAAGTCCATTCGGTGAGTGTGACAGTGGCTTGGAACCTTACGCATCTTCCATCCACGCAGACTCGACGGCGGGCTTGTCGATAGGAAAGGAAAAGGATGCCGAGATCTACGTTGAGGAGATGGACGACGACATGGACTACAACATGAACACGGTCAACTTTGGTCCTGATGAATCGCTTTCTCGTCCGGCGATCTTCACAAGTGCCATCTACGTCACTCTGGGTGTCGTCCTTATGAGCATCCTCGTCTTCGGCTTCGGTAACCGCGCCCTCCTTATCCAGGTCAAGGTCGACCACTTTTATCCCCGCCTGGTCCTCATCCTCTCCGAGCCTTTCTTCTTCTGCCTCGGTCTTTTCTTCGCCATCGTCATCTTCAACAACTGTTTCCAACTTTGTGGACCCATGACGGAGCTCAAGATGAACAGTCGCTTCTACTCAGCGATCAAGCCACACTTGGCCCAAGCTCGAGCTCTCGGGTTCACTCCGCCTCCAATCACTATACAGATGCCTATCTTTACCGAGTCGCTCGAAGTAGTCATTAAGCCAACAGTGGCTTCCTTGCAAGCGGCCATATCCTATTACGAGTCACGAGGCGGCACAGCTCGTATCTTCATCAACGATGATGGTATGTCCCTCCGCTCCGAAGTGGACAATGTACTGTTCAAGGAATTTTACATCAACAACAACATCGGTTGGGTGGCCCGTCCCAAGCACAACTTCAATGGTTTCATCCGTGGGGGAAAGTTCAAGAAGGCGTCTAACATGAACTATGCTCTCAATGTTTCCGTTCGCGTGGAACAGGCTATGCAGAGGTCCATCGATGACCTGTGCGAGAAGGGCCTCGAGAACCTTGCTGTGGACCAGGAGTCGGAGATATACGAGGATGCGTTGAGGCAGGTTCTCGAAGCTGATCCTCGCGCCAAAGCCGGCGGCGATATACGCATAGGAGACATCATTCTGCTCGTCGACTCCGACACAATTGTTCCGGAGGACTGCTTGATGTATGGTGCGGCCGAGATGTTCCTCTCTCCTGAGGTTGCGATCGTCCAGCACAGCACGGGTGTGATGCAGGTTTCGTGGGATTGGTTTGAGAACGGTCTTGCCTACTTCACAAACCTTGTCTACACTACCATCCGTTTCGCGGTCGGAAGTGGCGAGACGGCTCCCTTCGTCGGCCACAACGCCTTCATTCGCTGGCGGGCAGTACAAGATGTCGCTGAACCCACGAATGACGAGGGCTATGTTCGATTCTGGTCCGAGAGTCATGTTTCCGAGGACTTCGATATGGCGCTTCGCCTGCAGATTAAGGGAAACACCATCCGTCTTGCCAACTACCACAACGGCGGGTTTAAGGAGGGCATCTCGCTGTCCATTTTTGATGAACTCGATCGTTGGGAGAAGTATGCTTACGGGTGTAGTGAGCTGGTCTTCAACCCTATACACACCTGGCTTTTGAAGGGCCCCTTCACCCCGCTCTTCCGCAAGTTCCTAGGTGCAGATCTGCAGCCCTCGTCCAAGATGACCATCGTCGGTTACATCTCATCTTACTACGCTCTCGCGTCTGCTGTCCCTCTTGGACTTCTCAACTACTTCTTGATCGGCTGGTTCAATGGACGACTTGACCGGTTTTATGTCGAATCCTTTCAGAGTTAGTGCATATCTAAAGTCCCATTCTGAATCACACTGACACCTTGCAGTCTTCGTCGCACTACTTGTAGTCTTCAACCTCATTTCCAACATCTGTCTTGCTGCCATGCGTTACCGTCTTGGAGAAATGGGCCTGTTGGCCTCTCTCTGGGAGAATTTCAAGTGGATGCCGTTTTTCATGGTCTTCTTTGGGGGTGTCTCCTTCCACCTCCTACTCGCCATCTGCGCACATATGCTCGGCATCGACAAGACCTGGGGCGCCACCGGCAAGGAAAAGGTCAACTCCAGCTTCTTCGAAGAGGTCCCGAAGATCTGGAGACGGTTCAAATGGATGTATGCTTTGATGCTCTCAATTCTGGGCGCCATGATCTTCTTCGGCTGCTTCGCACCCCGTGGGTGGGACATCAAGGGTATAACGAGTTGTGTACCCATGGCTGTCTCCTTGGCTATGCATTTGCTCTTGCCTCTTGCCTTGAATCCTTCGCTTCTGGGGTTCAACTACTAAAAGCATTCGAACGAATCGCATCTCCGTCATATCGAGAAGAGTGATGAGGGACTGGCTAGGTGGGTGATCCGGATTGACGACGCCCTCGTCACAAAAGCCATGATCTGGACGTCTTGGCACAGTGCGCTTTGTGAAAGGATTCAATAGGATAATTGAACAATTTCTGAGTCTGAGATTCCAATAGATACTGATAGCAAGTGATGCAGAGCGACAGAGAGGAAACGCAGGAATTATGCGCTTTCCGGAAAGGTTGACGGTACGGAGCTTAGCGCGTTCCGGCTTTCACAGTCACCGGCGACCGCATATGCAGGCTCGAACGCCGAACTTAAACACCGCGATATCGGCACGATGATGCGCAGCGCAAGACAAGCAGTACCTGCGTAAAAGCCTCAGTCAATACTTTAACATTAAGTCCTCTGTGGAAAGGTGCAGCGTTGTGCGCCGCTCATCGATTGTGTGACGTCAAATGATTACAAAGCCTCGAAGCCATCATACGCCCTACGAATCATCGTGCCGTTTGACCAACATGAACTATAATCCCGTACCCGATTTTGGTATGGCATTTAGAGCCTCTTAATCGTCCCTTCGAAGGTTCAAGTGACCGAACAGGTACCAGCAAGGTCCAATGTCTACTCCTGCGTTGTCCATACGCGGGACTACGGCAAGTGTCAACTACCCCAAAGACTTCGTAAGCCACTTCCCTTACTTACTGTTCTCATCATTGACACCATATACAGGCATTATGGAATATCATCTCCAACCTTTGGGATCCTGAATCGAACCCCGACGGCTATGTTTCCCTCGGCCTCGCAGAAAACGCGCTCATGCACAACGAGCTGCGCGACTTCCTCAACTCCCAGAAACTATTGGATCCTCAGGCTGTTGGCTTCACCTACGGCAGCGGCCCCTACGGATCCAAGAATGTACGAGCGACCATTGCCAAGTTCATGAACCACCACTTCAAGCCCGCTAGACAGCTGCAGCCAGACCAGGTTCTAGTCACAAATGGTGTGTCTGTCGCTATAGAACATTGTGCCTGGGGTCTTGCAAACCCCGGCGAAGGCATCCTACTCGGACGCCCATACTACCGCGCCTTCCTCCCAGACATCTCCATGAGAACCGGCGTCAACGTGGTCCCAGTATCTTTCGGCAGCGCAGATCCATGTAACATCGACTGCGTCCACGCCTACGAATCTGCGCTCCTCAGATCAAACGAACAAGGCATCCCAATCCGCGCGCTCATGTTATGCCACCCACACAACCCCCTCGGTCGATGCTACTCGCGCGAAACCCTCATTGCTTTGTTACATCTGTGTCAGAAGTATAAGATCCACCTGATCAGCGACGAAATCTACGCCCTGACAGTCTGGGAAAACACCATCGACTCCACCGGCCCAGCACCCATCCCCTTCTCATCCGTGCTCTCTATCGACCTACCCTCCATCATCGACCCCTCGCTTGTGCACGTCTTGTGGGGTATGAGTAAGGACTTTGGGGCCAACGGACTACGACTCGGCACTATCGTTTCGCCTTCGAACCCGGCATTTATCCAGGCGTGTCGCGCGTGCGGGATTTGGTCAAGCCCGTCGAGTCTGGCTGAGAATGCTGTGTGTCATGTTCTGAACGACAAAGCGTTCGTGGAGAGTTATATCAGACTGAACAAAAAGCGTCTCTCAGTCGCTTACACACATGTCATCACTGAACTGAAAAATAACGGGATTGAGTACAATCCTGGTGCGAATGCGGCGTTCTTCGTGTTGGTTAATCTGGGGAAGATGTTCAGGGAGAACTTCACAGCGGGTTTCGAAGAAGGGCAGTTGGTTGACGATGTAGGGATTACGGCGAAGGTGCACGAGCGGCTCATGGCGAAGAAGGTATACCTGGTCGACGGCGATGCAGCAGGCGTAGAAGAACCAGGCTGGTTTCGACTGGTGTTCACGCAACCGCAGGAGCTAGTGAGCGAGGCTATTGGGAGGGTTGCTGCTGCGCTGAAAGCTTGAGGATCCCCATGCAGAAAATTGTAATGTTAATATGGGCTTGCACTTCTAGAGCCCCCGCAGGCATGGAAGGCAGTCTGGTACATAGAAGGGAGAAGATAGATCTAAATGACTGTGCTGTCGAGCGAAGCTTGGCCGTCGAACTAGGGACCTTTCGATGACAATGAAGCTATTGCAGTCTATTGTGGTAGATCAAGCACACCAAGCAGAGGATGCAACCTGTGGGTGCGCTTCAATCTACATCAGAGTTGAATTGTGCATAAGTGGAGTTTATACGAACTCCAACACATGACCGCCCCACCTAGAACCCATAAGCGCTAATCCAGCCTCTTACATAAACCCTTCACCCTCTCCAACCCCTAACCGATCCTCAACACTGGCCCAGAGCTATGCATTGCAAACCCCCTGAATGCAATGTCTATTATATATATAATGATATTAATTTATCAAGTAACTATCAATCAAACAAGCGCAATCTTCGGGTTGCATCCCTCCGCTTGGTGTAGTTGGTTTATCACGTTCGACTGTAATAGCTTCATTGTTATCGAAAGGTCCCTAGTTCGATTCTGGGAGCGGAGAAAACCATTCTTTTTGCGGATGGGCTGGCCACGAGAGGCAGGAGCTGGAGCGCTGACTTTTTGCTGATATGTGGGGCGAAATTGTGAGTCGGACTCGGTCGGTATGTAGGGTGATAAATTGCCGTGGACTTTGTGGTTAGATGTAACTGGATGACTTGGTCGACAGAGAAGTAGATGTAGTATGGTATGGAGTTTTGCTTTTACATTGTATTTGGGGTATCTATTCGATTGTGCGTGGACAACTTGTTCGACATGGCGCTCCAGAAGCTGGATTCAACGTGCCTCTTCGCTCCTTGTTCATGCAGCTCTCTGTTTGGGTGTGGCTTTTGTAGCTTGACGTTCAGCCTCGCCGTCTCTTCGTGCCGTTTTGCACTGCTGTGCCGTTAGCTCTGCGTTCATCTCCACTGACTGCCACTTCGTCATCGTTCATCCATTCCCGTCCAGCGCCGGGGCTGCGGCGTCTAAACTGACCAGCGCCGACTGCGACCACCTCATCCTCGCTGTCGCTGTTCTCGATATCCAAAATTACAGGCATCATGAACTCCGGCTCTCCGTTCACGGCACCAGACTCTGCAGCTGATCCCTTGACCTCGATGGTGAGCACGTCGACTTCTTCGTCTTCCTGGTCGAGACGACGCTTGTGTAATTCTTCGAGTGGCTGAATGTCGAACTCGTCTTCACGCTCGATGTACTCGACGTTCTCTTCAACTTCAACGAAGTCTGGTGCTAGCGCAGACCAACGCTGAGGCTGCAGTATAGACCAAAGCCAGACACGCCCAGAGTCGACACCAACCGCCGCGACGAACGGTCGGGAGGGATGCCACTCCACAACTGACAGCTCTTCCTTTGTGCCTTCCAGAATCTTGACCAAACTGCCTTGCCCTCGTTCCCAAACGTATATATGATGGTTCATCCAAGTGGAAGCTGTAACATATTCGCCGGACGGGCTGAATGAGACATGGTTCCAGGATAATCTCTGCACCAGATCCTGGAACCTGTGTTCAACCTCGAGCTGAAGCGTGTCGAAGTCGAGTTTGGGATCGCTGAAGTCGGGGAGATGCAGCGTCCGTACTATCCTATCGCTTGCATTGACCACAATGTTGCGCCCAGAAGGAGTCAAACGAATGTACACGATAATGTTGTTGGTAACTCTGAATGAGTACTTGACCTCGTGTGTTTCTGTGTCGATGATGTTCATCCACCCTTTGTTCGTTCCGGCAATGACGTGTTTTCCAGAGGGCGTAAAGAGAGTCATCGTCGTTGTTTGCTTGGCATCTTGCGCATTCTGCTTCTCTGTTGCGTTCTCGCGCTCGACCTGGGAGCGGCGGGGCGCCGATGGGATCTGGTGCTTGACGGGCACTTGTTCCGTCATGTCGACAATGACAGGCTGGTCCTCGAAGAGGGCGGCGACGAAGAGCATGTGGTTCTTGGGGTGCAGCTCGGCGATGAAGATGGCAGCCTCGAAGCGGACAGTGCGCACTCTAGAGCCATCTTGCAGGTCCCAGAGCACACACTTCCAGTCCTGCCCAGCGCTGAGGAGATAGCGATCGTTGGTGGACCAGCTCAGCGACTGCACCTGGCGCGTGTGGCCGCGCAGTTTGCGGGCGACGCCATTGGTCTCGATGTCGAAGATGACTACTATACCGTCATGCTATGTGGTATTAGCTTGGGACAGACCGTGTTTCGCGGAGTATGCCTACACGTCCAGAGGCAAGCAGGTCGCCGCGGTGGCTGAAGCGAATGGATGTGGAGTGACCGCTGCCTGCATGTTGTGAGCTAAGTGCACCGAGGCAGCAGACGCAGCGCACTCACGTAGACGGCCGGTGATGACATCGGGGCAGTCCTGTGCGAGGACAAAGGGGTCGATCAGAGACAGGTTCATCTTCAAGGCGGCGCGGGGTGCAGTGAGGTGCCGTGCTCAGCTCGCAGCATCTTCGAAGCCGGGGCTGCTGTCCATGCGCGCAGGTGAAAGACAATGCACGTGTCGCCATGTTGGATTTGCCTTTGTTGCTCTGCGCAGAGCAACAAGGCGCTAGTGTGGCTTGGCGCTTCGACTCGCCGCTTCTGCCTTTGTGCCAGCGCCCTTCACCAGCACGCCCACCCACTCCCACCACCGCCCCCCCATCTCTTCGCGACCGTTCTGCCCCTCCAGAGCGCGTCTTTCACCTCCACCAGCACGCCCGAGTTCACCGGCGAGCTCCAATCGCGCGCGCACGACGCCCGCAGCAGGCGCGACCGCAGCGAGCCCCCGAACCCGAGCTGCCTCCGCCCCCGGGCGCTATTCTTCGACCACATCACTTCCAGCGCGCGCGGCGCATTAGCTCCATCTGCGAGCGCGGCCACCAGGCGCATTAGCTACTACGGCACATTTACACACCTCCTAATACGCGGACGAGGAGCCTGGAGTGGCTATCCGCAGACGCCTTCACCCGGCCGCCTAGATCGATAAAACGATCCCCAGCGAAATCCCTTTCCACGAACGCTTCTCAATACCGCCAATATGCCGCCCGGCGCGCCAGCAGTATCGAAATGTCCGCTCAGGACCATCAAGGAGATCCAGTTCGGGCTGCTCTCCCCCGAGGAGATCAAGGCCATGAGCGTGGTGCATATCATCTACCCTGAGACCATGGATGAGGACAACAAGAAGCCCCGCGAACAAGGTCTCAACGACCCCAAGCTCGGCACCATCGACCGCATGTATTCGTGCGCAACGTGCAAGGAGGACATCCAGGTCTGCCCTGGGCATTTTGGCCACATCGAGCTGGCCACTCCCGTCTTCCATGTCGGTGAGTGCTTCCTCTACTGACTCTGCATGCACGTGTGACTGACACATGCAGGTTTTGTCGTCAAGATCAAGAAGATCCTTGAGACGGTGTGCCACAGCTGTGGCTTGATCCTCGCTGATACCGTAAGTCTTCCTCGTGAAGACGAACTTTCAGGCGTTTGACCTTCTTGTACTGACTGCCACGCTAGAACCATCCGGACTGGGATCAGGCTATGAAGACCAAGGATGCGAAGCGGCGATTTGACAAGATCTGGCGCATGTCCCGGACACGGCGAGTCTGCGAACAGGACACCACTGAGGAGGACCCGAAGAAGGCCCGCCGTCCCCACGGCGGTTGTGGCAATCCGCAGCCTGACACCATCCGCAAGGAGGGTCTCAAGCTCACCGGCACGTGGAAGCAAAAGAAGAAGGATGAGGATGATGGCCAGGGTGACCGCAAGGAGGTCATTACCCCGCAGACGTCACTCAACATCTTCAAGCTGCTCTCCGACGAGACGCTCCAGATCCTCGGTCTGAACAAGGACTACGCTCGTCCCGAGTGGATGATCCTTACCGTTCTGCCTGTTCCTCCACCACCAGTTCGCCCCAGTATCTCGGTCGACGGCACAGGACAAGGTATGCGTGGCGAGGACGACTTGACATACAAGCTGGGCGACATCATTCGCGCCAACAGTCGTGTTCTGCAGTGTATTCAGGACGGCTCACCACAGCACGTTCTCACAGAGTTTGATACTCTGCTCCAGTACCACGTGGCAACATACATGGATAACGACGCAAACGGTGTACCACAGGCCATGCAGAAGTCCGGCCGTCCGCTCAAGACTATTCGTGGTCGTCTAAAGGGTAAGGAGGGTCGTCTCCGAGGAAACTTGATGGGTAAGCGTGTCGATTTCTCCGCACGTACTGTCATCACAGGTGACCCCAACCTTTCGCTGGACCAGGTCGGTGTGCCACGTTCGATTGCTCGCACTCTCACCTACCCTGAGGTTGTTACCAAATTCAACATCAGTAAGCTGACTGGGCTGGTGCGCAACGGTCCCAACCAGCACCCTGGTGCCAACTACGTGATCAAGGCCGATGGAGTACGTCTCGATCTCAAGCACAACAAGAACCTCGACGACCTGCGACTGCAGTACGGCTGGAAGGTTGAGCGCCACATCAACGATGACGACGTCATCATCTTCAACCGTCAGCCGTCCCTGCACAAGGAGTCCATGATGGGTCACCGTGTCAAGGTCATGCCATACTCGACTTTCCGTCTCAACCTGTCTGTCACGTCACCATACAACGCTGATTTCGATGGCGACGAGATGAATTTGCACGTCCCTCAGAGCGATGAGACACGAGCTGAAGTTCAAAACCTGTGCATGGTCCCTAAGCAGATCGTGTCACCTCAGAAGAACTCCCCTCTGATGGGTATCGTGCAGGATACTCTTTTGGGCGCTTACAAGATGACTCGTCGTGATGAGTTCTTGCCTATCGAGCAAGTCATGAATATCATGATGTGGGTGCCGGAGTGGGATGGCATTGTTCCGGAACCTGCGATCCTGAAGCCTCGTCCTCTCTGGACCGGAAAGCAGATCTTGAGCATGGCTATTGCGAAGGAGGTCAACATCGTCAAGCTCGACGATGACTCGAAGCCTGGACCATGGAACGATATCGCCGACAAGAGTCTGATGATCATGGGTGGCCAGCTCATCTTCGGACAGATCACGAAGAAGGTTGTCGGTGCTACAGCCGGTGGTGTCATTCACATCATCTTCAACGAGCTTAGTCCTCTGGACGCCGTAGGCTTCTTCAACGCCTGCCAGCGCATTGTGTGCTACTGGCTGTTGCACCACGGTTTCAGTATGGGTGTGGGCGACGCCATTCCTGACCCGGCTACTTCTGAGAAGATTGCCGAGTGCATTGCAAAGTCCAAGAAGGACGTCGAAGACATCATCCTCACGGCTACTCAAGACAAGCTTGAGCCGCTGCCGGGTATGACGATTCGCGGTACCTTCGAGTCGAAGGTGCAGAAATTCCTCAACGAAGGTCGTGAAGGTGGTGGTACCGCCGCTCAGAACAGTTTGAAGCACTTCAACAACGTTGTCAACACTGTCATTTCTGGTTCCAAGGGCTCTACCGTCAACATCTCGCAGATGGTGTCTCTCGTCGGTCAACAGGCTGTCGAAGGTCAACGTATTCCTTTCGGATTCAAGTACCGAACTCTGCCCCATTTCACCAAAGATGATTACTCGCCCGAGTCTCGAGGTTTCGTCGAAAACTCGTACCTACGCGGTCTGACACCTTCGGAGTTCTTCTTCCACGCCATGGCCGGTCGTGAAGGTCTCATTGATACTGCTGTCAAGACTGCCGAGACAGGTTACATCCAGCGTCGTCTCGTTAAGGCGCTTGAGGATGTCATGGTGAAGTACGATGGCACCGTACGAAACTCTATGGGCGACATCGTCGAGTTCGTGTACGGTGAGGACGGTCTCGATGGCGCGCACATTGAGAAGCAAAAGCTTGACATCATCACGTCTTCTGAAGCGAAGTTCGAGAAGACCTTCAAGCTCGACGTGGTCAGCACAGGAAAGCCCCCTATCCCGGCCAGCCAACTCGAGGTTGCAGCCGTCATTCAGGGTGACGTCGAGGTTCAGCAATACCTTGACGAAGAGTTTGAGCAGATCAAGATCGATCGCGAGTACCTTCGTGCCTTCATTGATGACGATGACAGCCAGCAGTTCCAGCTTCCTCTCAACATCCAACGTATGATCGAGTCTGCACAAGCACGCTTCGGCATCAAGCCGCAGCAAGACCGCAGCAACCTCGAGCCTATTCAGACTATCACCAAGGTTCGCGAGCTTTTGGATCGCCTCGTGGTCATTCGTGGTGATGATGAGATCTCCAAGGAAGCACAGGCAAGTGCGACCTACCTGTTCAAGTCGCATCTACGATCTCGTCTTGCATTCAAGCGCCTTGTTGTTGAGTACCGTCTGAACAAGAAGGCCCTGGATTACATTCTCGGCGAGCTCGAGGAACGCTTCCTCAAGGCTGCTGTCGCCCCTGGTGAAATGGTTGGTGTTTTGGCGGCCCAGTCTATTGGTGAGCCTGCCACCCAGATGACGCTCAACACTTTCCATTTTGCTGGTGTGTCCTCCAAGAACGTTACGCTCGGTGTGCCCCGTCTCAAGGAAATTCTCAACATTGCTGCAAACATCAAGACACCGTCTATGCTCGTCAGGCAGCAGGATGCAGGCGGAAATCAGCAAGCTGCCAAGCTTCTTCGATCCCGTATCGAGCTTACCACTCTGCGCTCGCTTACGCACGCTGTAGAGCTGTACTACGACCCGCAGATCAAGGAGACGCTTATCGAGCAAGACGAAGACATGGTTGAATCTTACTACGTCTTTGGCGAGGGTGAAGAGAACCTCGAGGCTCAGTCCAAGTGGCTGCTTCGCATCGTTCTGGATCGCAAGAAGTTGCTCGACAGGGACATCTCTATCTCTGAAGTGGCCAACACCATCAAAGAGGAGTTCAAGCCTAACTTGGCTGTCATCTTCAGCGACGAGAATGCAGACGAGCAGATCATTCGCGTACGATTCATCTGGGACGGCAACCTTCAGAAAGACGAGGATGACGAAGACGAGCGTGATGAGCGATGGATGCGAAAGCTCGAGAAGCATCTTCTCGACGATGTTACCCTTCGTGGTGTTCGGGGTATTGAGCGTGCTTTCATTCGAGAGCTGAAGGTCGTTGCCGAGAACGACGATCGTTCCTTGATCCTTTCTAAGAACGACCCTCGTTGCAATGAGTGGGTACTGGATACCACCGGTACCGCCCTGGCTGATGTGCTTGCCATTGAAGGCGTCAACCCTACCAAGACATACTGTAACTCCTTCATCGAAATCCTCGGTGTGCTCGGTATTGAAGCAGCTCGTGCTGGTCTTCTCAAGGAGTTGGGTATGGTGTTGTCCTTCGATGGTTCCTACGTGAACCATCGTCACATGGCGCTTCTCGTCGATATCATGACACAGCGTGGTCTGCTCATGGCTATCACTCGTCATGGTATCAACCGCAACGACACTGGAGCTCTCATGCGTTGTTCCTTCGAAGAGACGGTCGAGATTCTTCTCGAGGCTGCCGGTTTTGGTGAGCTCGATGACTGCCGCGGTGTGTCTGAGAACATTATGCTTGGTCAGCTGGCGCCCATGGGTACTGGAGAATTTGACGTTGTCATGGACAATGCCATGCTTCTCACCATGGTGGAGGACAACTCGAAGGTCATGGGCGGCGCCGCAGCTGCTGGAAGCTACCTGGACAGTGGTGCAGCTACCCCTTACGACCTGGGTTCACCAACATACGAGGGTGGCATGGGTATGGGCGGTTACGACGCCTCCTTCTCTCCTCTTGCTGCTGCAGGTGGCGAGAACCAAGGTGGCTTCAGCGAGTACCAGCCCAACTTCGACAACGGTGGCTTCAGTCCATTCAACCCAGCAGGCAGAAGCCCAGGCTACGCTCCGATGTCTCCTGGCTTCTCAGGCGCCAGCCCAACATCACCAGGCTACTCGCCAACCTCACCTGGGTACTCGCCTACCTCGCCAGGCATCAGCAGTCCACGCTTTGGTGCCACATCACCTGGATACGCGGCTACCAGCCCTCAGTACTCACCTACATCGCCGAGCTACTCGCCAACCTCGCCGGCATATGGCTCTCCTACTTCGCCATCATACTCCCCAACTTCGCCCAGCTACTCACCGACATCGCCGTCGTACTCGCCCACGTCGCCAAGCTACAGCCCTACTTCGCCGGCGCACCATGGTGCGACTTCACCACACTACAGCCCGACATCACCTGCGTATAGCCCAACGTCACCTGCATACAGCCCGACGAGCCCGCAGTTCGGCGCGAATAACGACAGGCGCTCGCCTGCTTCTCCCACTTCACCGGCATACAGCCCTGCCAGCCCGCAGTACTCTCCCACAAGCCCCACTGGCAACGCAGCGTACTCGCCTACGTCGCCCAAGTTCTCTCCCACGTCACCGGGTGCGGCACCATATTCGGCGTCTTCGCCAAAGTGGTCGCCTACTAGCCCGTCGTACTCGCCTTCGTAAGTGGCACCAATCATAGTTGTAGACTCCCCCATCTGCCTGCAGTTGCTGACTTATGTTAGGTCTCCGAAGCAGTAAAGGACTATCGCAGCCCTAAAGTATGAGAGTGAACGTGTTCATGTAAGCTAAGGTTCTTGCCTTGCTTTGTACAAAAGTTGTATTCGCTTCGCGGATGGCTAACTTTTGGTGATCCAGCAGCCCACTAGACTGCCTCACTAAAAGCTCGCACCACCCCACGGCCGGTCTCGTACGGCAGCTCCGATGCACACGGCGTTCCTTTCGCTAGGCCCACGTCAGCCACATCGATCCTGCTTCACGACTCTTACGCCGCTTTCCGTCTTTAATGTCTTTGCGCTTCTTTTAACCACAAAGAAACTGTACAACACCAAGCTGCGGCTCGATGCACAGCACCCAAAAACCTTTTTGCTTCACACGCGATATCTGCATCCATACTACATCATTTGCGGGGAGTTTTGGGCTTTTTGCTTATCCCCTACGAGACATAATTTGGGGCTTTGAGCTTTCTTTGGCATAAAATGCAATGCGAGGCGTTAGGAGGATCGAGTCGACACTGAAGTAGTGTCCTTTGTGCTTTGCTGTTTTAGGTGGATTAGATATCGATGCCCGTCAAATTGCGCATGGGGCTTGTCAATGCTTAGATCGATCTAGGATTTGGGGGAGGGGGAGAGGTAGTGCGAGTCTTTCGGGCCGCGTGGAGGATATAGACAAGTACTAAGAAATCGACACATCATTGTCATGTCTAAAGCTCGGCATGTTGTGAAAGCAGCAACACGTGTGTCGCCTACCTGGGTTGGAGTGTTGCGTAAGCGCAGTCGCCCCATTTGTCCGTTGCCGTTCTCGTACACGAACTCAACAACACAACACAGCCTGGCCACTCTTCGTAAGCACGGCTACTCCACCTATCGTTCGTCATCGTTCCTCTCTATCTCAACCTCGCTAACTCACGCCCCCTCTGGCGTGGACTCGATTCCTCCTTTTCCTGTCCTGGCCATGCGCCACACTAAAGGTCAGGATTACTCAGCCATCAATCTTGAGGTTGTGCCCAAGGGATGACTTTTGGGTGTCATGCCGCACTCAACCAGACTGGAAAATTTCGAGATAGGATCATCTTGGCGGGATAGTTCTCGTCCCCTGGTCTCACTCTGCCCACGTGTGGTGCACAGATCCTTACAACCTACGTATCGACCACGCTCTGCAGCCAGGACTCCAGGATCGGTCGGCACTCAACACTCAGATGGCAGCATTTGCCATCGTTGTGTAGCGATCGACTGGGACCGTATGATCTCCTACGCCAGTGAATACTATTGTCCGTTTTCGCTCTGGACTTACCCCCTTTGGTTTTTTCTCCGCTATTGTATCCAGTCTACCATGTTCGATATGCAAACTGTTCGCCTCTCTAGTATCAAAGTTCATCGACGAAACCGATGAAGGTAGCCAGCAGCTCCGCTTTGCTGCGTTCTAACATCTGCTCCATATGGAGACAGTCGGGTACATGAACCTGCGTCATCCGAGGTGACTAAGACATACTCCTTCGCCGTCTTTGAGGAGTCGTCAGTTCCCGAGTTCAATTACGATTGAAGACTGAGTTCGTTGGAGCAGTAGGTTGTATCTCACTGGTCGTTGAAGATACGAGGGCAGAAGTCTGGTGGCCGGGACTGATGGGTCGAACGATTCTAAAGGAGTACTTGAGGTTTGAAGCCCGCATGCTAGTTGTTCGACTGGACACCAGCATTGTCCGGTCTGGGTTCAACTTTGCAATCACCATCATTCGAAGGCTTGTGCTTCCACTAATGGTCCGCTTCAATTCCTGATTCGAGTGATTGACTGTCGAACCAAGGAGGTCGTACGGCTAGATGACGACAATGCATACTTGGCACTAAGTTATGTCTGGGGCACCCCTCAGCTTTACGATTCGACTTAACAGTCCCGTCGAAGGGACCGATATTCGAGGTCATAAATATCCTCAAACCATCTTGGATGCAATAGACTTCATCAGAGCAATTGGGCTTTTTGTACCATTGGGTTGACAGGTATTGCATACCGCAGGACGACACCCCGGAAAAGCGACTCCGAATCTCACAGATGGACCGAATATATACCAAAGCAGAAGCCGCCATCATTGCCACTGCAGGCAATGATCCTAATCATGGTGTGCCTGGTGTCAATGCTCGACAGCGACAACCACCAAGCTGTGCGACGATCAACAGACAGCTTTACATCATCGTCCCACCCGATCCAGCATATGAAATCAGGGCATCTAAATGGATCTCTCGAGCCTGGACATATCAAGAATGTGTCCTATCCTGACGCCGAATTATCTTTTGGAACCAGCAAGTCTACTTCAAATGTTCGGCAATGCACTGCTACAAAGCAATGCGGGCATTGGTACACTTATTTCATAGTGTCCTTTACATACAACTTTCGAAGTGGGACAAGCCGGGTCTATTTCCAGTCAAACCTAATCGTCGCACGCTTGCCGAACTCTTTCGTCACGTATCCCAGTACCAGACACGTGAGCTCTCGTATCCTAAAGATGTTCCCAATGGGATGCTTTGTATATTCGCAGCTTTTTGGCAAGGCCCGTTGGAGGGAAACTAGAGCAGAACTGAACAGCAAATCGTGCAAATTGCAGGCATACCGCTAACACTTACATCATCCTCTGTACACATGACCGGCTCGATCTGCAAACCTAACCTACCACTTGCAAAGAGACACGCAGTTCATTACCGGATTGGTTTGGAGGCTGAAGAAACCTGCTAAGCGACGGCCTGGGTTCCCAAGTTGGTCATGGACAGAATGGTATGGAGTTGTCCTGCCCCCCCCCCCCTCCCCCCCCCTCCCACGAAACAAACGGTTTCATCCCTAACAGCTACAGTATTCAATTCACGAGTCCTTTGGAACGCAGCCACGGTCAGTGGACCTGGATACATTTCTTGCACACCCCCAAATAAAGGCTCTGACGCTTAGCTACGTTCCCCAGCTCACAGTAGTTGGCACAACCGTCAAGGTGTACATCACGGTTGACGGGAATTATTTCGCCAGATACTCGACAGCCTTCTACAATACGACCGACACAGTCACTTGCGACTTCCCTGAATCCACAATGCCTTCTCCAGAACAAGAGTGCATGGATCACATCCTAGGACGGAGGCAACTCGTCAAAGTCGTAAACAGCAGTCTAATCCTCGCAGACGAGCACCTTTCGCTTCTGGTTCTGGTCCTCTGGGAGCAAGGCGGGAGGTGGGAACGTCTAGCTTTGATCGAGCAGTTTCTCCGATGGGAAACGGAATACAGATATATCACTGCAGGCGCATGGAATGCGGAAGTGTCTAGAACTTGCATAGTAGTAAGACCAAGGCATCTGAATGGTATAATTGAAGATGCTCAAAGACATCTGCACATTCAGATCTCTCACCGCACCTACAATGAGATTGCTACTATTACACAGATGTACCTAGCGAGGCTTTTGTGCTGGCGCCCTGCATGCAATAAAGCAGCTGTTGTGTAACTAGTAGTGCTAAGGCCACAACGTGAGCCGACATTGGGGAACGGGACTTCTGAAGATGGAGCACACTAGCAATGCAAAGCCCATTGGCCTTCATGAATAGGCCAATATCAATGCTCATCAAGGTCTCGGTGAATGAGACCTGAAAGACGGATCGAGTCTTGATGTGAGGTTGATTTGGTAGGCTTCTCGCGCCCACCCAAAAAAAAACACTAATTTACCTTCACAACCCAGATTCTTCCTCGATCTGCGCCACCCGACCCAGAAAAAGACGTGAGACCACAAGCGCCCACGCCAAAAAATATATTCACCCCACCACTACTCAATCTAAAAAAGATGTTTCCGTCACGGGGAATCGAACCCCGGCCACATCGGCACTTGCTAATGAGAGCGATGTATCCTAGCCACTTGTCTCTGTTAGTCAATGTTGGTGAAGAAGATGGTGATGTTGAGCTTACCTAGACCATAACGGATTGGATTGATAGAAGAATTGAATGCTATATATATTATATCCCAAGATCATAAGATAGTGTATAGGCTTGTTGGGGCTTGGACGGGTGTACATTAGCTAAAGGCCGGTAGACGCCGTTGTAGTTGGTTTGTCGGCGAAAAAGTTTGCGCTTGCAAGCATACCCGCTGCGGATGGGTGCCAGACTAGTCCAGCTGCAACTCCAAGCCTTATGGCAGGGCCCATGTTGTAAAAAGCATTAAGAAGTTGTGTGAAGACGTTCGGAGTTAGCAATAGCATATTCACAGCTCTACATACGCTGCTCGAACCTAAGAGCAGAGTGTACCACCCGGAGACTGTACATGAACTCACCCTAAGCCAGGCAATCCTCAATTCAGTCAAGGGCGCCTATAATCATCCGTAACGCCTAGTCCATGGTATGCACGACTAAAATCTCCCCATCCAGCTCCTTCCACGCCAATATAGTCCCGAACTTTCTCATGGCACGCTTCAATATCTCAAGCATCCTGTTGCGAGTGATAACCTCTTGCCAATTCACCACGTACCCAATCGGCCCTGAACTCCGCCCCTAATGTCTGTTCTACAGCACGACTTTCTTCGCGTCTCGCGGATGGCTCTCAGTCGGACAGTACGGGCACTTGAACCGCGCACCCTTGGACAGCTTGTCCAGCGATTCGCTGGCTATGACGTGGCCGCAGGGCATCATCATCGGTGGGTTTGCGTCTGTGGTCTGCTCTTTGCTGACTGGGCACACGAAGATAGAGTGGAAGTGGTATGTACTTGGTAATGGGATCTCAACAGGTAGTTCGTTCTGGGTTGTCCATTCTGCGCGCCTCTCTTTCATGATACTCTGCATTTTCAGCAGGTAAGGCAGGGCGATAGCGCCAGCTGTCGCAGCGATGAATAGGGGTGAATCTGCGCTGAGCCCAAGAAGGGAACAGAACTCGCGGTTGAAGGAGTGGGCAACCTCTTCCCAAGCAGCGTCGTTGTAGAAGTAGCGTTGGTAGGGTGAGTCTTCAACGTTTTCGTAGTAGGCCATGGCACCCATGAGGTGCTGAATCTCGCGCGCGTAGCGTTGCGAAAACATGCCAAAGGCTTGCCGTGCGTAATTCCAGGCGCGCAATGGGCCAGCGGGTTTGTCGTCCACGGAATCGTCCTGGTTCTGGACGAACAGGCAGATGAACTGAAGGCGGCAGAGCTCGAACTCGAGATTGCTGCCTCGCGCTTCCAGAATGTCACTCTTCTCTCGTGCCCACTGGATCGCGGGCTCGAGGTTTCTCTCGTTGCGCAGCTCGTGTAGGATGTGGTACATGTCCGCGAACTGCCGCTGCAGATTCTCCGAGTTGAACGTCCCTTCTGCCAGATCTTGCTCCCATGAGTCGGTTCTGGATGGATCCGGTGTGTTTAGTGTGGGCTCGGGGTGTGGTGGGTGTCGGTGTGCTTCCTCAACAAAGGTAGAGGCAACGTCGAACTGACCCTCTCGCAGAAGGTGCATGGCTATGGCGCGGTTGATCAGGGACGGATGTGAAGAGAGGGCATCGTTGTCGGCGCTGGGGAGGGGTTTGTCTTTGAACTTCTGTGGCGGTTGTTAGCATTGGTCCTGTTCCAGAACCCATAGTGATATAGCCTACCTTATCTAACGCTTTACCGTACTTATTCAGGCCAGAGTAGATAGGCTTCAGGTCCTTCTGCGCCGCATCCATGGTCTTCTTGAAGGGATCATGCAGCTTTGCAAGTGTCAACGGCGCCTTTGAGGGGTCTATAGCAATGCTGGTTAGCCATGCCTCCAGGTCACACGATAGGCAAACGAACCCGCCGCAATCTTCTCACGAGCTGCAGTGAGCAGGTCAATAGACTTCTGCACATCGTAGATGCTGGTCGAGAGGTTTGCGCTGCTCTCGAGGAGCTCTATCTGTTCGCGGAGGTCGTCCATGGTGGAGATGGTGGCTGCTCGCCGCAGCTGGCCGCTATGCTGGAGTGCTATTGGCGGTGTGAGAGAATGCAGAGCAAACGATAGCTGCTGTGTCGAGTGCGTCTGGCCAGCAGATCACATGCCACGGGTCCATGGCTGTTCTGCTGGCGTAGTTGGTTCGCGATAGTCGTGTCGAGCTTCGAGTGCTGGGGGTGGCCGGTCACGGCTCCTCCACACGTCATGCCGCAGCCGAGCTCCAAACCTCTGGTCTGCAGACCTTCACGCTCAACCCCCATAATGATTAATCTGAGTGCAGCGAATGCTGAACCCCTGATGCCGCGCATCATACGCAAATCTTGGCAATATGCATAGACTGTATACACTACCGCCTCCTCCACCTTCACCGTCCCCCTCTCGCAGAGCAGCGAGCGGGCGCCGGACAATCTTGCGGCCTGCGCTGGCGCCATGAACGGCCGGTCCTTGTAGCATTGCGCAGCATACACACCGAGCATCGCATAGTTTGGGCTTAGAAACGCAGCCGCAGTCATGTCACTGAACGGCCATATCACTTTGTCGCGGGTGAATACTGCGACGAGTACGGAGAAGGAGCTGCACAGACAGATGCCTCCTCTGCAAACAACATCGTTAGAGCGCAACAACACCGCACAATCGCGCCCGCAAACCGCTGCCAGAACGTCGAACATCGACGTCATGTCGCACGACGGGAGCCTCATATCTCCACAATCGCCCACTCGACACCAGCGCTTTGTCCTGACTGACATAGTTGCATCCCGTTATCTCGAAGACGACCCCCAAACCACAGTCCTTGCACGCCGGCAAAAGATCGAAGGCTACGAGATATATCTCGTCGAACAATGGGCATGCTCACGATCGCACCCTACCTTCCTCATCACCACCTACACGGGCAACCCTGAAGATACGGTTCTGGCTACGATCATCAGCGTGCCCGCAGACGAAACACAGTGGTCACCGCAGATGCAGTTGTACTTCAACTCGCTGAATGAGTACCATGCGCGCAGAAGAGATACACCTTACGGCACACTGATGGTCACCAACCTGAACGGCTTCCCTTCGTCCTTGACTGTCATCCCAATTCCCGGCGGTGATATGCGGAAGTACAGAGAGATCTTCTTTGTCAACGAGAACTTGAAAAGACTCGGGTGTTCAGGCCGATTGGGAATCAAGCTTGCACCGCCTAGCAGTGCGACCGAAGCCAAGTTTCATCAGCTATACCGCACCAGCGAAAAGATCCCTCTGAACGGCGCTGTCATCGAGCTCGTGAAGCTTTGCCAGGTCGCATTGGTTCTATTTGGCAAGCTTGAGCCCGAGTACGCAGACGGTCTACTTTGCGATGTCACTGAGAAGGCTATCAATGACTGGTGGGTCGAGTTCGGCGCAGAATATTATACGGTCGAGCCACACGATGGCATACTCGGTCCTACTACCGTCGCCGCGTTGTTGGGTATGCTCATAGGCGCGCGCAATCGCTTGAGTGCGCTAAATGCGCCAATTGCCAAAGATGTGTTCGACATCGAGAGCACCAAGAAGGGCATTGCGCATTTTCAAAAGACTCATCACATACCGCGATCTCGGCGATTGGACAGACAGACGCTTGACAGGCTGCGCAGAGCGACTGCGAAGGCTGCGAGTAAGGAGAGCTGGGGCGTACCAAGAGCGTTCAAGTCAACTGTGGCTGAGCTAGGCGGAAAGGGCGGCGAAATGGTGATGGGGATCGTAGGCGCTGGCGAAAAGGACGGTATCGCCGAAGTGGAGACAGTAGACATCGACCGGTTTGTGGAACTTGTACGCGGAGATCATGCTAAATGGCTATGGCACGGTCGACCTCGAAAGACCGGATCTGGAGACATGTTCGATCGACTACCGGATGAAGATGGTCAAACATCACCAATTACAGCACAGGATCGCAGTCGAAACCCTTTGAAGAGACAACCCACCCTTGATGAACAGAAGTTGCCGCGGCGAGAAGCCACGCGAGACGATCACAAGAAAGAGTTGTTCAGCCCGGATGGTACAGAGGCCAAAGACAGAGATCCCTTCTCGAAGCGTGCAGCCATCAAGGCGAGGCTCGACCCTGAGCGTGGCTTCCACCGCATCAAAGACGCTGTTGGTCTTCGCAGTCATGCCAGCAAACTTTCGAAGGAGGAACATGGCCGACTGCAACTCCAAGGTTCACGGACAGGCCTCAATGTCTCTCAGCAGGCTGATCTGGACAGTGTCTACGAGGATGGCAACGAGCTCAACTCTGTCATGTCACCCCAACGCGTCACCACCGATCTTGAGCCCTCCTTCACTAAGGTGCTCACTGAAACCCCACGAGACTCCGCCAGCCACCTTGCGCTAAGTAAGGGCACGTCTACGCTCGACGGCGAACCCGAATCATCAGGCTCGAAGCTCCCAACTGCCGAACCAGAAGCTTCCACCCAGCCACCAACAGCTGAGCCCTCAATAGCCGGTTCTATATACCATGGCATTGACCTGAACGAAGTGCTACCTCTCGAGGATGCCCATGCCTTTCCTGCCCTCCTCCGTCGCACACAATCTGCCGACCAGATCCAGCTCTACGACACTTGGCACAGCGATGACTGGTGGCCGCGCCACCTCTCCTTCAGCATCGCCGAGGAAAGCGTGCTGAAGTGGCAAAGCGTTGTCAACATCGAGCCCGACGAAGAAGCCATTGATGACACCGACACATCTACAGTGGCGCTTGGCAGACAAAAAGTAACTTACACTGTGCAGTCCGAACAGCTCAAGCGCCTGCATCATCGCCTCGCCGTCCTCTCCGCTACAGATACGACATGGGTCAAGACTCGCCTCAAGGAGATCAAAGATCTCGACGCCGCAGCAGACGCGGATATTGAAACGCTGGAATCAATATACTATCCTCGCCTAGATACTTACCACGCTCTGCGCGACGATACGCACGCTGTTATTATGAATAACCGCGCCCAACTTACCGCATCGCTGCGCGAATTGGATAACGTGAGCGATAAGTTGGAGTATGAGATCAGTGCCTTACGGGGCAAAGTCGAAGACGTCGAAGACTTTGTAGACGAGTTCGAGAAACAAGTTGACTATGTGTGCGAGAGGGTTGAAGAGCTGGAGAGGACGCTGGGGAGGAGGGAGGGCTGGTGGCACTGGATCTTCCGAAAGGCGACGGGGATAGGGAGTCCGCCTTACTAAGTCTTTGAATATTGTTGCGTTGTCGTACTGGCGTCAAAGGAAGGGCTTCGTTTTGTATACCCATTGCATCGTTTTTAGAAAAGGAGGCATACAAGTAGATTATCACTATCCGTAGGTAAGACTGTAATTACCAAAGGACCGATTCCTATAAATCCCCCAGCCTCCAGCGCTCCTACCAATCCACGCAGCTGTGAGACAGTGAACCTTCAATTCTCCTCTTCACAGTTCCCACAACTCCCCCTCAATCCAAAAACCATTTTGGCACCTCTGGCCCCCAAACCGCCAAACTCTCATCCCCAGCCTCCCCCCACCCAACGGGTGTGTCTTCATTGACAAGATCGCCATCTGCGTAGTGCTCGATCATGTTTCCAGTCGTGTCCCACCAGTAGTCAAACAACTGACTCCCCAGGATATGCCTTCCTACTCCCCAGACTGACTTGTACCCCTTCTTTGCTAGCCACTCATGCCCCAGGTTCTGCGTGTCAAAGTCGTGCACCTCGAAACTGCTGTGATGTACATGGCTCGTCTTGTTCGTGCTGAAGAAGATGGTGTGGTGGTCGGTGTAGGAGGGACCGAGGTCGATGTGCGCGAAGACTGCTACGTCTTTCTTGTTTCCGTCTGGCGTGTTTACGTAAAGTATATCCGTGGGCACGATGTTGAATGTGCGTGTGTACCAGGACATTTGGGACGAGAAGTTCTGCACGCAGAGGCCGTAGTGGCCGAGCTTGTGGACTGCTGCGGGCCCGGGCTTGAAGCGCTGGAAGCGCGCGATCCGCGGCTTTTCGTTTTCGTAGTTCGTTGTGAGGATTTCGGGGTAGGGACCTGGTTGTTTCTTTTCTTGGCCATTGATTAGAGAGATAGGGAAGCCCTCTGGATCGTGCAACGTGATGAGGTGCCCGCCTCCTGGGGCGTCGGTGAGTTCCTCGATCTTTCCAGCTCCTGAAACTTTCGCCGCGTTCTCCAGCTCGGAGTAGCTTTCTACTTCGAAACATCCTCCTAGAAATTTCTTTTCGCCCTTTTGGGCGTAATAGACATACTGGTCGTCACCATAGCCTTTGAACCACCGGGCGGAGTCAGTCTTGTGGGCGACTGTCATGCCGAAGTCGCGCAGGAAGACTGTGATCTCATCGAGGTCGGGGTGTTGGTAGCGCATATGTACGAGTTTGATAAGTTTAATTTGCGCATTACGGTCGATGTTTTGCTCGGACTGCCATTGTCGAAGCGGTTTGCACGGTTTAGGGATTGCTTCGATTTGAGGGACGGAGGAGCCGCGATTTGGTGATGTTTCGCAACTGAGTTGCTGCGGCGAGTGTCAGCTCAAGCCACACTGAGTGTCTCTCGAAGAAATGTCTTAAGGAGGTAACTGCGGACTCCACTACATACCACGGGAGTAATCTTGCGTTGTAATTCGTCGAATGTCATGGCTCTTTGGCTGCGATGCAGTGCTCGTACCCTTTAATGATTATGGTATACTAAGCTGGCAAGCTATTAGTCGTCCTGATTCATTTCGATGCCTGGTACTGTATATGTACCCGGATCAGATTCGGATGTGGGGAGCAGTGGCTCCATGATGTGCCGAATGTGGGGTCCCCGCACTTGAAGTGTGGCGCTGGGTATCTACCGGTCCCACATCTTGTTAGACTGCTCTGAGTTATTCTCGTGTTATATTTGCGGAGCTGAAGCGACGCGTCGTACCTACGTGGCAGTGGTGGGAGAGGATTGATGACGTGAGATCTATTGTGGAGCCAGCCTAGATTTAATGGGCGTTGCTTCACAGTGCACTGAAGCTCTACCTTTTACATTTCCTCTGTTTCCCTTGAACAAGCAGGTACTTGTGACAACCTGCGATGGAAGTGTCGTGCAACCCGGCCGAAACTGCGTTCGACGGTGTCGCTGACAATTTTCTCGAGGGTGCAATGCGTATTCAGCCAGATTGCGAGCGCGATAGGGAAATTTTTCTATACCAATAGTACTAACACCAACTTCATCCTGATCATCAGTTGATACTAAGGACTCGAAACTCTAACGCTGTCTGCTTCAATCTTTCTTTGACGGGTTGACAGCGAGGCGCGACTTTCAGAGGATCTGTTCGCTAGCGGTCCGTTGCAGTGTCTACCAGCGGCCCGTTGCAGTGTTTGCCAACGGCCCGCTGCACTGATAGTCCAGCTCATTCGGTTAGTTCGGGTTGCTTCCCCAACTCTTCACTGCTATCCCCTTCTACTATATAGTCTCGATCGATTCCAGCCAATAGCTCTCAAGATCAATCAATCATCTCAACCCTTCCACAGGATCCCTAACATGTCCGCCAGAAGATCCTCATCCACCAACAGCAGCGCTCGTTCGGAACGATTGTTATCAGAATACAACGAGTACACTTCCGACGTCGACCCAACGAACACCAACGGCTTTATCCTTGTTTACGCAATAGCGAAGTCGCACAATTTCTTAATATTGCGAGCAACTACGCACAAGCAGACACGAGTTCAGATGATGCTGTGTTTGTAGAACAGCAGTCTGATCTTCCCTTTCCGACCCTGCAGCCAGCACAGGTAGACAACACCTATGTCAGCACTACGCCGAGCAACCTTGCGAAGGCATGTGTAGCGAACTCCTCGACACAAAAATCATCTCTCAGGAAGACGGCTGGCATAGTCATTGCGCTGTTCTGCTTCGGTAAGTCAATAGATCACGGATAGACTCTGCCCGCACCACTTATTCGTATGGCAGCTATGTTGTGCAGCACCTCGCATTACATACTCTTCTCTCAGCTCCATGGCAAGGCAGCTGATGGCAACCAAGCTCCAACTCATCAGTCTTTGTCACGGCTACGTCCATCATACTCGCGACTTTGTCCGAGCTGCGCATCTAGACAGCATTGGGATGTGTTATGCACAGCACGTTTGGCGAGCACTGCGAGGTCGAGCCGTTCCTGTTCATGTCGTCGAAAGTCTGTTCCAAATAAGACATAACCCCACTGAACTCACAAGCTCTAGACTACTGAAGCACAGATGGGCCCTGTTCTGCATTGCCGCATACATGTGGTTTGTGCCTGTTGCAGCTACGTTCCCACCCGGCGCACTTACAATCGCACCTCGGCCCTTTCTTTCGACGGAGCAAGTCAACGCATTAGTACTCAACCCGCTTTTGCCTCACATGCCTCACATTTCGGGTTTAGGAACGACATGAGGTTGTCAGGAGTGATGTCCTTGACTTCACATCACAGCATCAACTGGGAATTCAAGTAGTCCCATTGGCCCTGAAATATGAATGACGCTCATTATAGCACGGTGGTGTTCGCAGAATTTTGTACAATCTTGCGAATCTTGTTCTGTTAACCGGACAGATCAGTGACATCCCGAGACCTTCACTATAACCGAATTCAACGTATATATTGAGCTTCGTTGGGCCACAACTATCATGCCAAGAACAGCAGATCAACTGGGTGTCTCAAAACGATAGAGCAGAGCTGCTATCGATAGTGCCTTTTTTTCTCAGGACACAGAATCGGAACTTAACCAAAACATAGGACAAGGACCATGTTCTGACCGTGACTCGATCGCAATACGTCGGGATTACTAGTTGCGGCAGTTTACACCAAGACCAAAAAACCGCTTTCGAGACCAAAATGATGGAGTGCCGGCCTCATTATGCCTGATACACATTGAACGTGACACACATACAAGGTGTTCGGCAAATCCTTTACCAAACGTACGATCTCGATTCACAACCAGTGCTGTTGTTTAACTCGGAGTTCACATGGACTATCGACGTGCCACTCACAGCATATTATTCAGACATGGAGTCCTTCCCGCGCATTCCTGGTTTTGAGGCTTGGACCCACGAACTTAGGGCGAGACTACATAAGCTGCTACAGCATCCTTCTCACAGTCGATAACCCAGTTGTTCGCTGTAGCCTGCGTTGGTTGTGCGTATCCAGTGATCTAGCCTGAGCGTATCAGAGCGCTCGAAGGTACAGTGGCATCGGGTATTGGCATTGGGCTGACAAACGCTTGCGCTCAGTTCAGATATGTCAAAAGCGTCTAGTCGGCGTACGTATGCTGACCCTCTATATAGTGGAATCGTAGGTCCTCATGTCTTCAGCACAGTCTTCGGCCCAAGATATCGCACTTCATATGCGATCAATCTTTCGGTACTCGTAATTGGCATCTGTGCAACATTGACAAGCTGGCTGCTTGTCATAAGGAAGGATCGAAGACGTGCAAAGCTCGCGAAGCAAGGTTGAGCACAATCTTGTCGAGACGAAATCCTATGCGCGATTTGAACGTCCCAAAACAAAGCTGCATAGCTTCGCCTCACCTCACTGAGGTATTTAGTTAGACTGAGTGTAATGACCTCGCTGTGGCGGCTCCCAGATCCGTGCACTTTATGACGTATCGACCTCTCCCTGCCGTCCATTTCTTGTTCCGGCAACAATAGTCGGCCAAATGGGTAGAATAAAATTGAGATCATCCGTTTCTGGAGTTGCTCGGTGGTTTGGGGGGTGTGAACGGTTGTAATGAACCACAGGAACTGCGCAGACTGCAAGGTAAGCCACAATGCAGAGTACAAGGGTAGGTAGCACATATGGTAAGTGCTTTCAAGTGTCGGACTGATCTCTGCGTCCTGTTGAACCATTCCTGCTCGCAACATTGCAATTGGTATCTCCGCGTAAAGGTTCATGGCTCAAAAGCAAGTGTGTCGTGAATTAATCGATGAGCCTGACAAACAGAATAAGCTTGCAGCACGAAGTTCGTGAAATGATGCTCGTAGACGTCGTGCCTTCGGTTGCATGGCCTCAATGGCTTTTTGTGACTGGACAATCTTACGATGGTGAATCGTGAGGATGACAGCAGATGCTGGCGTCAGCCACCGCAAACAGCGATTGGGTAGGCAGTATCAGATGTTTCCGGTCGGCATACCATGTGAATCGGCTGGTAGCTGTCTATCGCATGGCTGCCGAGAGGTTTGCCAATGAACTCGAAACCATCTCGAGGTCCAACTGCCTCAGGCCGAAAGATACTACAAAGGCTGCACAGGAAGCTTCACCAGTCAGCATTTCGGCCAGCGAACTTACTCAAATTGCCAGAGGCGATCCTTCGTAAAACGGCATCACCATGCAGGGGACCACAGGTCATTCGGACTGCGCGTGGTGTTGAGAGAGGATCGTGTCGTGTCCCCACAAGTCACGCTAGGCCGGATTAGAAACGATGAAACGCGCTTAAGAGTAACATGACGTTAAAGCGCCAAGTTCGGAAGGCGCTTCCACGCTGCACCTGCTCCAAGACATTGGTTCAAAATGCCTCGGCGCATGAATTCGCCGTTAGGCCAAAACACCAACGGCATCGACATCTATGGTGCCCAGATATTGCAGCACAGTATGTTCACTTACGTTGAAACCCATAATACGCTGGTGAGAGGCGTGCCTCTGTGTGACGCTCACCCTATCAGCAACTACTCAGGGTTACTTGTGACAGTACGCCGCTCATCCGTCAGGCTGTGTTGAGGCATCGATCGCCGCGGTCGCTCTCGGAACCCGTCCGTCTGACCTAAAGAATGATGATCATCGGGGGCTTCGTTCCTTCGCACTGTAAAATCGAGCTCTTCCTCTCCTTTCATTCCTCAATCACTCGTGATCTTATACGAACGCCCGGTGAACTACTGCGGCTTACCCCCGCTCTTCTGCACGCGAAGCAAACGGCGTCGCCTTCCATGGGCCGCCGCACCTCCACTCCCTAACAGTCTCTTGGTCTCTAGGCGCACAAGTACACCGTGTTGCCTCTGGCACTCCTTCCAAAGGTTCTTTCTCTTCTTGTCGACCAAAGGCCTGGTGCCGTTGAACCGATATCTCTATCAAACACCATGGCGGGCCGCACCTTCCTTTGCCGGCTAGTCCTCTACGCCGTTTTCTCCATCACCGTAATCAGCCTCTTCACCAAATCTGGAGCACCTTCCTTCTTCTACCGGTACTCGAACTCAGCCGCTCTCCAGCGAGAAGAGATTTTCTGTCCACAATCCGAGCTCGCCAACGACGTATTAGTCGTTCTCCGCACAGGCGCCACCGAATCTCGCGAAAAACTGCCCGTGCACTTTAGGACGACCCTCCGATGTGTGCCCCACCTTATCGTATTCTCTGATCTGGACGAGACAATCGATGGGCATGAAGTCCATGACGTGCTGGGAGGTGTCAGCGATCAGACACGGAAAGAGCATGAGGACTTCAAACTCTATCACCAGCTGCACAAGCATGGAAAGCGAGGCTTGCAGAACCAGCAGGTCTTTACAGCACAGTCGGGGTCGTTCAAGGGCGATTACCTCCAAACAGAGAACAATGGATGGAAGCTGGATAAGTGGAAGTTTCTTCCTATGATCGACCAGGCGTATGCGAAGAAGCCTGACGCCAAGTGGTTTGTCTTTATCGAGGCGGACACCTTCCTGGGATGGAACAATCTGCTGGAGTATCTTAGCGGCTTCGATGACAGCAAGCCATACTACATCGGCAAGCATCTCTACATCAACGACGTAGAGTTTGGCTATGGTGGTGCAGGCTTCGTCCTTTCCAACCCTGCCATGCGTAAAGTGTCAGAGCAGCGCTCCAATAACCTGTACCACTACGAGGAGTTCACAAAGTCACACTGGGTCGGTGACTGCGCGCTAGGCAAGGTTCTCGAGGACGTCAAAGTCCCTTTGCACCGCGCCTTCCCACACTTTCAGAGCGACTCGCCGGCGACCGTTGACCCTGCCGTCATGAAGATCGACCGCGACCTCTGGTGCTACCCCACCATCACCTACCATCACGTTTCGCCCACTGAGATCGACGAGCTCTGGCGCTTCGAACAGGACTGGTACAAGCAGCACGACATTGTCCTGCGACACCGCGATGTCTTCATCTCGCACGTCCGCCCTAAGATTGGGGCGTCAGTGTCGTATTGGGACAACATGTCTGTGGATGCCGAGTACAACGCACACGACCACGCATCATCGCCCAAGAAGGAAGAGCGAGAAGCATGGAAGTCGTTTGCGCACTGTCACGCGCTATGTGAAAGCCAGTACAAGTGCATACAATTCTCCTTCGACTCGGGGAGCTGCTCCATTTCCAACTCTTTCCGACTTGGCTATGCGAAGCCAAACGAGAAGGTGAAGAGTGGATGGATGACTGACAGAGTTGATGATCTATTCAGGTTGTTGGATGACAGATGCGGAATAAGGGACTGGTTCACACCCGCAAATGAAGGTGTGAACGCCAAGGCGAAGGCACAATCGACAATGAGGCGACAGAGGAGATAGAGAAGGACATGAAGAACACACCGGCGTTCAGGTCTAGTCGAGGGAAGGAAAGGAAAGGAACATGATGATACCCACCCATACTATACTCGCTTGGGCAACCAAAAGACCCAGTGCTTTCACACCATAATCACAGGCCATGGCAGCCCGTAGGACCTCCCCACAACAACACAATGAACAAAAACAATTGCAAAGAAACAAAACTATCAACCTGTCTGTATTTCCAGTATAAGAGTGATGAAGTAAGTCCAAGAGTTGACGTTGAAATACCCTTCCACCCCGGCCTCTCACCGCGTTCTAGACCGCAAGCCCCAATATTAACCCATGCCCCATCCATCCCGATCCGTTCAACTCATCGATGACCATGGTTTAGCCCTTTCCAAACTCGATCTATCTCAATCTATTTGCGTGGTGAAACTGGAGTACCGCTGACGTGTTGCGGACCGTTGTCATTACCAATTGTGGTGATGGCGTTGCTTGTTCACGACCAAGCACTGATGCGAGCCTGACCTTCACCACAACCCCAGATCAACCAAGTTTAACCATGACGATTCTAGCGATGCAACGCTGGAGCTGAGTTTGTAGCTTAGCGCCAATTTGTCCTCGACTTCGCTACCGTCCTGCTGTGCAATAGGTTGCATCTCAGATCCAGTAGTGTCTTGCTGCGCAATTGCGTTTGCGGCAACGGCCTTCACTGCACCATCACCAGGGCCGGTCATCTCACCGACAGGCCCAGCGATAGGTTCGATTGGTGCTGGAGGCTTGTACGCTTCGTATGACTCTCCAGGTTTGTCAGTGATAGCTGCGGCTGCTTCGTCTTGCACGTCTTGCAGCTGCTCCTGCTCCTGCATCTCTCCTTCTCCCTCGACAGCCTCAGTCCCCAGCTCCACCTCATCTTGATCCTCCTACCCACCCACGCCTTCACCATTTATCACCTCCTCAGCTCCAAAATCCCCTTCCTCATTATCCCACTCAACCTCCCCCTCATCCATCCCCACCAACTCCCCCTCCTCCTTCAACGCATTCCAAGTACTACACCCCTCCCCCACCGTCCCATCCTGCCTCTCCCCGCCACAACTCTCCTTCTCCCTAATCGCACTAAGATCCATGGCCGCGTTTGGGAGTCGAAGGGTTGGACAGTTTTTCGTCGAAGTCTGCGTGCTTCAACAGGAAGGAGCGTGGTTTGTGGGAGGAGTAGTCGTTGGACATCGGCGAGAGCTGTGAGGCGTGTATCATGATGGTGGTGGTGGTGGTGGTGTTGTTGTTGTTGGTGGCAACGATGCTGATGTTGTTGGTGCGCGAGGAACGGAGGGAGTGCTGGTAGAGAGGCGATGTTAGGTTGTGGTAGGGTGTGCCTAGCTCGATTGTTTGGTAAGGATACACGCAGCGCGCAAACGCTGTCTTTGATATGTGAAGATACTGTGTGCACGAGGAAGTCAATGTGTGCTGGGATGCTTGCACATTCTGTCCCGCGCTGGAGCCAGGTCAGTATGCAGGCAAGGGACGAAGGGATGCTCAAAATCCCCAATACGCGAACATGACGCGCTTCAACAATGCAACCTCGACGAGGGACTACTCAATGGAATGTGTATCCGGATTGCCTCCGTACAATTACATTGTCAAACTCGCTTGCTATTTCTCTCATTACATAGGAAAAGCTTGTGGTATAAACTTGGCTTTGTCTCAGATCCAACGTCATGATCATCATGTAGTAAAGAAATATATCAAACTTTTCGGTTCCACCCGCAAAGGTATTTCCAAAGCTTATGTGTTCGTTTCTGTTCGTATCCAACTGCTAACAGAATCATCGCGCGCTCAACTATGAATGCTCAATGAGCGTATTAAAGAGCATATACGTAAAGCAGGCCGAAGCGAAACGGGGTATGTGGGTGAAAATAAGAAAAGTGTGTGATGGAAGAGCTCAAGACACGATTGGTGGAAGTGGCTTGTCTTGCCCCTGCTGCTGTTGCTGCTGCTGCTCAAGGTCCGGCTCATTGACTGAGGCCGTGTGGTGTGAGCCGTTCTCGGCGTAGTTGAGCAGCACCTGTGCATCGTCAAGCCCAGAGATAGCGAGGCCTTGCTTCTCATCTTCCTCATGGATGGTACTGTCTTGCAAGCTCTCTTTGCCGAGCTCACTTCTCTTACTCGATGCTGTCTCAACGTCTTCGTCCATCAGATTTGGCGGACGCTGACGCATAGCGCGTGCCTTCTCTAGCGAGATGGTCTTCTGCTGATATGTGGTAGTAAAGGGGAGGCCTTCATCGCGGTCGATTGTGGCCTTCATGAGTGCTGCCATCCACAGTCGCCCTACTGCCAGACTATCAACAGCGAAGTAGTGCACAATAGGCTTGGTGAACTGTACGCCCTTCTGCAAGCCGGCGCGTGGTGGGACCAGCTTGAAGATGAACATGCCGTCCATACTCTCCTCAACGCTGTTCGCAGCATTAGCGCTGTCCACTGATGCCGCAGTCTGGATCGTAGCATTGTGAGGCGACGATGGTGAGGACGCTGCACGAGTGATTGATGCATGTAGACCGGTCATCCTCTCGTTATTTGCCGGCAGGACTCTGTGCGACGAAATATCGATGAGGCCCTTCTCTTCCGTGTCGTTCTCGCTGTAGTAGTACGATAACCGTCGACCTCGCAGCACAAACAGACGAGTCTTCCATGTTGTCATCAAACTAGAGGACTTTTTCTTCATCCAACCGCTGTAATCGCAGTTTTTCATGGCTTCCTGTGGTGTGATCTGTTGACGCCCCTTGAGATAAGCACTAGTGCCATGCTTGCTAGCCTTTTTCTTGGTCACTTCTTTTGTTACAGTGGAGCCACTGGTATGCCGCCTGTCGCCCTTGTCAAGCTCAAAGCTCTTCGACACCGACGTACCAGACGGTGTGCTGGATCCAGTCCTTGTTGGTGACTGCATAGGCGAATCTTTGTTCGATGAATGAGCGACATCCACTGCGCTTGCATTGGCCCTTTCCCCACCAGTGATAGCATCTGATATTGCCCTGAGACCGACAGTGCGTGACTTCTTACTAAAGAACGAACTTGATTGTGTTGTCGCTGCTGGCGAAGGCGATGCACGACCGGTCGACGATGTCTCGCTTCCGGGAAGAGCTGGCGAATTTGCAATGGCGTCGATGCTGGGTGTGTCGTAACTCAGCTTCGTAACAGTGGGGGGTCCATCGTTTATCGGCTTTAGCGGGCGTACGAAATCGAATGCGCTCGAGCGGTCGCTCTTGATGCTGCCTCCGTAGTACTGCTTAGCTGCAGGAGACACAGCACCTTGTCTCATAACCGAGTCAGCACTGCCAATCCTGCTGTGCCGGCGGCTGTACGATGTGCTAATGCTAGGGTTGCGAGCAGTGTTGTCACTGTCTCTTTTCCGAAGCACATTACGGCTCTTGCGATTGTCGACCTCGCCGCCTGAGAAGTAGCCCCTGTCCAGGTCACTCGCAGCGTTTAGTCCTGCTTCTTTGGAGTCGAAAGCCGTCCCGTTAGTACTCAAGGCGTGCATATGATTCGAAGAGGCAGGGCGTTGCAAATCGTGCGAGGTCTTCTGCGGCGAACCCATAGTCCAATTGCGGTCAAACGATGGAGCCTTCCTGTGCGCTGACGCTACAGGGGCAGTTGACGCAGGCTTGACACTGCCAGGTACCGGCGGGTTCATGTTGTAATCGATCGAAGAATGCCGTCTGTTGTGGTTGAGACTACGTACAGAAGCAGCAGAAGGTCGACTGCCGAGAGGTGGAGAGGTCGGGGTTGCCTGAATCAGTGGTGATGTCGGCTCAATCGTGGAGCTCGTGGAGCGCCCTGCTGAAGACATCGCGCGGGGAATGTTCTGGCGGCTGGAGCTGCCACGTGAGCCCATGCTCTCCCTCAGTGTGGGTATCCGAGGAAGCATGCCTGCACCGAGCGACGAAGCTCTGTTCCGTGTGGTCGTTTCCCCCATTGGCGCAAAGTCTTCCAAACTGTCGAGGGGCGTCAATGCCTTGGCAGCCTCCTTCGCGTTCCTGACCTCCTGTTGCAGGGCATTGATTTTCATCCATGTGCGCAGTCGAGGGCCCATTGGGCCCAAGTCGAATTCCTTCATGAAGATGAAGTTGCGATCCACGCCGAGCAGCGCTTCGCCGTCAATGTCCTGGTCCCTGAACACGTCGCAGTGCTTCTTCTCCACGCCCACATCCTCCAGATACTCGGCCACGCGCGCTGGCGACCATGTCTTGACCTCCTCGTCCGTGTGGTAGTCCTGCTCCTCGTCTTCCGTTTCCTGGCCATTGATGTAGGACAGGCGGTGGTGGCTGCTGTACTCGCTGCCGGAGTCGTTGTTCATGTTGGCCTTCAGGTCTCGCTGGACGACGGCGGCGCTATGGCGGGGCGTGCTCATATCGGTGATGTGCTCGTCGATGACGCTCAGTGTCTCATGCATGACCGGGCTCCCAATGCTGACCTCATCCTGGTGCTCTTCACCGTTCAGCGTCATGCTGATACTCCTGGGTGCCGCGTTCAGCGATGTCCTGCGCGCGATCTCGGCGCCGGTGGTCGAGTTCGCAACGTTCAGGGGCTCTGTTGGGCCCTGGCCCAGGGCTGGCGACTGAGGCGCGCTCATTGGCTGGGTCGACGGCGGCTGAGAGGTCGCAGTGCCGGGCAGCTGGCTGGGTGTTTGCTGTGAGATGTTCGAGGGATCGCGCGAGTGTACGGGGAGGTTTGTTGTGGTGGGTGCTGGCGCCGGTCGCGTGTAGACTGGGATCTGTTAGAGACGGCAACAGCCACGATAAGCTTCCCGACAGCATCGTAGCGCGTGCTCCTCGGTCGCTCCTGCCCTGGATATGCCGGCGTCTCACGTACCTTCAGGGAACAGCCCGTTCTCCCCGCTCTCTGTGTTCTTTCCCAGGAACCAGCCATCGCCGAAGTCATCATCGCGCTCGATCAGCTCAATGCGATCCCCCCGCCTCAGACTAAGCTCGTCGGGGCTACGGGCAATAAACTCGTCTGCGGTAGCCTGTCAGCAATGCTGTTGTAGCGCAGCACCATGCCCGTGATCATCGCTGGTAGAGCTCCATAGCACGCTAGAGGGGGTGGGGACACTCACGCACGACGACAAGCAGGTCGCCCGGCCGGCAGTGCTCCGTGTGGGAGCGCAGTCCGGAAGCCATGGCTGCGCCGAGGGGTCAAAGGAGTGGAAGGCCCAGCGCAGGTGGGCAGCAGGCGGAGGGCAGGGAGTGCAAGTCGAAGGCGTCAGACACCCAACGCTCAACTGTGCATGATGTAGTGATATAGTGCGGAAGCGTTCGCGCTATCGCCGTCGTCCCCCCAAAGCGTCTTTAGGTCTTTACGCGGACTGACTCGGATGCGCGGCTTTGAGGATGCTCCCGAGCGCGCCGTTGTTCGAAAGGTGCAGAGGACAGCTGTGGCCTAAAGTGTACTGAGGTGGTGCGGCTTTGGCCTGTATCGTGGCACGTCTGGCGCCCTATTCTTGGACGTGGGCGGCGAGAAGCAGCCCAGCCACTCACCTTCCGTGTGCAGCAGCGCTCCCCTCATTAAATTAATTGCTGTGATACGTAGGACGGGCAGGAGGGCTCCACGAGCAGCACTTGATATGGCCTCCCGCTGCACGCATCGCCTTATCGCGCCCAGCAGCCGTTGTTGTTCTCGTTCTGAGCTATGCAAGTCGACAATGCTGCAGTGCAGGGCCGCCTTGACTGCCCCGTCTGCTTTGACTGCCCCGTCTGCTGTTTCACTGCTGCTGGCTGGCTCGCTAGCGCCGCGGTGGCAATTCGACAAGTCGTCGTCGCAAATGTCTTGCATCGCGACTTCCCCATAGACCCACCGCACCTGCCACTTTTCCAACAGCCCTCGACCGCGACTTCCTCCTCGACCGAGGCAGAAGTGGCACGACACAAACAAATAGAGTTCGTTTTGCCGTGCCTCTCATGCTCGTAGACCTTTGATAGTCTGCTCGTGGACATGCTCTCCCCGCATCCGTCGCGATTCCTGGAACGGCGTGTTGCTCGCCAGTCCACGCCCCAACGAACATGTACCCACTACGGCGCTTCACGCCTGGTCTTCACAAAGAGAACATGACCGCCGGTGCGCGCGCCAGTGCATCGGGCGACGCTCATGTCGCCAACGCAACCGCAAGCACACTCAACTATGCGCTGGGCAGGCGACACATGAAATCATGGATGACTGGCGCCGTCAATGGTGCTCCTGCTGCGCCGCCAGATCCCACGAGGAATTCTGTACCGTCGCCCGTCAGAAAGCGAGGAAGACCTAGGAGATACCCACCGCCAGACGTTACCGACCAGCAGCACGCGACAGAGGCAGTCAGCCCCACAACTGCGCCCTCGGCTGAGAGATTACCCTCTTCGAATTCGACGTCGCCGCAGCTTGACAATGTTGTTACAACTCATCAGCGGAATCCCAGTCGTGGTAGCGCGGAGATCACCGTGCTCCCCTCGCCCACACCAAGTGAGGACGATGCGCATGATGTAGAGGTGCAGAGCGGCGAGACTGGGCCACAGCAAAGGGCCAACCTCGGTGGATTCGAGTTTCGGCCGTTGCAGTCACCAAGTGCCTCCAGCCCGCCTCGCGCAACGGGCCCTAAGAGTCCTGTAGGACACGGGCTTGCTGCGCCAAAGCGGCCAGCGGAAGAGAACCCAGTGCCGGTGGACAAAAGAGCACGCATCGACACTGCAGCTCGACCGCAACCAGGTGCCACGGCAAGTACACCAGTGGTAGTGTCGCCTTCAACCCTACCCCCGTTCTCAGAGTTCCCACGACACACCTCAGCACCACGCGCCCAGCACGGGAGCCCTTCACTAGGCCAGGCGTCGAGTCGCAGCCCGTCTCTTGGTCGAGCCTCGAATGGACAAAGGGCATCTCCCCAGCTTTTGCAGGCTCAACACCTGGGCCGTCCACCTAGCTCGCGCAGTAATCCGTCTCCGGTTCAAGGTCAACATATCCAAAGTTCACCCGCGCACCAATCGCACGTCAGCCCGCCACTAAATGCGCAACCGTTCGGGGTACCACCCGATACACACGCACAGCAGGCTGTACAGCCTCATCGTGTTTTTCCGTCACAACGACGTGCATCATATCACGACGAGTGGTACTCGCTCGAGGCCTGCCTGCAAATATTAAGTACGTTCAGAGCGCGTTCGGTCGCTACTCGTTCACGTCGAGACGGAGAGCGCCTCACAGTCTTGGAAGAAGCGGTGAGGGAACAGGACTGGGCGTACTTGACTCTGCATCAGTACTATTGTTTGATGACCCACTCGCCGCAGTCTCTTCCCCCAAGTCTGAGTCTGCAATGCAATGGGAACCTTCGCCCAGCATATCTGCTAATGCGGGAGGTACTTGATGATAATCTGCAACTGTCGGCGCCTTTCATGGGCTTTTTTTGCACTTTCCCATTTGCCATCGAGTATCTTGCATCAACATGGCCTGCAAGGTTCCGGCATGCAGAGCGCGATTTTGTACAATTTGTGAATAACTGGGCGAATGTGGGTCAGTTGAGACACGTGAGTGAGAGTCGGAAGATCCCACCGACTCCGCGTGAATTTGCTAATTGTGCAATCACCTCGTTGACGTTTCAGCGCCTCCTTCTCAGGTCTATTATCCGCTCACTCTGGGGAGGTTACCCTCCTTTTGTTGCGGAGAAGCGTCATTTCGAAGAAGAGATTTTGCATGCTTTCAACCGCGCACAATTGGAGTTTGATCAGCGAAGGTCCATGGGGCAGCTTGGAGGTCGTCCACAGGCAGGCGAAGAGTTGCAAGCTTGGAGCTTCACTTTTGCTCAGATTACAAGCTCACTCGAGGCGGCGCTACGAAGCCAGGGTTTCCAGCTAATCAATCCAGCTTCACCTCAAGTCCACCTACAACAGCAACAGCAACAGCAACAGCAACAACGGCCACAACCACAAGCCTACAATACACCCAGTACTGGGGATATAGCAATGTCTCGCCGTCGTCAACGGCCGCCTCAGGCAACACATCATCACACGGCATCGCAGGCGCAGCCCTCACCTCGCCTGCGGCAAGGTTCCACAGCGTTACTCCCACGGCCAGGCGTAATACAGCCACAGCAGCGGGTACCGAACCCTTCTCGTTTCGGCCTACATCAGGCTCACCTTCGAAGTCCGGTTTTACAGGCCATGAACCTCTCTTCTTCCGTCTATTACTTCTGGCAAGGATTCGTCCGGAAGCCGCAGAGGATAATGAATCCGAACAATATCATTGAGAAGCTGTCGTTCAAATTCTCTGACAAAGAGATGGAGTTTGTTGCCAAACCAACACACACTGCCCCGGGCGCTGCGGACGGAAGACTCATTGATGAAAACCACAAGATGCTTCGGCTTCGCTGCGTCAAATGGCCAATCAACGAGGAGCCGAAGGATGATGCTTGGGCCATCGCCGAGAATAGCTGGATTCCTCATTCTTACTTCACTTTCAACGATACTCCCTTACAGCTACGGAAAAAGCTGCACAACGGAAAAGATCTTCCGGTCGATCTCACAGGCTTAGTACGAGGAGGCGAAAACATACTCGAAGTCTTGGTGATGAGCAATGCGAGCGATACTACACACCGCGATTATCTTGTCGCTATTGAGTTCCTGGGTACCATGACACAAGCCTCCATCAAAGAACGCTGCTGCAAGAACAGCATATCGGCCGGAAAGACCGTCAACGACATCAAGCGAAAGTTATCTCCCAGTGAGACCGATGACGACGATATTGCTATAGTCGAAAGCACGCTCACAATTAACCTACGCGATCCCTTCAGCGCATCGAAGATCTGCGCCACGCCTGTGCGAGGCACAGCCTGTCTACACAACGAGTGTTTCGACCTCGACACCTTCCTCGAGACTCGACCGCGAAAGGGCGACGTCTCTGCGGCCGACCAGTGGCGCTGTCCTATATGCAAAGCAGACGCACGCCCAAACGTTTTGGTCGTTGACGGGTTTCTGGTTGAAGTGCGTGACGAGCTCGAGAAGAAGGGTCTACTGGAGACAAGAGCCATTATCGTGGACAAAGACGGATCCTGGAAGCCTAAGCCGGAGGAACGAGATCCGAATGGTGTTCAGGACCGTGACACGCCCGAACCCACTCCAGCAGCAATGCTGACTGCAGCGCGGCCAAAACCTCCCGTTATCCACGAGATCATCGAACTCGACAGCGACTGAGCTTACGAAGCTCTACTTCTTTGTGATATATTTAGGATCTATGGAGGTCTCGTAGCTAGGCGTTGTAGGCAAAAGTCGGCGTTTTGTGTGTGATATACCTTATTGTGTATATATACTTCCCTGTACGGAAACTCTGGGGAGCATGAATTTTGGGCAACAAAGGCAGCCTGAGCATATCTGTTTCGCGGGAGAGATGATACCCACCAAATACTTTGTATAATCGATGACTTCACGACAGTGCAACCACATACTATTCTGGATGGCCTTCTCTTTCTTGGTATGCGATTCGATCTTTCCGTTACGTATTCCGCGACAGTTAGATGTACATCAACTATTTTTTGTCCGTCCTCCTCGGTGACACCATGCCCAGTCCTGCCTCGGTGTCTCGCCTTGGAGGCGCAACGAAAACTTTGGCTTGTATCGATGGCGGGTAGGCGCACCGATGACACCGGGGCAGACAATGTCGACACAGAAGTCAACGGTTGGCCGGACGCAGCAGGATCTAGTGTTGCGGCTGAGATGGGATGCAGAGGTACTGCGCTAGTGTTCTCATCGTGAGCAACAGGTGCGATGCAAGGAGCCGAACGCCACTTTGTGAAAGCGAACTCAACGACCAGGAGCAGGTCACATGTACCAAAGTGCTAAGCAAGCATATGCATACCCAGTACAAAGCCCGTGACAATGAACGAAGAATACAAGAGCAAACAGAATGCGTTCGTAGCGATACGCCCTGCCTTGGCCTTGGGCGTATGCTGATCAATAAACAGCGAACAAAGAATGCTTCTCACTTGTGATATAAGTTTCCACTAGAGTAATGAGTGGTGTGACCAGCATGAACATGGCGATCACTCGACCAAATGTCCACTTCAGGTCAGAGGTTACAGACAAGGGATATATGTTGGTCATGCCCGAAATCAAGCCGGCCATTGGAAACCATACCTTTACGTGTCAGCAATTGCAGCATATAGAAGGGTGACTAGGTACGGACCTCGAAGAATCTTTAAGACGAACATGTTCAAAAGTACATGGTACATCAGGTACGTGGTAAATACTGGACGATATGTAATACCTTTGAGGGTAACTTTTTTGGATCTAGCGAACTCGAGAATGCACCGCAAAGGCTTCTTGACATGACGAATTAACCACTGCCGTGTGGTGAGATACACTCTTGTCGAAGTTTTGAAGAGGCGCCAGATTCGGGTTGCCATTCCAAAGAGCAAGATGACAGCAGAAACTACTGCGCGTTGTCGTTTAGACTCTAAAAATGTTGCTATTCTCTTCATAGTAGCGAGCCATCAGACCATACTCTATTCCTTTGAAGAAGCAGGTGGCGTAATCATAATTAGGGTTATAGCCAACGCGTTCAATTTGTCCCTCATTCACCGTGACGTACTGCGCTGACGGTATCAGTGCAACACAGAGCATTCTTATGGATGCCCGTAGAACCTCCTGTCACAGAGCCCAAAGAACCTTCTAGCAATCCTCCTTGCCCTGTCAAGCTTGGAAACCCTATGTGCCTGAGGTATCAAGGTATAGCCTCAGTTTAGGCATAGCCTGTGACAACCTCAACGTAGATAGGATGAATCAATAAACCACGACACCTACTATAGGCCTCCATTGCTGCACCTTGGCTCCAGTTATATTACCGGGAGCTTCTCTTATCAGTTATTTATTTCAATTTCTTATAGACCTTCCCATCGCGCTGTCGCAGCTGGTTGGAGCTCATACTGGCCAGGCGATAGCTGACGCTGTCGCACAAATCCTTCAGTACTTCGGTATCAATCGCAGCAAACTCGGCTACTTTGTGTTGAATAACGCTTACGATAACGACACTGCCGTCAACAAGCTCGCTGCCATGTACAATTTCACCGCCACCAATCGACGCCTCCGCTGCAGCTGCCACATACTCAATCTTATTGGCCAAACTATTATTTTTGGCAGAGACAATGAGACATATAGCAACGATTGCAAGCACTACAAGGAGGAGGTTTCGGTATGAAAGAGTGGTAGCAGGGAGATTTGCTTGGCGTCTTTCTTGATGTAATAAACCATATCAACATCCCACAACAGTATCAGCTCTTTGCGAGCTGCCAGCGCCAAGCAGTGGAGGAGATGGCTATTAGTGGCTCTGTTGGCATCCGCGAGCCCATCAAGCCAGTTGTTACGTGTTGGAATTCCTATTGCAGCGCCTTTGAGCGCGGAGTTGAGCTCCAGCAAGCTGTACTTTGTATGCTGACTACGACATCCAAGAGATCAAAGCAGCCAACTCACATATAAGTAGTATAGCCACTCATTAATTGCATCAGCTTCATACTGCCTACAACTCCTGAATGTCCGAGATATTCAACTTCTACGGCTGCTATGCATGAAGTGTTGTTGGATTGAGGCTTCTGATGTAGGAAGGCATGGGAAAGCCGTGAAAACCAATTTGGAGTAACTGTCAAGGGGAGAGAAAGTGAGCAGAATCGTTCTGTATTAGTAGCCACCTCCGTGGTGTTTATCTACACAGAAGGGAGCTGTGTGCGCTAGCCGGAAATGGAAAGGCGCAGGGCCTCAAGAAGAGCAGTAGTGGAGGTGATGACTGACAGTAACGACCTAATCCACGCAAGTGTTTGCAGGGCACACGGACTATAACGCCTGGCCAAATGGGAACGAACCTCGATACATGACTCCTTGCACAGGTGAGATGATGCCGGAGTCGTGCCCGGCGCCCGTTCGTGGTAGAGGGTTGAAGCTGCCTTCCCTACTCGAAGAGTTCGGTGGTGGCGGTGGCGGACCGGATGCAGGCGGGTGATTGGATAGTACTGGGCTGTATGGGGGTCACGGTTATCGCTGATAGGTTTGAGGTTGCCTAAACCAGCGGCTGTTGCAAAGAAGATGCTGGTAGAATTCTGTTTCTGATCCTTATGCTGACTTCTATTTTGACGAAGTACATCTGGTTCAATATCCTTTTGGCCGCGAGGAAGGTTCGAAATATCCTCCACAGTACCAGTAACGTGACAACGCTGGCCTCAAGCTTTTCGAAATCTCATGTCAGGCCAGCGTACGTGTAGAGACAGGCGTGAAAGATCCAGATTGCACTTGATACCTTAGCAAGTCTCCGAGCTATAATGGTGCTGTCTTCGTAGTCGTCAGGCGCCGTCTGCACTGCAGCGAGGGTATGAAGTTCATGCTTCGTCTTCGGCACACCGATCTGAATCAACCATTCCCGATACCATTTCTTCCTCCCTAAGATGTGAGCATCAGCTGGAGATCCAAGGCCTGAGGATACACGGGCGCTGCGGTTCGGCGTGCTGAGATCTTTGAGCTCTTTCGTCTCGGAGGCAAGTTCTGCCTGCTCTGTATGTCCCTGGGCGTCAGTACGATATCTTGTGCTGTAAACAACTTTGCAACCAACGTACCGTTGATGATCTCCACAGCGGCAAGCACAGTGAGAGCAAGGAGGCCCAACGCTACGACCTGTCCAAAGCCGAAGACGTCAAGTCCAGAAATATCAAAGCCTGTATCCCATATGGCACGAGCAGTGCTGACTGTGCCAAACGCCATACCCGCAAATATTCCCGGGATTTGCGACATGTAAGCATCAAAATATGCTTGGACCACATACCATGCTGATATCTTTGTTCCTGCATTCGCTTCTTTCGGCGGTCGAAGCCATGCATAGTACTTGTTAAACAATTTGTAAACAACCTCCCAGCGCTCTTCCTCATTTAGGCTAGTCTTCAGTAGAGATCGCCTCATGAAGCTGTTGACGATCTCGGTGACTGAGTCGGTGTCGGGCGCTATGAACAGATCTGAGATCGCCAATGCATGGCTGTAGAAGAGAACGCCAAGCAGAGTGACGGAGTACCAAGCACTCAACTAAACAGATTTGTTGAACCTGGTAGCCTCGAAAACGCATTGGAAGACGTGTCTCATATTCAGCTGGGATCCTGTACCAGAATCTACGTTGTAACCGACTGTGTTGACAGTATAGGAGAAACAAAACAATAAGAATCAAACAGTGAGGGCAACACGCCAACCTCGTACTACTTTATGCTTGTACAGATACTCTCTTGAAATAGTGAGAGAGAGAGAAGCTGCGTGAATGTACAAAGGTATGCAAGACTGCTCCTACACTAACGCCTGCGATGTTAGCATTGATCTCGAGCTCAGTTTCGCAGCCTCCTTGTGGACGTGCGGAGTAACATCTGTCGCAGAGCTGACAGTGGTGGCAATTACTGCATCTTTTGGCGTTGCGTACCTGCCGCTGATCGCTTGTGCAACATCATCAAAGTGAATGGAAAGAGAAAAACGGCCATTTTGAAGTATGATATGTAAGCTTGTGGTAGGGGTGGTGTATATTGTTGTATATGGTCTCTCTTCTGTCCATTGATGTGTCCCAGATGCGGGGTATGTACATGGAGTAGTGGACTGATTAGTCAGTGGATAGACCACATGACGTGTGTAGTGCCCTGGGCTTACATGATATAATGTAACTTACTAAGGAATAATGCTGCAAATCCATACTTTCCCTGACCCAACACCTATTCCTACCATGTCTCCGCACATAGACGAGCACCACGATCGATAGTCCGATGGCACCCAGAGCACCTTGTTACCGGCATGTGTAATCCATATGTTGTCTGAGCTAAGGCCTACATCTTGATATTGGGGATGCTCAGATTCCGCAGTATATCTTATGCTAGAAGCTTCTAAGCTGCGGAAAGCAGGAGTACCTCTCTCAGTATGGAGACAATAGTCGCTGAAGGTAAGGGGTAGATCTTGGAGAGTATACCTAGTATCAAGTGTCGAACAGCACGCGACGCTGCTAGCATCCCAGCTTATAACAGTATTGTCATTTGATGCGGATGCCAGCTGGGTCGAGTCGTGCGATAAGGCCACTGGTTTAACCACATTGCTACGGCATATAAGCGTTTGCAGGCACGCGCCGTTGCTAACATCCCAGATATTGACAGTATTGCCGTATGATACCGATGCCAACTGAGCCGAGTCGTGCGAGAAGGCCACTGATTTAACCAGACTGCTATGGTACTCAAGCGTCTGCAGGCACGTGCCGCTGCTAGCATCCCAGATCTTGACAGTCTTGTCGTCTGATGCTGATGCCAGCTTGGTCGAGTCGTGCGAGAAGGCCACTGACCTGACCCAGTCGGTATGACCCTTAAGCGTCTGCAGGCACGCGCCGCTGCTAGCATCCCAGATCTTGACAGTCTTGTCGTCTGATGCTGATGCCAGCTTGGTCGAGTCATGCGAGAAGGCTACTGACCTGACCACGTCGCTATGGCTCTCAAGCGTCTGCAGGCACGCACCCCATGTATTGCTCACAGCTAGTTTAATCATAATTCCTGCTGGGGCTTCGTGATAAAACAGCTATCTGATTAAACTACCCGTTGGACTGAACAACAGCGCAGATGCATAAGTTTGGAGTGGGTAACTCCTGACTGCCACCTTGTGATACATGATGAATCGCCAAGCGTCTTCAATTAGTTGAGCATATTTGCTTTGACCACGCATATCCTAACTGTGTTAACATTTAGAAGCTCTATACTATCTCAATATGCGGTTTTTTTCAACGTACCTGTACTAATGACCATAGTTCTGTTATCGAGACTACACCTTTTTCTATGCTCTTGCACAAACTCAGCCCTTCTAGCCAGTAAAGATACATATTCCTTAGGAATTTATCAACAACGCCCGTGACTTGCTGGTCACTGGTACTGTTTGCCTGCAACCTGGGTTTTGAGTCGTACAGATGGTCAATCCAGTAGACACAAGGGTAGCGTGACGCTGCTAGTGGGTCAGGGTCAGACGGTTGAACGTTGTCGATGTGAAACCCCGGCGCTTTCAGGCTGTACATGTCCCTGTGCAATGTCCGGGACAGAATCGCAAGTGACCTTGAAAATATGACGCGATGTGTGCCTTCGGTCCCATATGGAAAGACCTTGTCAGATGCATTTGCAAAAAGAAAATCTTGTGCTGACTGATGCACAAAGTAGACAATGTCTTCTCGCAGAGTCAGGAACGATCCACAGAGACCGATAATTTCCTGCACAGACTCCAGGTCATCGGCTAAGTCTTCAAGCGGCTCCACAAGTGCAGTCAACTCGAAGATTGTAACAGGTCGATACAGGATCGCCGTCGATGCCAGCACTTGCTGACAGATCTCAGCACTGTCTGACTCACTGATCTGCTGCATCATCCGTTGGTACAGAGAGTCTAGTCCAGGCGGGAATAGCGCTAGCTTTTTCAGCACATTCCACCTTGGTGTCGCCTCGAGGCATTGGCACACCAACGCTACCCAGAGGAAGGTACCGTTGGCGTTCGATATCAAGTGTTGGAGCACGGCAGATCGAACTTCTGCTTTATACTGCTTTGTCTGTGCCAAGTGGTCCATCTTTCGCTGGATGAAGATGTCAACCGCTGTCGCGACCGACCTTGCGTTCAACTCAAGGCTCAGTCTCATTTTGTCTTCTGCCCGTTCTAGCTGTTCCTCGATGTTCGGCCAGTTGCGGCTTGAAACAATCCACTTAACGCGGCAAGACGCAGATGATTGCTTTGCGACAAAGTCGAGCAGTTTTGGCAGGTCAGTGGCACACTCGTCTAGTGCGTTGACAATTAGGTAGGTAGTGCTGAGCCCTGGGTCTCGAAGTACATCTGCGAAATTTCTGTCAGGGCTACCCAGGCATTGGCATCCTCAAACAAGGCCTTGCCTGCATGATCGTGCTTCTTGCGGACATGCGATGCAAGTGACGGTTGCTGGCTCACAATCATGTACAACAGCCCTCGCAGCACGGCCGTGGCGCTGTTGATGCGTGAGTCGGTCGCTTGGCAGAAGAAGTACGCTAGAGAGGCAGTTTTAGGTAGCGAGCTGTGCAGCTCGTCGATGATGCCGCAGAGCAGCATCGTCTTGCCCTTGCCAGGATCGCCTTTTACCCACAGCAGTCGACTGCACTTGTCCTGTTGCCATTGCTGGAAAATAGTGTTATTAAGGACCCAGCGGTAGGAGTCAGCTAGCAGTCCGCCTTTCGTCTCCTCGATGCGTTTCTTGTCGTTATGCGGATCTGTACTGTGTATGTCTTGGACACATCTTTTTAAATCCTCGATCTCGTCCATAAGGCGCCTGAAGGCGCCAACTGCACCTTCGCCATATACTGGCGCTAGCTCGACATCTAAAATGCCTTGCAGCGAGTATGCTCCATCTTCTTCGTGCTTGGTCACCCGGCCTTCCTTCCACCGCAACCGTTCGTTGATGCTGAACTGGGAAAGAGGGGTTCCGTCGAGCACTTCGCATTGTATGCTGGTGATTTTGTGAATTAATGACTTTAGCGATTTCTTATCACCAAGCTTCTGCCCTTCTTGAGAGAAGAACTCGACTATGCTTGGGGCAAGAAGCTCTTGAAGCGTCCAGCCACGCATGAACCATCGACTTGCCCTGAAAGCAGGCTCCCAAGTAAACTTGGTAGATATATCGCCAAGCTTCCTTTTCCTTGCCGATACGTCCGATAGATACACATAACATCTCGTCGCGTTCTGGTACCAGCGAAACATGGACCGGATAGCGTGGGAGAGCTCAGCTTTATCCGTCTTATCGATGCAGCATGTGTCGACCCAGAAATATTGTAGGCCATCTTGCCATGCTTGTTGTCCGCAGAAGCGAATCTTCTCGCAGCCACACTTAGCCTTGCTATCGCCTGTCACAAGGTCTGCAAAAGTAACCTCATCCGCATCTGCTCCCCATGTGTGTGAAAGTATCGCATATGGTGGTATTGCAGAATCGTCAAAGCTGATAATGTTGAGCTCGCCATGTTCGTCATAGTTTAAGAGACGCATCGATTCGAGTGGATGTGTGACAGACGCATGCAGTGGGAAGGAGATGCGAGGGGCTCGATGCGGGAGCCTGATAGGACGAGGGGGCGGCAGCTGGCTCCTACGTGCAATCTAGGCCGAGCGTATGGAGAAGAGCATAAGTGGCTGCAAAGCCCAGGATAGCTGTACAGTGAAGCAGCGATCCAAGTGTTGCAGGCTGAAGCTGGTGTTCTGCGCCATGTTCTTGGTTCTGTGAGGATGGTGCAGCAAAGAGGCTGAGCAGTCGTTCGAAGACGCTTCCAGAAAGCCACCATCCTGCGCCCGGCTGATCTGCTGTAGGTATAGGGTTGAGTTTAGTACGATAGCTTATAGTAACATCTCAGCACGCTAATGCAAGTTACTGTATGCCAAGTGACGCTAGCGTATCACGATTCACTGGGTCGCTTTTTGCGATCTTTGCTCATGACCGGCGAAACTCCTGGGCTGCACAATTCTCATGTCAAAGCAACTTTCAAAGCTGGCAGACACAATTATCTCCAACTGTAGTTTCTATCAGACCCTCCGATCCTATGGAAATCTTTCATGTTGCAAACGGACAGGGGAATATCGACGATGGGGCGATTGAAGGCGTTGACGAAACGATCGACAGTAAGGTCAACATCGCTTCAGTCCATGCCGGAGGTTGTTGCATTTACATAGAACTGGCTGAAGAACATCAATTTGGCAGTTAGAGGTCTGTGTACTTGCAAATAAGAGATGGCGAGGCTCCGGAATACGAATCCGTCCCGTTACACAGTGCGTCCCGGCACGTAGGGACGGACGTTAATAGGCATAGCAGACATGGTGACGAGTAAGGTGATTGCAAGGAAAAGCGCAGCAGGACACTGCAAGCTGGCCTTCTGTCACGATTGTAGCACCGAAGAATTTCTCTCCCTGATCAATGTCTCACTGCAGGGTTTGCGGCCCACGCGGACCTGTCTCGAGCTGACTCGCACTTCAACTTCATGCAGCGATATCACGTTGTAGTCCTAATGCTAGTACATCCGTGCCATTAGGGCTTTCCATGGTTCCGATGCAGTCCCGCCCTCCGCTACAGGTGTTCCGCTCATCCGCGCAATTGGGGACATTAACTTAGTTGAAGTGTCTATAGTTGTGTCGAAGTGAATGTAGATGAGCACCAGCCGGCGCTGCCTCTCTAGCAACATGAGGCTAGCGGCTGACCAATCGAACGAATGCAGCACATCACGAGCACGACAGCAAAAGAAGATTGAAAACGCAAATATTGCTCATTTAAAATTATTCATTCAAGGCCCAAAGCCATTTTGGTATCATAATCTACTGTTCCTTCTCCAAATCCGCAATCTGCAGCACCGCCTTTCCAAAGTTGTGACCCTTAAGCATACCCAAGAAGCCATCAACAGCGTTGTCAATGCCCTCTGTGACGCTGATCTTCGCCTTGAAAGTGCCCTCGCTCAACCACTTTTGCAGCTTCTCTTGATGATCCTTCGCGTGCTTAGGACCCATGTTCTCGTCACCAACAATAAAACCGCGCATGGTGAGGCGCTTGGCAACAACCTGCATCAAGTTCTTGATCGGGTAGCTGTCCTCGGGCTTGAGGTTGTACTGCGAGATCATACCGCACGCGACAATGCGACCGAAGTTGTTCATGGCGTTAATAGCGGCCTCGAGCTGCTCGCCGCCGACGTTCTCGTAGTAGATATCGATACCGTTGGGTGCAAGGCGGGCGAGCGCGTCAGCGGGCTTCTCGGTCTTGTAGTTGAAGCCGTCGTCGAAGTTGAGCTCGTTCTTGATGAAGTCGAGCTTCTTGTCGTCACCGACGGAGCCGATGACCTTCAGACCCTCGTGCTTGGCTAGCTGGCCGACGAGTTGACCGACGGCACCAGAGGCCGCGGAGATGAAGATTGTCTCGCCCTTCTTGGGCTGGCCAATCTCGTAGAAGGAGGACCAGGCTGTCAGGCCGGGCATGCCGAGGGGGCCGAGGAAGTACTTTGGGTCCAGGTTGTAGGGGTTTTCGAGTTTGCGGACGGTCTTCACGGTGTTGGCGTCTAGGAGGGAGTACTCCTCGATAGGTGTGGTGCCGAGGGTGATCAGGACCTCGCCCTCCTTGAAGTCCTTGTTGTTCGACTTGACGACCTTGAAGATGGAGCGGTTTGTGATGGGCTTGCCGAGCTCGAAGGGAGGGGAGTACGACTTCTTCTCGGGAGATCGCATGCGGCCGCGCTGGTAGGGGTCGAATGAGGCGTAGAAATTCTTGACGATGAGACTACCCTCGGGGATTTGCTGTTCGAGGTCGAATTCGCGGGCCTCGACTGCGATGTCCTGGCCAGGGACGGGCCAGCCCTCAGGCACTTGCTTGAAAATGACACCCTTGTTCTGAACCATTGTGTCTGTCTGTGAATGTGCTTTGGGGTATCAAGTAAAGGAAGGGAGGTTATCTCGAGAAAATTTTGGGATTGGGAAGCAATTGGTTTGGTGTGTCGTAGCTGATGAGGAAGGCAGGACCTACATATACCCACCACCACAGCTTATAAATGTGACTTCACGCCTAGCCAAAACCGTGTTGCGTCACAATGAAGCGCCCAGCACCACCCATCGAGCTGCGGAGGCAGGATGAGCTGGGTCAAGCTGGGTCAAGCTACGCCTTTCGCCGTTCTCTGCCCGAGAGAAGAGCTGCCTTGCGGACCTTGCGGTGTGTTTCGTCCCCGAGCAGAGCCAAACGATTGCCTCGGCCGCAACTCTGCAGAGCAATGTTGGACGGAACAAAGCTCAAAGTAGAAACTTCTACGTGTCCTTGGAAAGCGTTGGAGGGATGACGACGATGGGCGGTCCGGAAGTGTACCACTTCAAGTCAAGTGCCCGCAGTGATGCGTTTAAGAGAGCCGAGGCAAGTGGGGGATCCTTAGTAATGAGGGGCTTGAGCTCAAGTTGAGAAATCAACATCTGAGGGTTAAACAATCTACACAAAGCGGACAGAAGTCATACCGGCTGTTGCGTATGTCTTTACGATGAGGCATGAGGCAGGACGCATTCTTCTGGGATTTCGGCATGGTGTTAATGATCGTCAACTAGAGTCAAGAGAGGCTCTGCATCGTTGCTAGGCGAGTCAAGACGTCAATGCTTTGGTACGGCCGATAGGGTCCTTCGTGCGAAAGTTCTCGAAGATTTCTGTATTCAGCTGTGCAATTCTTTCTCTATCGAATGTGCAACTCTGCGTGTTGCAGTTTTCACTGGTATTCTATCTTTGCAACTGCATCAATGCATGGGACACATGGAGTCGTCCTCCTAATCTCCCTCCCTCACGAACATGTTATCCATGTCGTCGTCCAGCTCCTCTTCAGGCTCCATGACCTTCTCAATCAACTTCAGTGTTGCACGTATTGGCAGCCCAACGACATTGTCGTATGACCCTTCGATGCGCTCGATCAGTACCGCACCACCGCTCTGTATGCCGTAGCCGCCTGCCTTGTCGTTGCCATCGCGCGTCCGTACATATGCAAGTATGAGCTCATCTGTGACTGCGAGTTTGTTAGCATTGTGCACTCCGCACGATTGACGCATAGCATACCTTGCGGGTCAAACTTGACCGTTGTCTCCTCAACATGCGTCTCCAGCCTGTATCCCGGATCCATAGCACTCTCCAACGGCTTCATGACCGCCACAGCCGTCATAACCTTGTGCTCGCCCTGATCTCTTAGCGTCTTTAGCATAGAGATGTGATGTTCGGCGCCTCTTGGCTTCTCTAATATCCTGCCATCATGGCTGACAATGATTGTGTCTGCGCCAATGAACAGCGCAGGTTCGCCTCTGTCCGTGTTGTCGATTTCGCTGCGGTACACGTCTTGCACCTTCGCAGTCGCGGTTTCGAGGACATAATTGAGAGCACCAAGGTCGTGCGAAAGGTTTTCGGCAAACTTCGAGGGCACTATCTCGACATTTTGGAGACCAAGCTGGGCGAGGAGCTGCTTTCGTCGAGGAGATGCTGAGGCGAGGATGACCCGCTTTCGTCGCAGTTCGTTCAATGCAGGAAGGCTGAGCGGTGGAGGCGGCCCTCGAGGAGGCAGTGGGCCCTGGGGCGGTCGTTTCGAGTCTGAAGGGCCTGGCGATTTACGGTCTGACAGAAAGGGCACTTTTGCCGCATCTTCATAGGGTGGTGGAGGTTCTGATGGCGTTGACATGGCTGAATTAAGCGGACTTCGAGTGTTGTAGCAATTGATGTAGCGTCAAGTCTGCTCGGAAACAATATGCAGTGAGTGGAATGTCACAATTGTAGGTTGTTGATGTGAGAGTGGTGTGCGTCCTCCAGCCACAAAAGTTGGGATGACACAATGTTGCCCGAAGCTCCTGCTGACCCTGACTCGCGCAACTTCTCCCTGGCGCGCTTGCGCATGCAGGCGCACATGGCTCAATGCATCCGAAGTAACCTCCCTGCTGTTCGAACAACCCCCCGCGCCGAATAAAAGCACCAATACTTCCACCTTGAACTATTCTACTTCCACCACACCCCAAAAATTGCTATGCACTGGTAGTTGAAGTCTGCTACGGATATCTCTACGCGTGCGCGCATTATTGCAGCGAATAATTACCCCCGTATTGACGCCTTCCGCGCCCGTTCCCTGTAGGGCTTTGGTTGATTGGTTTAACGTCCTATATAAGTCTGATCCCTGTAGGGCTTTACCTTGCTGCGAAACATCCACCTATAACAGCACCACAGCAAGATTACTGCTCCTACAACTTACACATGGGTTACATCGAAGCCCACTGACATTGTACCGGCGCAGAGAAACCACAGCAAGCGTTGTGGCTGCTGTTGCACGAGGATTTCCCAAACTTAACGTGCGATCTGGTACCTCTGAAGCAGACGGTTACTAATACTGTCTAGCGCGAGACAGCCTTACGCGCCACAAGACTGCTTATAGCATTACTTAATCCACCCTTGTTGCATCCAAAACTTCAATGTTTGTGAGTAAACTACTGCAAATCACCGCATGCCCCTGCACACACCTTTACTGCAGCCTCAGCAGAGCCACGCGCCCAGATCGACATCCAAGACAAAGCAAGTCTTTGCACACTGCTGTGTTGTATGATCAATACGCAGACGGCAGCCACAGGAAGCGCTGCGTGTTGCGCAACACCCACTGGCCCTCTACCGAGAGCTGCAAAGGTTGCTCTTCCTGCTCAAAAGGTGACGTCGGATTGAGATCTGGAGGCAGCAGAATGTATCCTTTGTTAGTGTGCAAAAGATGGCCATCTGGCGAGAAAGCGAGATAGTCAATGTACCGGGATTGGCCTTCAAGCACAGTACGACACGTGCCTGTTGCCGTCTCCCACACTCCCGCTGTCGTGTCGTTGGATGCTGAGGCGACCAGCTATCCGTCTGGCGAGAACGCCACCGCATTGACAATGCTTGTGTGGCCCTCCAGCACGCTGCGACACGCATCCCAGTCTGCGCTTCTGTCTGACAGCATCTCCACTTCCTGAGGGACCTGATCAATAAACGTCTTCCGAACAATGCTCGTCTCTGGTGCGAAGACAAGCGCTGACAAGTACACCTGCAGAGGTGCCTCTGCTAGGATTGAACAGAAGCGCAACACAAATCGATCCGCATCGCGGAGGAAGCCTGGACACCTGCTTGCAGATGACTGTGTTGCAAGTTAGTGTATTGTGGTGTCTGTCACAAACGTACTCTTACCGCTACCATCGCCTGCAGCCTTGCCAGCAGGCGCACGTACTGGCCCGTCTCTCCCATCAGGCTCATCGCTTCAGGCCAGTGCAGAAGGTGCTTCTAGAGTAAGACGTGCACTTCTCCTCCGTCTACGATGCTCTGCTGGCTGCGCTCGAGATGTTCAACCCAGTAGCGACACGCATACTGCAGGAAGAGCAACCTTCGCAGCTCTCGGTAGAGGGCCAGTGGGTATTGTACAATATGCAGCGTTTTTTGTGGCTGCCGTTGGAGTATCGAACATACAACAAAGCAGTATGCAAAGACTTACTTTGTCTTGGATGTCGATCTGGGCGCGTGGCTCTGCTGAGATTGTAATAGAGCAGTGCACGTTGGCGTGGCGGTCGTTGGTTGTAGCTTGCTGGCGAACGCAGTAGAATTGCAGATGTAACAATACAGATCACCGAATGGTTGTTCCAATAATGGACGCAACAAGTCTGTAGTATTTGTTGGGAGTTGCCAGCTGGATCATGTGTCTGTAGCGGCGAATAGGTATAACGCCTGTAGCGTGTACGCGATCTAGACCCCATCTCGCTGATCTTAACATTGCAGATTCTGTGTCGGAATGAAGCACGCATTTGCACGGAGCCCTGCAAAGGTCTTACCTGCAGAATAACGATGTTGTTAGTGGCCAAGTCGTGAGCCCAGGTGCTGGCCGAAAACCCCTACGCCGGCATCGATGCGCAAAGGCCGTGCGCAGCCACAACCGCAGGCGGTGCTATGTAAAAAGGGTAGGTTATCTAACGCTGTAAGCGCTCCGTGTAGCGCGTAAGGCTGTCTGGCGCTAGCCAGTATTAGCACCCGGGACCAGCTCGTGCGGTGAGGATGTACGGAATCCCGCGCGACAGCAGCCACAAACGCTCGTAGCGACTTTTGCGTAGTGTTACGACCTCAACAAACTTTAGTAGAACGTGTATGTGAGTTGAAGGAGCAGCAATACTGCTCTGGTGCCACTGTAGAAGGAGGAGTATGCCTTGCGGCAAAGCAGAGCACTATACAGAACAGGCACGGAAGATATCAACGTGACAGTATTTTTTGTTGCGAAGGTGTGCGAAAGCGTAGGATTGCCAACAGCAAACCATAACAATTATTGCATAGCGAGTGGTGAGGTGTGGTGGAAGCATGGAGCGTCCGAGGTCGAAGTATCGGTGGTTTTGTTCGGCGAGGGGAGCTGTTCGAACCGCGAACAGGGAGGTTAACAGCGCTTTATGCTTCTGGTGAGTTGCCGTGGAAGAATAATGTGTTTTGCTTGCAGCATGTTCAGCGCCGATCTCATCCACCGGCGCCGCCGCCGCCATCACCACCACCTCCTCCATCTCCCCCATAAGTATGATGTCCACTGTACCCACCGCCACTGTGACCCCCACCATGTCCACCCTGTTGCCCTTGTGCCGCAATAGCCAAACCGGCATCCATCAAGTTGCCCAACGCACTCGTGATTTCGTTAGCGTTTTGCACAGTTTCTGCACTTTCCGCTCTGCTCCTGACCCTCTGCGGCGCACCGAGCTTTCCATCAATATCACTTCCTCTCCAATAGCTCAATCTCCCCAAGTCATGCTCTCGCGCCGCTTCCTCGCTGTGCATGAAACCCTTTGGATCTTTAGTTTTCTGTTGCCGTAGCTCGTGCTTCTGCCAGTCTTTCAGAACTTGTAGTGAGGCGATTACAAGTGCATGGTCTACAAGCGGCGAGCGAATGTAGAGAGTTTCATCAGGAAGACACGTAAGTGACAGTCTGCATGCCGGTTCGATAGACGTTCTCGTACCACAAGAGTAACAGAGGCCGCAAATGTTGTGGTCTGGACATGTTTTACAATTCCACCGCTGGCCAACGATCGGTTTCGTTCGACACTCAATACAGATCATGCCGTTGTGGACTTGAGTATCGCCGGAGAAGCCGTCCCAGTATGTGTGGTCTGCAACGATGTCGCCGTACAAGGGGTCTGGGTGGTCGTTCGCGACGAACAGGGCGTGGCGGAGAATGTCGTAGCGACTGCCATTGGTGGAGCTTACAGGCATGTGGCTCACCCAGAGGTAAGCTCTCCTGTCGTTGCCGACAAAGCGAAGAGAATCGTAGTTCGATGCGCGGATGTAGGTGGTGAGTATGTTTATTTTTCCACCAGGATTCAGAACCTCCTTCTTGCGAACGCCGCTTCTTAGGTCCAAACGTAGTTCGTAAGACCATACTGGCTGTCGCTTCTTGGCCTTCGATTCTGCTTCGTTACAATTCATGACCCATGAGAACCTTGGATCACGATAGTTGCCGCCTATTCGTTTGAAAGCAAAGGTATATGATGCAGGTGAAGGGTTTGAAGAGTGCTCTGATTGTCGGTGAGCCAACCAAGCTGATGACTCTGGCGTGTCCAACCAGTTTGATTTTGATGTAATGCTCGTTTGCGCGTGGTACATCTTGACGACCGGGCCAAGTCTCCACTGAGGCGGATATGGAACTTGGCGATGCTGTTCGAGGTAGGCTGCCAAAGAGGCCGGGTCTGAAGGTGACTCCACTATTTCAGGTACGTTACCAGTCACCACTTCAGGTAAGTTGCTCGTGACTGCTGGTGGCAGGCGTCTTGGAGGGAGCTTGGGGGGTTGGTTGGGAACTACCTCTGGTAACAAGCTATATCTTGCTTGTGCTTGCGGTGGTGGGCCAAATGATCCAGGACCCCACGGTGCCTCAGGAAGGCTTTGGGAATGCGGCCGCAAAGACTGTATAGATTGCTGCTGCACCAGTACAGGGCTGTGTGACAAACTCATGGGTATGTTCTGAGAATGTGGTCTCAACGAATGCGACGACCTATGTTGCGCCAGCGAGGGCGTCCATTGCGGACTCGGCAAAGCCATGCTGGCCGGACGCTGCTGTTGGCTGACATTGCTGTTAGACCTGCTCCTCGCCTCTTGAACTTCGAGATGTTGTAATCGCTTCGCCAGCTCTTCATCTTCCGTCACCTGCTGACGTGGAGCTGATAGTTTCCGCGCAAGCTGTTCGTCTTCGGTCAGCTGGGTTTCTGACGTCGATATTGGTGGTGCTGATGGAAGAGGAGTTGGTAGTTCAGCAACGATAGGTGCAGGTCCTAGTGTTCCGTAGAATGGCTGTATGTACTGCGCTACCGGCTGTGGATATGGTAGGTGAGGCGAGTTGGACTGCTGATAGTACTGCGAAGATCGATTATCTGAGGGTTGTGTTGGCGGTTGACAATACGTCTGATTTATCCAGCCTGACCACGGTTGTTGCGGCATGATTTGCTAGGCTGAATTGATACCTGAAAGAACGTGTATAGTTGACAGATCTGTGGTCTTGTACGGGAGGGCGTCAACGCAAGACCATGCGAGACAGATGCCAAGCTGCGGCGTCGACGGGTTTCTGCGCACCGTCACAACTTCAAGTAAAAGGTAGATGATATAGCGCATATGTAGTGAGGCGTGTGGTGAAGGATATAAGACGAGAGCAACAATGGCGAATACGTTGGCGTGTCAACACAATCTACACCTACAGCGTGTGGCTGTGAGTAGGCGGAGATTGCAAGTGACAATCTAAGAGGCTTTGACTGTGAGGCTGGACGCCTTGCAGATCGCCTCGACAGCGGCTGACGTCAACGGCTTGTGCAACACCGACCGACGTTATTTCGTCTGCGGAAGATGGTGGCTTTGATTGTGCAGTTGTTTGTTGGTTCGTTTCGTATTGAGGGTTCAGATCAGACGGCACGCATCCCAGGTTCAGGACGTTCAAGCATTTATTCTTAGGCCCAGAAGACATTCATCCATCTCGGTGGTACTATCTTCGTAATCGGTATATTTTTGCGCATTTTGGCTCCACGAGAAGTGACACACAGGTCGTAGAACTTTGTGAGAGGCTGTCAAAAGTCAAAGAAAGCAGGAGCCATGCGGAATTTTGACGCGATCCTGCCAGCCAATCAGATGCTTCGCATTTCCGGCAGGAACGTTCCCCACGCCTACCCGCGCTCCAGACCTTGTCACGAACCATCTCCAGGTTTGACTCAGCAAATCCTACTCGCGATGAGAATACAGCAGACGCGTCTTTGTGTCGTTGATTTCGCTGATGCCGCCAAAAAGAACCTGGTCGCAGGTCACCGACAATGGCCCTTCTTTATCTCCAGCTGCTTCACGCCCACGGCAGTCAGAGCCCGGGGTTGAAGCGATTGCGCCGGCAATTTCGCGTAAAGTGAAAGCCTGCGCAGCATGTCGAAAACAGAAGGTTAGAAAGTGATCTTTGACCACGTGACGTCCAAGGATAGTACTGATGTAAGGCAGATCAGATGCATCATGGATGAGAACGCCGGACCGCCATGCAAGCGTTGCGCTGAACGGAACTTATCCTGCGTTCTGAACAAAAGTCTGCAGACGTTGATCGACGAGCGGTCACAGTAAGTACCACGGTTATGGTTTCGGCAGTTTCTGATCAAAGTAGATGGAAGCACGAAGTCGTTGGTGACCTTGGCCTGATGCATTCGTCCTTGCAACAAGTCCTCAGCAAGCTATCACTCCCTGCATTGCCACCTCTCAAAGCCAGTACTGCCGATGACTTGGACTCGATTCAACAGTACGATGCTGCGGGTCGAGAAGAAGAGGTTCCCTCATGCGACAACTCACCCAGGTTGTCTCCAAAAGGGGACGCTTTGCCACATGCACCCATTGAGTCTCTCTACCAGCTCACTCGTCTCCGAGCACTTCGATCAGATGATCCAACCGAAGAGCGCAAGCCCACAGCAGACTTTGCAGCGAATCATCCTGTCAATGACTTCATCTCTCGAGGCATTGTGAACATCGAGGACGCCGAGCGTCTCTTCAGCTTCTTCCTAAACCGCATCGATCACTTTATGTACAGGATTGGGAGCCACAAATATCGAGATCTGGACAGTCTACGCCGTGGCTCCACCGTCCTTACTGTCACCATCTGCACTGTTGCAGCGCTGCACGATCCGCAAAGCAATCATCTCTACAAATCCTGCAGTCGAGAGTTTCGCCGCTTGATGTCAGCATCTATGTTTGACCGCCGAATTGATCGTGATCGTATGCGGGCCCTATGTGTGGCATCATATTGGCTCCACGATCTCTCTTGGACGATTAGTGGATACGCCATTCGACGAGCCATGGAGATCAACTTGAGCAGCAGCTACCAACGTGTGCTTGCAACTGGCGACGAGGATTCTATGGAGTGCATCCGATTGTGGTATGTCCTTTACATCTGTGACCGACATTTGTCGATCCTCTACGGTCGGCCATCGATCGTTAAAGATGACATCTCCATCTCAGGTTGGGAAGCGCTCATGCGGACCTCAGCATTCACTGAGGCTGATAAACGACTGGTGAGCCAGATGGCCCTATTGATCATTATGGGCAACGCAAGGGAGCTCTTTGGGCCCGACACCGGAGAACCGATACCCAAAGCTTTTGCACCACAGTTAACGAGTTTTAGCCGCCAAATAGATCATTGGATGGGCTTTTGGTCTACCGAACTTCTGAGTAAGGCTACTCGTGGTCATTGTGCTTGATTGACGAGAGTGCTGACCTGGCTAGAAATTCATCAATTCATTGGCGGCTTCCCAACAAAGGGCGTAATTATACATCACCACCTTGCAAAACTCCATCTCCACTCCCATGTCTTTCGAGGCCTCCGGGGTGCTCCTGTACCGCCACACTTTCGGGAGAGCGCAGTCGCTGCTGTGACGGCTGCCACAGACACAATCGAAATGGTACTGACCGACTACGACATTCAAGAAGGGCTCGTCGGCATACCGCACTACATTCACTCTATGGTTGCGTTTGCGTGCGCTTTCCTGTTGAACATCGCTTCGCAATACAGCGGACAGTATATTGCTGACACTGCAGTCTTTCACTTGACGACGAAAGCTGTGCAGCAATTCCGATTGACTCCTGTTGGCAAGTGGCATCTGGTCCATCTGATGGCTGAAGGTTTGGAGAAGATGATCGCTAAAAAGGGCGGTAGCCCAGCTGTAAGGATGCTTCCCAGTCTTCCGAATGAAGCGAGCCAATCTGGCGCGCCTAATGGATCAGAGCTGAATACTCCGCTGACCGGAGGCTCTTACGGCGACAACTTCTTCAGCGGTTTCGATTATGCATACAACTTGGGGACCTCCTCGTTCCTGAACTTCGACACGGGTACAATTGATCTAGATTTTGCTGGTTTCAGCTTCTAGATCTTCATTGTCAATGCATTCTGCGGTACAAGAGCCGGTGCCTACGTCGTCGGTGTCCTGTGTGATATACGAAGACCCGTCGATGTATCGTATTTTGCCCAGAGCCTTGAAAGGAGGGGTTATGATCGGCAAGAAGTCCGACCCCACTAGCTGGCAACCCCACGTCAAGCACACTGCCCGCTGCTTCCTACAAAATGCGTGGGCCTTGCAACAGAAACGTTGTATCATATTCACTATCAACAATGTCCGCCTCGTCCGCAACCCCAACGTCCCTACCGCTCAAGGAGACGCTCGACGCTCTTCTAAGCGTGTCTTCAACCTCAACCGAGCTTCGGTCTCAAATCCGTGATGTGGTTCAAGCCAGCCCAGATATTCCCATTCTTGTGGCACTGGACGACGATCCAACTGGTACACAAACCTGCCACGATATTCAAGTGCTCACAACCTGGACCGTTCCTGCCTTGGCTGCGGAGTTCGAAGCCACAGCGCCTGGCAGCGGGTTCTTCATCCTTACCAATTCGCGTGCACTACACCCGCCTGCCGCACGAGAGCTCACCATAGAGATATGTCAGAACCTGCAGGAAGCTGCAACTCAGGCAGGCAAGAGATTCGAAGTAGTACTGCGTGGTGACTCGACGTTAAGAGGGCACTTCCCAGTTGAGCCTGAGGCGGTGGAGGAAGCTCTTGGAGCAAGCGACGCATGGATTCTTGCGCCATTCTTCCTTCAGGGTGGACGATACACGATCGATGATGTCCACTATGTTGCTGAAGGCGACACGCTGGTACCCGCGGCAGATACTCCGTTTGCCAAGGACGCGACATTCGGATTCAAGAGTAGTCATATGGCAGATTGGGTTGTTGAAAAGAGCAAAGGGGCAATCTCGAGGGATCGTGTGCGTGGGATCAGCATTGTAGATATACGACAACGTGGACCTGACAAAGTCAACGAGATCCTGCAAAGTGCACCAAAAGGAACGGTGTTCATTATCAATGCAGCTGCAGAAGAGGACATGGACGTCGTAGTTCTTGGAATCTTGAAGGCCTCCGCACAGGGGAAGAAATTCCTCTTCCGTTCTGCGGCAGCTTTTGTCTCGGCTCGTTTGGGCATCTCTCCCATTCCTCCCATCACCGCACGAAAGCTTCAACTTAGTTCCGCTACCGGCGGGCTGATCATCGCTGGCTCGTACGTACCAAAAACTACGACTCAACTGAAGGCTTTAATCGAGATAGCGGGCGACAAATTGACCACGGTGGAGCTGGATGTCAACAAGCTTCTAGAGAGCGATGCCTCGCGCGGACAGGAGCTCGACCACGCTCTAGAGGTCGCCACAAACGCATTACATCAGCCAATGGACGTTCTGATCATGACCTCACGTGATCTCATCACAGGTGCAGACGAGCGTTCTTCGCTAGACATCGGATCTGTAGTCGCAGCCGCTCTTGTTACCTTCCTGGAGCGACTGGATGTCAAGCCGAGATATCTGATCGCGAAAGGTGGCATCACTAGCAGCGACATGGCGACAAAAGGTCTGAAGATGAAGAAAGCTACTATTGTAGGACAAGCTGCACCTGGCGTACCACTCTGGCGATGCGACGAGCGTACTAGTAAATGGCCAGGCTTGCCGTATGTTGTGTTTCCTGGCAACGTAGGAGGAGAGTACACTCTGGCAGAGGTGGCAGAGAAATGGAGGCCAATGATACCGGTCAATCGCTGTTAATTGTGCAGCGTGGCGGTGCATACGTTGTAGAGATTGTCAAAACTTGCTTGGAGTTTTTCTGGCCTCCAAAATCAAGCAATATGACTGCATTGATAGCAGTCCAGGCTGGTGGGGTAAATACGCAACGTGGCCTGCAGGAAGGCTGAGCGATGAATTTGCACCCAAATATGATCAATTGCGCACCAAAACCTGATCACACGTAAACACCTTTCCACTACGTCGACGAGCGCCCCTAGAGATACTACCCGGAACTCATCAACTCCCTGGTACAATATGCTGGCCGCATCTGGTCCAGCCCAGTATTCATACGGCATGAGCAACGTGCACAATTGCACCGCCGGTGGCCACATGTCCAGTAGGTGGGTACGCCGTTCATCGATGCCGTGCGCATATGATAAATGGCTTACATACAACGAACTGTGCTTGTGTGACACTATCTCATCATGCAGGCCGACTGCAACGTGCCAATCCAGCTGAACCAGTCTAGCATGGTCGGATCAAGTTTACCCCCGAGCCACCCAAGCAAGGTGCACGACGTAACTCTTTTTGCCGGTGCGTTCTTGACCCAGTAAGTGCATTAACGATCTGTGCGGCATATTGAACATCTGATAATATGTTTGCATATGCGTTACTTTGATTATAGAAGTGCTTGGGGAGAAGGTACGTATACCCAAGTACTGCGATCCCTATGGTTGCTAACGAGACAGGCAAGCCCCCCACCGAAGCGTTACCGAGACCAGGACAATTCGGGCGCAGAACGTGAAAGAGTTGGAACAAACATGGGGCTACTATTCTTGAGCGGCCGTTTTAGGTGCGATCGGCGCCAGCACTGAGCGGCTGCCATCACCTTTCTAGATCAGTCTCATGTATCAGATGCGAGTATCTTTGTAGAAGGTAACCAATGCCCATAAGTTTTAAGTCATGCCTCTCCTCCTCAAGGACAGCGCTTCAATGTACCCATCGCTTTTTGGGTCTTTCGCCACTTTGATCGAGCTCATGTTGTAGTTGTGCTAGACCGATTGGGGAGTAAGTGCCATTGAACATGCTTTAGACGACAGTCGTGAGGCGCTCCTTGTACGTCTCCAGAGAGTATGGAGACTCATACGGCTCAAGGCTCAGCAGTGTATGCCATTCTGGATAAATTGACTCGGATCGCGGGGAGTGGTGAGGCTGAAACTCATTGCTACTCGACCACGGCATAAGGCGATGGCGGAGCTGCAAGTATACTATGTAGTCGATAAACAACGATCCGGATTCGGGTGGGGCTGGTCAGGTGTACACATAAGTGTCGATGGGAAGAGTGCGCCAAAGAATATCAACACGTGAAAGCTGGTGTCGTCTCTTTCCACCTGAATTGGGTAGGGCAGATCGAGTAACAATGCCAGCTCCACAACGCTGGTCCAGGAAGCAGACGGGTCGCTCGATTCGTCAGATAGGACTGAGGCTTGATCGATGTAACCCAACCTATGGCCTTGTACGTTCAGCAGACTGCTGTCCATTGTGACGGTGCTTATCCGCCAAGGCAAATCACCTGAGACTTTTTATAGCCCAAGCCCATGAAGGAAGGCCTGGAGTGCGCCTAAGTGACGCATCTTCGACATGTGACAGTACGGAAAGATTGCGATATGCAGTGATGAGAGCTTTTGCAGTCTCCAGGTAGACTTGCTGCACACTGAGGTTGTAATTGGGCGTAAGTGCGGTTGGATCTTTACGAAAGGGGGCTCATGGTAGAGTCAGCCAGTCCAAGGAAAGCATACACTTTGTCTCGGGGGTCCGTAGATTTTGAGAAACGGTGTTCACCCAGGAGCATTGCGAGAGGCAGCTTCTGCGCATCGGCTTTGCCATGGGCGCTCACAGAAGTTGTGACAGCCACCCGCGTTTCGTTCAGGAACAGTTGGCTGATGCCGACTGAAAGTTTCGACTGAAGAACTTGCTTATAAATTCCCGGGTGCTTCTGTAGCTCTGTGACATGCTTCACCTTGTCCATGTGTAGATGATGGTACCATTTCGTCGCCTTGAAAATAACAGGGTCTTTGAAAGCTTCTCCCATAAAAAAGACTTTCGTTCTACAGACAATGGTGGGGGCATTGCCAAGCGTTATTTCCTGGACGACCTAAAAGTTTCGTCAATGCAAGCATTTATAGTAGTGTTGCATAATGTATCCATGCTCGTCCGAGCCACGGACGGTTGATGAGTGCGATGAAGCCGAGCCAGTTGTGATAGGTTAAATTCGGCCTATAACTGTGCTGGTCCCCTCCAGGATCGTAAAATGAGGTGTAGGGAACCAGTGACCAATCAAGGACGTTCTGTATAACCTCAAGAGCATCTGCAGTGAAGTCGTCCTCTCGACCAAGCCATACTACTACGCCGCTAGCTCTGCGGCACACGCGTGAAAATGATTAACAATCAAGAGACGAGCAAAATTCTTGACAAGGCAGTGAACACGTATCTAATCTTTGGGTTCGCAACAGAAGTTGCTGGCCTCAGATCACAAGGTATTGCCGAAGATGGAAACTCTCACGCGTGAGACTAGCGATTGGCGGCACCGACTCATTTGCAAATCGTCATCGTCATAAATCCTCACCCCTCACGCGCGCTATCAGCTTCGGATGCCTCACGACCGAGATGCACACCACATCTACATATACGCCACAGCCCTTTGACTAGCCAGCCCAGCCGTCATGCAAGCCCGCCATGGAAGCCCAGCAGCAATTTATCCGCCTTGGTTTGGACGAAGCTCTCGACATACATGACGACCACCACTATCACGACGAAGAGTTGCCTAACTATGAGGCTTCGACTGCCCCTGCGTACGATGATGGCGATCACGTTGGACCTTATAAGACATTTCACTTGAGACGATACGATCGGAGGATACAGATGCTTGTAGCCTATGGACCATCTACGAATTCAGCATTTCGAATCACGACGAACACATTCCGGCTCTTCTCCAAGAAGCCAGAAATGGAGGTACTATACACGGGCGAAGGCCGCATGCGAACACTAGCAGCCATATCGTTCGACGACGACGGTCCGTTGCCCTGGCGGCCGCGCGCGCACTTCAACCATACCGATTCAGAGGGGCTGGCGGAGAGGTTCGACATGGAGTCGCGCAACTTCGCCGATTGGGCGTTCACAATCAGAGACAAAGTGTACGAGTGGAGACTTGGCATGTGGCCCATCTCGCTGGAGCTGAGCGAGAAGGACTCGACGCTGGTCATCGCGCGCTTCACATACTCTGACCGAGGGACCTTGGCTGTGCGAGGAGGAGAGGTTGGCGAACTGGTCGTGTATCGTGATGGCCTGACGATGCAAAGAGACGGGATTGGGAAGGTCGTTTGCAGCTTGATGGTAGCGTTGAAGCAGCTGCAAAAGCTTGGACGACACTACCACAACGATGATGCAACGAGATCGAGGACAAACTCGATGGTGAGGGGGCCACGATCAGAGCACCGGGCATCATCTGCCGGTTTCTCAGTTGTTTAAGACTGCGATGATGTGTCGTTTGATATACCCGTGGTGTTTGACTGAGGAAGCGTGTTTACCGCATTGCTGAGATGGCACAAGAGAGGTAGTTTGAGACAGATTGGAACATACGAACGGCCAAGCATTGTTAGCGATAATGCGACTCTGGTGGAGTAGTTGGTAGATTGATTGGTTCAACGTCCTATGTGAGTCTGAGACTATGGAAGACGAGAGTAGTTGGTAGAGGCTGAGGGGAGATGGAACACTCACATGCCTTGGCAAACAACTCTCATCGACGAACGCATCTGAGACGGACGAGACAACAGGGCATTGATAAACGAACAAGGCCTTGGCAGCGTAGACGAGATGAAGCTGTGGGCGCGTAGGGCCGAATCAACAATCACTGCCCTGAACTCATGATTACATTTATAGTGCATTCAGTAGTAGATCCCTATCACAGCAAGACAGCGGCGCGGCCCGTGGAACTATCGTTCGGTATGCAGCTAGCTAACAACCGTTGTCAGGCAGGAGACAGCAATCGCTTGCAGCCCTATGTGTGGACTCTCTCCAACGTTCTAGCAGTCATCTCGAAGCAGCGTCTTGTGTCTCGACGGTCTTGAGGAGGGCTCTGGTATTGGCAGGCGTGGCATGGGCCCATGTAAGCCGTTAGTCGAGTCTCTCGTGGTCTGGATCTCGAAACAGCGCCGAATCTGTCGATCGCTGGAGAGGGTGGGGATGCCAAAGAAACAAAAGGGTCTGCAGCTGCCCCCCCCCCCCCCCGGCCTGCCAAACTTCGCACAACAGTGGGTCGCCAGCAGCGCACGAGTGAAGAAGACGCTCGCTGCACGGCAAATGCGATGGCAGCGACATGCAATTGCAGAATGGCATGCGTCCCAACACGCTCGCTCTCCTTTAGCTGCATTTTGTTTAGCCATAGCAGCTGAGCGCGCGCCCGCTGATTCCTGACCGGGTTGTCCTGCATATTGCTCAGGCAGGCCGTGTTTCGTTGCAAGCGACGTTGCTAGCCTCGAATGGCTCGCTCCCTAATTTCAACGGGTCCGCGCAGCTCGTGTTTCTTTTCGGCAGTCGAAGCAAAGCAGCACAACGCCCGGCGGGTCGTGGCGTGTCTGGTGTCTTGGGTCTGTCGTCTGCTGCCATCCACGCCCATTCACTGCTGGCCCCGTTTCCTTGGATCCTGCGCCCCGTCTCTCTCCACTGCCGCCCCAAGAGGTTCCCCAAGAGCAACGCCCTGCTCGTCCCCTCTTTTTACGCGTATCTGCGCTTCCGTCTGTTGAGTTGAGTCTGCTGTCCGAGGCTGTCTCCCCCTTTTGGGCCTAGCAGCGCTCGTCGTACGCCTGCGTGCATTCATTTCACCACCCCTTCCACGACACCTGCTGCCCGCGGAGCCGCGTCTCCAGATCGATCTTGCACTGGGAGGGTCTTCCAGCGTCCACCACGATTGGCAACGACGCACTCGCACCCGCACCCGCACCGAGGAATGGGACGCACACAGCCGCACGCCTACTCCCCGACACCGTCGTCTCACGTGTCTCTCAGCTGCAGCTATCGAGTAGCGTGCGCTGACTGACAACCGCACCGCGCCGGGCCTCCGCTGCCTGACCCTCCGTCGCCCACCAAAGAATACACACACACTAGCCGTCTGGTGTGAAGGGCCATGGTGAAGATGCGGATCCCAATTCGCGAACAGCTAGGATGTCTGGTCTTGCTGGCGTCTATGATCGGCTTGGCCGTGATTGCCATTGCGACCTGGGTCACCAACCATAACTTTGTGCTCAGCGTTAGGTCGGTATACTGCCCCGCCAGTGTGACTGTCGGCTAACGTGGGTACAGGTCTACGAGACTTGATCTGACCGCCTCGCTCAAGGCAGCCCAAGTATCCTCGACCCTGAACCTCATGCAGATCATCGTCGTCCAGGCCTCGAGCCGGCTCTCTCCGCAGTCCGCTCTGCAACGCTACTATCTGGGGAATACATCTGCTGAAAATTGGGGCCGGACGAACGAAGACTATGATGCTATATTCACGGGGGACGTGAGGACGCGCATTGCTATACAGGCCCGCATTTACCCTAGAGATACGTCCGACAAGATCTTGTTCAGCCGTACTGCCAACACCATGCTCGATGTACAATTGCCCTACAACACTCCCGATGGACAGCCAGCCAGATTGGGCGACTCGACCTATGGCTTCATTCCCGAGCTATACCCCAGATTTGATGTTCGACCAATACAGTATAACTCGTCCTTCAATGAATATGGGGCCGTGTACGAGGGTCGAGCCATGAACAACTCCAGCTATCTGTTCTCTGGGCCGTACAGAGTCAATGACACCCTCAGCCTTGTGTCAATTACGCTGCCAATCATCAACAATACTTCGAACATCGAAACCCTGGGCTGGCTCACGGCTGTGCTGGACGCCTCACTTCTGGTCAACGTCGTCAATCAACTGGAGGGTCTTGGTGAAAGCGGTCTTACAATGCTGTTTGGACCTCAAAACGATACTAACCGCTTCCCCACCGGGTACCTCTACGATGCGCCGATTCATGACCCACCGGAAGATGCCCAGGTGCGCTTCCTAGTTCCTCCAACCGTCAGGAACGACGTGACAAGACATGGTCAAGAAGACGTTGCCCTTAACCCGCCATCTTTCGACTGGACCAAATTCCCGGCCATCAAGCAAGCTTACACCAAGAGCACAGGAACCACGAACAATGCTGGAAGCATCATTTCCACACACAACGAGGAGGGAGACAATGTTGCTATTGGCTACGGTGTCGTAAACAGCTCTATGGTTGATTGGGTTGTCATTGTCGAGCAGATGCATGGCGAGGTGTGGGGACCTATTTACCATCTGCGCAACGTCATCATTGCCTGCGTATTCGGCACCATGGGTGCTATGCTTCTACTCACGTTTCCCATCGCTCACTACTCTAGTCGGCCGATTCGACGCCTGCGAGACGCCACAAAGAAGACTGTTGCGCCTCACCTTTTCGAAGACGACATAAGCCTGAGCTCGGGCAACGATGGTGCGAATGATAGCCCCGACGAAGCACTTGCCCGCAAGGAGGGTTTCTTTGGCCAGATCATCCACTACCGGAGGAACCAGAAAGCCAACAAAGCAGAAAAGCGGGAAGCAGAAAGAAGACGACAATTTCGGATTCCTGGCAAGGTCAAGGATAGGAAACATCTGATCCACGACGAATTGACGGACCTTACGAAGACCTTCAATGAGATGACAGACGAGCTCATGATGCAGTACGAGCGACTTGAAGAGAGGGTGCAGCAAAGGACAGCCGAGTTGAACGAGAGCAAGAAGGCTGCGGAAGCAGCAAATGAGAGCAAGACTCTTTTCATTGCGAATATTTCGCACGAACTGAAGACACCGCTCAACGGTATTCTGGGCATGTGTGCGGTCTGCATGTCTGAAGACGATCCAGTCAAGCTGAGAAGATCTCTGGGCATCATCTATAAGAGCGGCGATCTCCTTCTCAATCTTCTAACGGATCTTCTGACATTCAGTAAGAATCAGGTCGGACAGCAGCTAAGCTTGGATGAGAAGGAGTTCAGGTTACGTGATATCAGTTCACAAATTCTGGCCATCTTCGACAAGCAGGCGAAAGAGGGTGGTATCAGCCTAAACGTACGATTTGAGGGACCATACGACGCCAATCTCAACGATGATGGGCGGCCAAACCATGCTGGCGATCTGGGACCATACGGACTTGGACGACTCAAGGACATGATCCTCTACGGAGATCAACACCGAATCCTACAAGTCGTCATCAACCTGGTCTCGAATAGTTTGAAGTTCACACCGCAAGGTGGAAACGTCACAATGACTATTCGCTGTACTGGAGAGGCGCACATGACCGACAGTCGAAAAGCTTCGTTGGCTTCTAGGCAAAGTTCAGCGAGAAATTCGAAGAATCGCTTCAAAACGACGAGTTCAGAAGTAGGGTCAATGTCGACGACAAGCCCCAACGGCTTTGCAACAGCGAACCACATTAACGCACTCGAGAAGCCCAATGCATACTCCCACATTATGATCTCAGATCGAGCAGCGACACCACCGCCTGGGCGATGGCTGGCTTTTGAATTCGAGGTTGAGGATACTGGCCCAGGTATTCCAGAGGACATTCACGCCAAGATCTTCGAGCCTTTCGTGCAGGGTGACTTGGGTCTCAGCAAGAAGTACGGCGGTACCGGTCTTGGACTGAGTATCTGCTCGCAACTGGCTGGCCTGATGAAGGGTACCGTTGGCTTAAAGAGTGAAGTCGGGCACGGCAGTGTCTTCACGATGTCGATACCACTCAAGCACCTTTCGAGTCGCGCCGACAGCACAGCGAGCTCCCAAGTCGACCCTAACTCACGACGAAACTCATCCATTGACGAACCCCGCGCTGCGTCAAGGGATGATGCTCGGTCGATTCGATCAGGACACTCAGTCAAGAGCGGTCCAAGTCCTGTACCTGTCGTCAACGCTAATACCGCTGCCGCCGGGACCACTGCAGGTCCTGTTGCATTTGAACAAGACTCGAAACCGCGCTTGGTCGGTCTCAGCCAGCCATTCTTCGCATCAAACGCTCCTTTGGAATCGCCCAATTCGCAAGCAGCAGCAATGGAGCGTGTGGAAGCGGAAGCCACCAAGGGTGGCAAGAAGATCAAGGTCCTTGTCGCGGAGGACAATACAACTAATCAGATCGTGGTCATGCGCATGCTTAAGCTTGAGGATGTGTACGATGTAACAGTAGCGAAAGACGGTCAAGAGGCACTCGACAGGGTCAAAGAAAGCATGGAGGCCGGAGATCCGTACAACTTGATCTTCATGGACGTGCAAATGCCGAACATGGATGGTCTGGACTCGACACGACTTATTCGACAATCTGGGTTCTTGGCTCCCATCGTCGCTTTGACTGCCTATGCTGAAGAGGTATGTTCCCGACCTTCAAATATGGTGTACGTATGCTAATCATGCTCTAGTCCAACGTGAAGCAATGTATGGAATCTGGCATGGACTTCTTCCTGTCAAAACCCATCCGCCGACCAGCGCTCAAACACGTCCTCAAGACCTACTGTCCTCCCATCGTTGAGGAGGATGAAGGCGGAGAGAAAACACCACCAAAGAACTTGCCAAATCCTGAGGCACCTCCACTGATAGCCACATCAATTTCCTCTGGTCAAACAAAAGGACCTTTCTCGACGAAAGCCGGGCTGAGCGAACACGTCGAGTCGCCTGCAATCTCGCCAGGGGCTACCTGATTGTGACGCGCCCACTTTTCTTTTCTACAATCGTTTGGCTCGATACCCTATGATCTTGTAATGCATGGCGCACGATTTTTGTTACCGCTACTCTCCTAATCTTAGTATCTTACACATAACGCATGGCGCTGGTTCGGATCGAAAGTTGGATTCGAGAAAACAGTTGGATAGGCGTTTTTTTTTTCTTTCGGCATCTCAGGAAGATGGATTAGGATCTGAGAAGTTAGTTCAATCTTCTAATATCTATCGAGGATGTTAGGGGAGCGGCGAGAGCTGCGGGTAGTTCGTGGTGGTACGAATAGCTGGAATGGCGAATACAAAATGCTGCAGCGTGTATGCGCTGTGGCTATCTCAATCCGATCCTCCTCTACGTGCTGGTGCAAGGCAACACATTGTCTCTCGCAAACGTGCAACAATGAAAAAACCGGCTTCTGGTTTGATCACGTGAGGACGCGCTGCGAATCGACTAAATGACGTCAACGCGTTGCACAAACCCCAAAATCCACGGTCGTACTTGGTGTCCAGTAGATCTTCGTATCATCAAGCCAATACAGAGCCCTGTCGGACACTTGACAAAATGCCACGGACACGCTCAATGCAGACCAAGGTCATCGTCAAGACAATGCCGTCTAGCGACAACGAGCTCTCTGATCCGCCTGATATCCTTTCATCACCACCGCCCGCATCATTCAAAGGTCAGATTTCAAAGTATCAGTACGCCGCTGGCTCAGCCAAAGAAAACGACACATCATCATCTGCATCCCGTCGACCACCAGTAAAACGTCCACGCACCACCACCATAGTCGTCACCAAACCCACCCCATCCACAACACTCTCCTCACCATCGCCACGCCCACCCAAAAAGCAGCGCCAATCCAGCAAATACGCTGACCCCTCCAAATATGCACACCTCTCCCCCCTCGTCGACATCCTCGAACCAAATCTAATATGCGTCTTCGTCGGCACAAACCCCGGCGTCAGCACCGCGCTCCACGGGCACGCCTACGCACACCCCTCAAACCATTTCTGGAAGCTTTTGCACTCATCCGGGCTTACTGACCGGCGTCTCGCACCGAGCGAGGATAGAAGTCTATCATCAATGTATTGTATGGGGAATACGAATATCGTGTCCAGGCCGAGCAAGGATGCGGCGGAATTGAGTAAGGAGGAGATGACTGAGGGGACGAGGGACTTGGAGAGGAAGTTTGCATTGTATAGGCCGGAGGCGGTTTGTATTGTTGGGAAGGGCATTTGGGAGGCGATTTGGCGGTTCAAGTATGGGAGGAGGATGAGGAAGGAGGAGTTTAGGTACGGGTGGCAGGATGAGAGGCATAATATGGGGAGAGTGGATGAGGAGCCGGAGTGGGAGGGGAGTAGAGTGTTTGTCACGACAAGTACGAGTGGGTTGGCGGCGAATTTGAAGCCGGCGGAGAAAGAGGCGATTTGGAAGCCATTTGGGGACTGGGTGCAGCGCAGGAGGGAGGAGAGGGGGTTTGTTCCTACGGGGGTTAAGGAGGAGGGTGCTGTTGATGAGGCGGTTAAGGAAGGGCTCGTTGAAGAAGATGTGGTCAAGGGAGAGGAAGCAGCTTAGATTTACAATCTATCAAAATCGTAACATTGACAAGCCATGAATGCTCTGTTATTCGATTGACTGCAACGCGAGTCTTCAAAATGCAGTTTCAACGGGTTTCCACGATACTAGCAGGACCCTGAAACCGTCAAGCTGACACCACCTCGGCCCGCTGCGCTCACTCTTCATTCGCGCTCCAAAACCCAACCCCTGCCCTTAGGCCAACAGCATTCGAACGACGTCCCGGATACAGCCGCTTCGACACCAAACAGCCTCTGCCCTTCTATCACCGAACGTTGACCTGACACATTCCCCCTTCACACATCTTCCATTCGCACTTTTGCATGCGCCACAATCTGCAGCAATGCAGCCAAGCTTACAGTGTCGTTTTGTTACGGTGATACGCTGCAGGCTGGCGTGATTTGTCCCCCCGTTTTTGAGATTTGTCCCCCGCCGAAGTACCAAAAATGGTAGTTCTTGCGCTGCGCAATGCAATTCCACCGCAACACCACATGTAATTTTTATCTTTGAAGCTGGAAATACGTTTTGCATACACTAAACTACCTCTCCTCTGAGTTTTGCGAACTTCCAAAGCGATAGGAATGAGTCAAATCGAGTTGAAGTTGGCGATTTCTTCCAAAAAATGTCACCAACTTTAACGTGCAATTGAATTACAACACAGATTGAATTTAAGCTTTAAATTCTCAGGGAACTTTGCGAGGCCCTAGAGTATTATATAAAGTCCAAAAACCCACTTACAATCTTGCTAGTGTTTGAATTGCGTGGATGTAAAGCATTTCGGTACTTCGGCGGGGGACAAATCTCAAAAACAGGGGGACAAATCACGCCAGCCTACGCTGCATTGTCGGAGACACGTTCACCGCAAAGCCACCGCGAGTGGAACGGGGGAGTGGGCCGCTAAAACTTGCCATTCGGTGCCCGCGGGCGCCACACTAGAGCGTAGGCCCCCCTGTCTAGTGTCCGGGTGTTCGGCACAAGTGCAGGTGGTGAGCAACCTCACTTCACATCGCAATCTTCTGAGTTTGTGTAAGGTCTTCCACAACTTTGTACCTTCAATGTTAAATGTGTTGGACGCTGTTGTCACTCTCAGGTATGGGTAACATGTAGGGAAATTGAGAGCGAGTCTGTATTTATGGTTTCTATTCAACGTCCTGCACTGTCAAGCGTAGTCTCTTTCAATGCAATGCACTCAGTCATGCGCCTCACCTCTTCCCACTGCCAAGAGCACTTTCCACGCGTACCGCAGTGCCCAGCCGCCAAGATGAACAGCGCTGCAACAGTGGCTTTGCGGTCTCCACTTGCTGCCACACCTGTGGCTGCCCTTTCCTCTCTTCTGCATGGGCTGCACAAAGGCGCGCGGAACCCTCACCGAGACCTCCACAGTTCGCATCTCTTTCTCTCTCTAAGTCGCTGACAGCTGTGTTTGCAAGATGGCGTGTGCGACCGATACGCGGGTCTTCACATTCATTTCACAGCCCCGTTTGCCGAAGATCCGACCCCTTGTCGCCAAAAGTCAGTGATAAGTATTGGGTAAGGCCCGTCTGCACGGCCTTATAGACCCTTCCCTCTGCCACACCACCTGCCACAGCTCCTGCCACAGCTCCTGCCACAGCTTCGTACCTGCCACTCTCTACGCCTCAACCCACCAGCCATACGCCCTCAGCCACGAGAGCTTAATACAACGACACCCGTTCTCGAAACAGACAACGCACAGAAAATGTCATACCAGCAGCCAAACCAGGGTTACTACGCCCAGCCGCCGCCTCAGGGCCAGTATATGCAAGGTCCGCCGCCGCCGCAGCAGGTAAGAATTTCTACCATTCCGAATCAAAGATTTGGGGAGTTGGGTGTTGACTTTGGGCAGATGTATTACCAGCAAGGCCCCCCGCCGCCGCCGCAGGAGGAGAAGAAGGATCGCGGTTGTCTGGCTGCTTGTTTGGCGACACTGTGTTGTTGTTGGCTGTGCGGTGAGACGTGCGAGTGCTGTTTGGACTGCTTCGACTGCTGCTGCTGAGCAAGTCATGCGTGCGCGGTCGAGAAATACGAAAGGAAGAAGATTGATGGATGCACACACTCGCTACATTTCCTAGCTGTTCGGGCTTTACATGCGAGATATCCACACGGCGAGCATGTCGGTTCACTTCATACACGAAGATGGGAGGGGGATGGAGTTCGGTATAGTGGGCTAATCGATTGATTTTGATCATAGTCATGAATTTCATTCCATTCGAGAAACGAAAGGTTCCCAAGTTGGACGGGGAATTTGTACATCGCTTCCCTGCGCCATGCTAACCATGATCTTGCTGAGAAGAAGAGTAGAGAGTTAGGAAAATCGGCCGTTACCATCCCTTCAGGTATACGCACTTGTACGATACATCGCGAACGATAATCGCAAGCGCGACACTGCTAGCCTCAGTCATCGTACGCCTCCTCGAGCTCCTCCTGATACTCCTCCTGCGCCTCGATGAGCTCCTCGCGTTTCTCCTCGAGCGACTCACGGTCACTACTTGAGATGGAGTCGCCGTCTGCGTCGTGGGTGGGGACTGGGGGAGGAGGCGCGAAAGCCTGGTCGCCGTACGGGTCGCTGGAGTAGGGGTCGGCAGCATACGCGGCTGGGGCGGCGGCGGCGGGTGCAGCAGCTGCCGCAGCAGGAGCAGCGTAGCTCTGCTGCTTCTCGTCATCAGAGTCCTCGGCTGTCGAGCATTAGCATGTGGGGCCTCAAATCTTAGGCAAATGACTTACTCAGCTCGTGGCCAATCCAGGCACCAGCAGCTACACCACCGATACCAGCGGCTGCGAGCATGGCGGTGGAGTGACCCTTGTCCTTCTTCTCTTTCTCGGACTTGTAAGGATCAGCGGGAGCGCCAGGCGCTTTGTTGTAGTCATGTCCGCTGTGTCCGTGAGTGTCGCCGAAGAGACCGCGCTCGTCGTGACCAGCTCCGGCAACGTAGGGAGCGTTGGGACCTGGGGGAGCGTAGGGACCAGGAGGCAGGTTGGAGGGAGGGTCCCACTGGGTGCGACCTGTGGCCTGCTCAACGTAGCTGTTACACATTAGCATATAAGATCTCGGGTTTCGAGTGAGTAACATACTACCAGCGCTGGCTATTCTGGTCCCACTGCTGAACCCAGCCAGGCGGCATTGGAGGAGGGGCACCATACGGTGCTGGAGGACCTTGAGGTGTTGGAGGACCCTGGTTGTACTGCTGAGGAGGGTAGCCCTGGGGTTGACCGTAGCCTTGCGGCTGGCCGTAACCCTGAGGCGCGCCGTACTGCTGTTGTGGTGGCTGGCCATACTGCTGCTGAGGAGGCTGACCGTACTGCTGCTGCTGCTGAGGAGGACCGCCCTGGCCACCGCTGTAGTAGCCACCAGAGAGACCACGGTCACCTGGAGCGGCACCACCAGGTGTTCCATAAGAGTCACCATGGGAAGGTTGCGAACTTGAGGTGGAGGAGTCTGTCTGCCAGTCAGAAGCGGTCTTGGGGAAGATACATGTACACGAGCTCACCAGTGGGCTTGTCCTTGGGCTTGTCATCGTCGTCAAGCAACTCCTTCATCTTCTTCTTAAGGAAGTCCATGCTGGCGGTGTGATGTCAAGCACTTGCAAAGCAAGTACTCTGTGAGGTGGGTGAGGGTAAGGCAAAGAGAGAGGGGAAGAGAATGAGAGTGCGAAAGTTCACGCGGGGTGACTATTTAAACAAACAGTGCCCGCAGTATCGAGCACAGTCCACCCGCAGCGGGCCCCGAAGAACTCCTCGGTGGCATGCAGGGCAACAGCCACTTGAGAAGTTGCCTAAGTTGTACAAACGGCTTGTTGATGAATTGAGGGGCACCGGGGCAGCTGAAAGCCCACCACCTCAATGGCGAGTATGTCGATAAAAGTGGGGATCTGCGAGGGTCTGATGCTTCTGACGGTTAGTATGAGCTTCATGGGATAGGAGTAGTGGATTAGCAGCGCTTGGCGTGTAGGACAATTGGTCTCCTCTACTATGCGGGTTCAGTAAACTATTCTCTAGTATGTAACGTTTTAGCTCAGCTCCATAAGCGGTTTGACCCGTCAGCAGCGGACAACTGTTTGAGGGCCCGAAACTATGTGGACCAGAGTGGACTGATGGATGCCTCATCAGGCAAGGACTGGGGTGTCCGCATTCTTGCGTAAGTACAGTAACGGGAATCGTCCATTCTGTAATCGCTCCGACGGTAATGGGGTGGCTTAGGCGCAGCCACAGATAAATGGCGCAGCAAGTGCAGCCGAGCTTGGCAGTCGTGCATTTGGGAGAAACCGCTGCAACGTGATTCGCGCGCGCGAGAATGACAACAACGATTGGTATGCGATAACTTGCCGTGTTGTTCGTCGCACTTGATTCTTCCGCGAGGTTCATATATTGTGAAAAGGTGACTCAAATGAAATGAACATCGACAGGCATATCCAACTATTGTGTGCAGGTGCAAATATATAGGCGGTGGAGGGGAGACTGACATCCATGGATGGAAGAACAGGGGAAGCTCATTCCATTCAAGACACGCGAAAAATGAGGAAAGCAGGAACAGTTGTAATCAAGAAAGACTGGGTGTTCATCGAGGTTGGTGTTGTACGTCGTAACGAAACGACAGGCTTTGCAGCAGCTGCACCAAAGCGATGGAACACCGCACGGCAATTGCGCGGTCCGAAACGAGGCTGGAAGACAAAACGATCATGGATAGCTGGATCACGTGACTTAACTCACGTGACTTTTTGAAGAACACTGCAGGTGATGAAAATGAAGGTTGGGTTACCCTCATGCAAGTGAAACAGTGTTGACAATACGAGAGAGTTCACACTGGAACTATCTTGAAGATTTGGCCGGAGTCCACTGCTGAAGTGTTTTGGTGTTGCCAACAGTTGACTCGCAATTCCGACCATTGGCGATCGGTCTCAGCCGCCGGCGGTCTAGAACTCTGTATGTGGGGCTGGAAATGCCATTCATGACGTCGGAAACCACGATGCCACGAGCACGAGGCTCCACGTTGGTCCTTTTTGACGTGCATTCTGCAGTTGTTCCAGGGCCTTGAGATCAGACTGCCTGATGCTCAGTACTGTACCCGCGAGGAGGGAGGATGTCAAACAAGCGTCCAGTGTTTCCCAGCCCTGCGGAGTGGCGCAGGCATCTTTAAGCGTTCCTGAGGCCCGTGTTGGGATCGTCGATACTTGTTCGTGTTCAGATCCAACCAGGCTGACGCAAGATCACCGGCTCCTAACCTGTCCCATGCGCCCTTCAAGGGATGGGCTGGAGACGGACAGCTGCCGGTACCTGCTCGAGGCGCATCAAGAGAAGACAGTCCCCAAATGTCCTCGTCTCCCACGCTCCATGTGCTGTCCTCTGCCGCGGAAAATCCTATAGCCAGCCGTGATCGTCATTGGCGATTCCCATGCAGGACTTTCTTTAGCCTAGCGTCGACGCTTGGAACACTCACGACACCGAAGCTGGTCCGCGGCGGCATTGAACCTGAAGCTGGATACGTCTGCGCTCCCCGGCCCTGATAGTATGCCCGCGGACTGACAAAGTCGCGCGTGCTAGCTGGCTCTTGCTCCAACAGACACAGAGGCAGACGGGCCTTTCTATGCCAACCCAGCCGCAATCAATATTTACTGGAACAACACCGACATCGACGAGTCCTGACCACCGCCGACTCAGCACGCCCGAATATCACGAGGCCCTGAACCCACCGCCAGAGGGCTCGCAACCTCCCACGTTCCCCGAGCAGCCCTCCAGCGCACTGTTCCCGCCACCTGAGCGCCCATGGTCGCTGAAGAACCCGCTTGACATCCTCACGACGACCCCACGGCCCTCCTCTGCGCTCTTGTCTAGTGGGGAGGCATTCAAGGCACCGCAGCCCGTAACAACGCCGCCGCCCGCAGTCGCCGGCACCAAGCGATCAGCACCACGCACGCGTGACGACGCGCCTGCCACCGAACCTCTGCGCAAACGTCGACGCCTGCATACCCGCACGCGCCATTCTCTCGACCTCTTCAACCGGGCCAGTAGTCGACCGCTCCGGTACGACGGACAGCCACCATCACCGCTGTTCTTCTCGTCCAAGCGCGCTCGACCACACCTGCCTGCGCGGTTCTCTAGCTCGGAGGCTGCCGCGAGGATGCTGAGCAAGACCCGGGACGAGGATGGCGGCATCAAGACAGTGACATTGGCTCGGGGCACCTTCAGCGGATTGAGTCCACCTGGGACGACGAGCATAATGAGTGGGAGGAGCTCTGAGCGGTCGAGTATACCACGCACATCATCATCAGATGCGCGTGAACGGAGTGATGCTCTCAAGCTCCTGGGCTCTGTCGGCGTGGTTGAATTGCTGGAAAACGACACAAGGCCTACTTTTATGGTGGATATTGGCGACTACGCCAACTATGCACCCGAATCATTTACTTTACAAATCCTCTTTGCCAACAATGCCTTGCGTTCGAATGCATCGATATGGGAAACAGTTGCTGGGAAGCCGCCCGAACAATCCACAGACCAAGCATCGTCACATGCAACCAACCAGTTCCGTGGCTGGCTATTGAGCACTGCGACTCGAGGAGACGAGTGGGACGCAAACCCTACTCCCGTTGAGCATGGCGGCATAGTATGGTCATGCTTTACATTGAGGAAGCGTTTACGAATAGTCTCTGGAGCAACCCCACCTATGACCACAGCTGAAGTCCCATCTACGAGCGCATCGATTGAGTTCGCAATCCCCTCAGTGTCATCAGTCGGGCGTCTGTCAGGTCGAATATTAGACACTACATCATCATCGAATTCGACTGGTGAGCCACAGGATTACTTTGGCCCACCAGCAACCGAAGTAAACGAAGAACCGAACGCGCTGAATACCATGACGCACAATCACATGAACAACACAATTACCGATACTTCCAGTACTAGTAGTGGGCCAAGGTCACAGCCCAACCATCTAACATTACCTTCAATAGAGGATGCATCCTTCACAAATGAGTGCGTTCTTAGGGCTCACAGTGCAGGTGACGTTGATTCTTTCCGTAATGTACCGAAAGCACCCCAGCACCACGACATGGGCTTCTTCGACTGGACAAGACTTTCGCTGTCACCCTCCCTCCCGAGACACATTCAGTTCGCACGCGCTGTGGACTGGGCATCGACACCGCTAGGGCCCATCGAGTACTGGTCAAACGATCTCCGAGCTATGTGCAACTTGATCATGTAAGTCGTTGATGGTTGAGAGTCAGCGTATTGCAGGGGGTTAACTAGATTTCAGGGCGAGTCCTCACCCAGCTGCTATGTACTGGGGAGATGAGCTAGTCGCTATCTACAACGAGGCTTATATCGGTTAGTATCACATAGTGTGGACATTGCCATTATTCTGACACGCCCAGGACTCGCTGGTCAAAAGCACCCAACTTTGATGGGGCAGAGCTACAAGGTTGCTTGGGCAGAGATCTGGGATGAAGTTAAGGACGTCTTTACCAATGCTCGCCTGACCGGCCAAGCTACAATGAAGGACGATGACTGTTTGTTTATGAAACGGAGCGGGTTTCTTGAGGAGACCTATTTCTCGTGGTCGATTATCCCTATGGTTGGAGAGGACGGCACCGTAATGGGACTGTACAACCCAGCTTTTGAAAAGACTAGGAGGAAGATTGCTGAACGGCGAATGCTCACCCTTCGCGAGGTCGGCGAACGGACAGCGACAGCGAGAGACATCAAAGGGTTCTGGGACCAGGTTCTGATTGCATTGACCGAGAACGAATTCGACACACCCTTCCTCATGTTATACTCGGTCTCCGACGAAAGCGACAGCGACTCATCTTCCCTGCATTCTAGCAGTCTGTTGGGTGCCAAGCACTGTTTCCTAGAAGGATCTCTGGGAGTGCCAAGCGGTCATCAGGCTGCCCCTGAGCAGATCGATCTAAAGGAAGGTCACGAAGGCTTTGGACCCGTCTTCCGCGAGGTCATGAAAACCGATAAACCTGCCGTCATCAGCATTGGATCCGGCGACCTACCATCCTCCATGATGGATGGTCTTGAATGGCGAGGCTTCGGCGACGCCTGCCGCGATGTGGTAGTATGCCCTATACATCCTACTACAGGCGAAACGATTCTCGGTTTCTTGGTCATGGGTGTCAACCCACGCAGGCCCTACGACGATGACTACAACCTCTTCGTTCAGTTGCTGAGCCGACAACTCGCGACGTCTCTGGCTTCAGTCGTTCTATTTGAAGAGGAAATCCGAAGAGGTCAAAAAGCTGCGAAGTTGGCAGCAGAGGATCGGTACAACCTATCCACGCAACTCGCAGCACGCACACAAGAAGCTCGAGAGAACGAGCTCAGATTCACACGAATGGCGGAATACTCACCTGCAGGTCTGTTCATCGCCGACCACGCAGGACGAATCACCTACTGTAACGACACATGGTTCGAGATTTCCCGGGTACCCAAAGAAAGAAACAAAACGGATAGATGGATAGATTACGTGAAGGAAGAGGATCAAAAGCTCATACAGGAACACTGGAAACGCCTTGTCGAGAACACTGCACCGATCAACGTCGAATTCAGGTTCAAAGCACCGTGGGAAGACCGCAATGCCAAGGCAACAAGTGATACGTGGGTACTCTTCAGCGCCTTCCCGGAGAAAGATGAAAGTGGGCAGCTCAAGAGCGTGTTCGGAAGTATCACGAACATCAGTCCCCAGAAGTGGGCCGAAGGCTTTCAGAAACGAAAGATGGAAGAGGCTGTTGAGCTCAAGAGGCAGCAAGAGAATTTCATCGACATCACAAGTCACGAAATGCGAAATCCGCTTAGCGCCATCCTGCAATGCGCCGACGAAATTTCGACAATCCTTGGCAACTTCAGGCAATCTGGTCTGCAAACAATCGAACCTGGAATCGTTGCCGACGCGATCGATGCAGCACAGACTATTGCTCTATGCGCACAGCACCAGAAGAGGATTGTCGATGATGTCTTGACACTCTCGAAGCTTGATAGTGCAATGTTAATGGTTACCCCAGTGGATGCACAGCCGCTGCAGGTCATTCAGCGTGCACTCAAGATGTTCGAAGGCGAAGTACAGACAGCTGGCATACAGATGGAATTCGTCCTTGGCGAGTCTTTCAAGAAGCTGAACATCGATTGGGTCAAGATTGACCCGTCCCGTGTGCTTCAGGTTCTCATCAACTTGACCACCAACGCAATCAAATTCACATCCACAGAGGAGACCCGGACTATTACCGTCGTTCTTTCCGCATCCACTACTCGTCCATCAGCAAGTGAATCACCAGCTGTCAGCTACTTCCCAATGAAGTCAAAACGCATCGATCAAACACTCGGCCCAGACTGGGGCGATGGCGAAGAGATCTTCCTCGAGTTTCTCGTCCAGGACACTGGCCGAGGCCTTTCCGCAGAGGAACTCAAACTCCTCTTCCAGCGCTTCTCCCAAGCAAGCCCACGCACACACGTGCAATATGGAGGCTCTGGTCTCGGCCTGTTTATCTCTCGCGAACTGACAGAACTGCAAGGTGGCGAGATTGGTGTCTCGTCAGAAGCTGGCAAGGGCAGCACGTTTGCCTTCTACGTCAAGGGTCACAGAAGCTCAGAACCGAAGGAGGCCATTGATAGCGTTCCTGCCGCAGTGACATTATCTAGGAAAGGGTCGAACGCGAGAGAGAAGAGACGGCCCGAACCACCGAAAATCAAAGACTTCGCTGCTCAAGCGCCGGCGAACAAAGAGTCAGAAAAGTCAAAACTACCTTACGCTCACCTCCGCGTTCTGATCGTTGAAGACAACCTTGGTACGTCCACTTTTTCACTGCCCTTGCTCCCGCCACTTCTCCTAGGGGCATTTATCGCTAACGCCCCGCTACAGTCAACCAAAAAGTCCTCCAACGCCAACTCCAAAACCGCGGCATAACAACAACCGTCGCCAACCACGGCGGCGAAGCCATAACCCTCCTCTCATCCTCCTCCTACCACTCTTCCTCCGGCCCCAGCGCGCCCGACCTCGGCGTCGTCCTGATGGACAAAGAGATGCCCGTAATGGACGGGCTAGCCTGCACCTCCAAGATCCGGGATATGGAGCGCAAAGGCGAGCTGAGACGACACGTGCCGATCATTGCGGTCACGGCGAATGCACGCAGTGAGCAGATTGCCACACTGCTCGCGGCAGGCATGGATGATGTGGTGTCCAAGCCGTTCAGGATCGGGGAGCTGGTGCCCAAGATTGAGGAGTTGAGTGCGAAGTATTGTGAGAAGAGTGAGAGGAAGGTAATGCAGGAGAAGGCATTACAGACGAAGGATAGTGGGATGAGCTTTACGGTACCTGGCCAGCTTGGAAGATAAGATGGCGGGGCCTGGTTCGAAGCCGGTTAACGGACATGAGGTTTCTGTTTTGTGTTTTGGTGGGCATTTGATGCTTCACGCAAGGTGTTCTGGCGTCTAGCATACAGGGCATAAGAGGAAGCTTCGGGTCATTTTTGTCTATGAGCATTTCGAAATGAATGGATAGGAAAAGGAAGGGTGGGTATTGGTATGGTTTCGGTGCATGTTGAGGAAATACCCTATAGTCACGCGACGTGCTTCTAAGGCGGATGCGAACTACTAGTAATGTATTGTAACGTGAAACATTATCGATTGGGCATAGTAACAAACTGAGGTTGCCGTAATGAGATCGGTTGATCGTTTCCTGAATATAGTCAAAAACTTTACAGAAGATATGAGCTGGATGAGGGAAAGCTGGAATACATTTTCACGACAATTGCGGCGTACGATCCGCTGTCATAACAGAACCCTAACGCAGTCGAGGTGAAAGCAAGCGAAAAACTTTTGCCTTCCCCTGCGCCATGTACTTAACGTCTATCCCAGCGAGCCGGGACGCACGGTGTCCTAGGACGGGTTTGCACTTCGGAGCTTCGCCATCTCTTGTTTGCAAGTGCACAGATCTGTGGTTGAAGCATTGACGTTCTGTAGCCTCTTCTCTATCAGTGCACCAGCCTCCAGCAAGGACTGCAGCGATATTAGCTGTGTTTTCGATCGTTCCGTCAGCGCCGTCAATCGATCCTTCATTGATATCCACCTGTCCGTTTGCGACCTAAGGGATCTTTGTAAGAACCGGAGGGTGTGAATGAAAGCGCGATCGAGAAAGAACATGTGCCCGAGCTCTGACAGCTGCTTGAAGATAGGATGTCAGAGTTCAGTGAAGAACTGTACGCAAAGGGAAGAATTTGAAGATTGTACTGGGGTTGTATTGAGTGAAGCTACGAACAGTATATATAGGTGAGTAGCTGTAAACAACGCTAGTGTGATATGGTAGTCACTCTCATGGCAGGTGAGGTACAACAGGCAGGAGCACCCTGAACCGTGACATAGGAAGTGTGGAGTCCGGGAGGTTCGCCGGTTGGGAGCGAAGATCGCAAAATGCGTTTCAGCATGGCTAGGCGTGCAGCAGCATGTAAAAATAGCTGTGGCGCATGATCGTGAACAATGTGGCTAAATTTGCTACTGACAATCACCAGGCGCAACATGATATTTCTGTACTGCACGGCCGCCAGTACTTGCAGATCACGCTTTGAGGTATCCAGATCTCAGGAGGAGTATTAAGACACAGCGGTACTCAGATAAGCGGGGTGTACACAAGTGGCGCTCCCTCCGATCCATGTGGAACTGTCGTACCTCCTATATCAGTCTTCGTCTCTTGCTTGTGCGCCCGCCTGCACTACTTTCCGTCCTGCTCTTGTAACGCAAGCATCTGGCGATAGTGTTGGTGACAGGCGCGGGTCTTCGGGTGGTCCTCTCCGAGAACAGTGTCGTATGCAGCGCATGCTTGCTCATACAGATTGCTGGAGTCATCATAGCGGAGCTGCTTTGCAAGAAGGTGAGCAAGGCAGTACATGCTCGTCAGTGTGTGTGGGTGCTTCTCTCCTAACGCTTTCCTTTTCAGCTCGAGCGTCTCGCGATGCATCTTCTCTGCCTCAGCATACTTTCCCTGGTCGCTGAGTGCTACTGCTATATCATTCATGCTCATTAGCGTGCTTGGATGCTTCTCTCCTAACACCTCCTTTTTCAGCTCGAGCGTCTTGCGATGCATCTTCTCTGCCTCAACGTACTC